TTTGCGAAAGTTGGGATGGCACTTCGAAGTGTCGAACCAGCGCCTGTGTTTTCAGGATCGAGTCACAACCTTAGCCAAAGACACTGTGGTTGAAAGGCTGAAGGTTTGGGGGAAGCAATTTGGCACAGTACATTCTTGTGTTTCGGGCCATCGCTATCGTTCTCTGCTTGCGTGTCTTCTTTCCAGAATACATTCATCAAGTCACCGAGAGCATCAACAGCCAGACCACGTTCCGCGGCATACCACCGAGGTAGCTGCCATGGGGCGGAGGCATGCTGATGATTGACATTCTTCGACGGGGACAAGGTGATGAACACGTCGGAGTCTGGGCTCAATATACCTTGGCCAATCACGGCTTGAGGGGAACCGCAAGATGAACTGCTAATCAGACCAATTAACGAATATTGGTTAGTGGCTGGTGACGCCCCGTGTGCCTTTCCCAGTGCCCCCTTTTTCCCGCCTCTAACTCGCCTCCGCACTGTGGGCTTCATATCTAACCAGACCACGGTCACCGCGGAACCGCACTCTGTCGAGAGAGGATGGATGAATTCTCCAGCTTCACTGGAGTTGTGAGCAGTCCGTCAAAGAGCAGGGTTTTGTTCGTATCATACGGAGAAGGTAGTCACACTTCGACGGCCTCCCGCAGAAGCCCCTAGTGTGTTAGATAGTCCTCAGCACTGGAAATCATCTCGTACTGGCACCCATATCGGCTTTATGCTTGACTTTAACATAAAGAAAAGGGAGGCTAAATATCTACAAGTGTGCCATGGAGACTCCAACGGCATCTGGAGACCACAATCCAAAAGATCCACGAGAGACACAGCATGGCACCCCATTTGAAAACCGCCATTGTGACAGGTAAGGAGCTTGCCTCTCTCTCTTTTGCATGATGGCTCGACAGCTTGTTGACCAGCCTCACAGGTGCTTGTAGTGGCATGGGCCTGGCCCTAACACAGCATCTGCTCTCCAAGCCGGATTGGAAAGTCGTCGTGGCGGACGTAAGGCCGGAGCAATATCGAAAGATCGAATCAACTCTGAATTCGGAGCGGCACATCTTTGTGCACGCCGACGTGGGATCATGGGAGTCGCAAGCCCAACTGTACCAGAGGGCTTTCGATTGGAGTGGCGGACGCCTGGACTTTCTTGCCGCAAACGCAGGAGTTGTACGCGTGGAACCGCTGGCGGTAACCACCGTTGGTGACCTTGACAGCAAGCCGACCAAGCCGGAGATGCTCACCACCCAGATCAATCAGATCGGCGTCTACTACGGCTTGTTATGGTTTATCCATTACGTGCGGCGATCCAAGAAAGCCCACGCTGACAAGAATGGCGACTACAAGCCCAAAGCAGTCCTGATGTCGTCTTGCACTGCCATCTACCCCTTCCCGTGCGCCGTCGAATATGCCATGACCAAGGCAGCTGTGCTGTCGCTGACCCGCAGCACCGCTCACTTCCTATACAAGAGCGACGGCATCGCTTTGAACTGTCTGATGCCGAACTACGTCAATACCCAGCACTATTCGGACGAAACTTGCGACAGATGGGGCCCCGACTGGTTGACACCCTACTCTACCATTCTCCGGGCCTACGACGAGTTGATCTCTGAGGACGGCACTGTGGTTCAGGACGGCAAAAGCTCCGGAACGCCAGGCGTCATCAAGGTTGGTCAATCAGTTGAGTGTTCGGTACTCAATCTGCACTATAGACACGCGCAGCCTTTTGTCGACGAGAAAGCCGAATTCGTCATTTTGGAAAGCAGCAAGCCGGAAGGTGAATGGTTCAATACCTTCTTATCCCCTATGACCAAGTATAAAGCCACGGCTACCATCCAGAACTGAGCTCCACGATCACGAACAATCTCTGAGCGATTTGGATAGTATCTGGTGACGCCACTTTGCCCTCAGAAAATGAATGGACCCATCATTCTTGTGATGGTCAAAAGAAGGACTCTGTGGATGACTGAACCTCCTGCAAGTAACGTAGCCTGGCCTCGCCACTCAAGAACTTGGGGACGTCTGGATCAAAAAAGAGGGTCACTATAGCTAAGATGGTCGTACAAGAATGAATAGTCATAGGTAGCACCCTGGCCCCAGCTTCGCCATCCAAGGCCGCCAGGCTGCGTTTGAAGTGATGTGTCCATCTTCAATTCTTGGAGGCGCGAATCCATGGAGATGGCGGTGCACATGATGTGATCCGAACGACCGCCCAAGTATTTCAGGGCCTCAATGCAACCCGATGCATTTTCGATCAAATCCAGAATGTTTGTGTTTGTCCTAAGCCAGACCAGCTGATCAGGATTGAGACTGGGCTCTTTGGTGCACGTAATCCAAAAGAGCAGAATCTCACAGGACCTTGTGATACTTTGGTAGAGTACCTCCGACCATGGCTCAGTAGTCAGTGCACCTTTGTCAGCAAAGAAAAAGAACTTGTCCTCATGTGCACAGCTCATGCTGCAAAAGTCGGGCAGGATTGCTACGCTGGCCACTCTCGATATGGCATAAGCGTTATCTTTTCGAAGGCCCCAAACCAAAGCAGACGATTGGCGCAGCGAGCGCTGAACGGATTCGGATTGGCCAGTCTCATCAATAAGTTCGATATGACGAGCCAGGATCAGGCAAGCCAAATGCCAATGACTACATATCATGAGATACCATGACTTGAGCTTCAAGGACAGTTGGGCAAGGTGAACCCTACAATCCTCGAGAAATTCGGCATACTGCTTCGTCACATATTGGTAGATTTGGCACGTTTCCCCAATGTGTTTTTCGAGGTCGTACGGGGCCGAGGCACTGGCTGTACTGGTCTGTATGACGGGTAACCTCCGCCAAAGAAGATTCTTCAGTGCGAGGACCTCCTGCAGCACTCGTGCCGCCACCTCGTCCGTCCATGGCCATCGTGGAGCTGCCATACCAAACTTACAGACCGATTCGGGAGCCAGAGAATCCCACATGCTCACTGCTCGATTTGCACTGAACACCGCCTCCGAGGCGGAATACTCTGACGGCTCCACATCCTCGATCTCAAAGACGGATTCCTGGTCGGGAATGACTGGAAGCCGGTCTTTCATGACTGCCGTTGTGGTGTCACACATGACTCCGAAACGAAACATGACACTGAAAGCCAGATAGCCTTGCCGAGGAATGGATTTCGGTAACACGAGCCCTCTCCGTGGAATAGAATCGGCGGCTTTGTTCGCCGTTGCAACGATGTCTCTCTTCCAGGAGAGAAGCTGTCGGACCGCAAGTACGGTATGATCAAGAGGACTGTGAGCCCCAGGCGACCGTGGTGAAGTGGATTCTTGGTGAGTTGGACTCGTGCCAAAAGGGTTCTTGTCGGCAACCCGAGGTTTGCGAAACCATGAGAATAACAGCTGTGCGAGGATCACTTGAAACGATTTGAGACCCAGACAGCTGTGAAGCGCATCCTCAGCCTCTCGCTGCAATTCTTGCTGCAAAGGGGATTGGACATCTCCAAATTTTATCCCAGCAGTGTGAATGGCCCACTGATCTGTGAATTCTGCGGACTTGGCTTGGTCTGGCTGAAGCCATTGGCTGGCAAACGCCATGACAGCGTATGTGAAAGCATTTGAAGCTTTGTCACTGTCTTGCTGACTGAGAGGTTGCCTGCGAAGCGGGTCGAGCATCTTGTCGAGATTTTTGGCCAGTTGCAAGAAACTGAAGCTCCCACGGAGCGGGGTGTGGTCTTGCATATATCGCCAGTTCCATCCTTGAAAGTAGAGTGAAGGGATGTTCTCAAAACTTTCGAGATATATTTGGAGGAGCTTTCTGGAAATCAGACCTTTGGTGTAGCTCTGTACTAGCTGGAACTCCTGGCTACTGACTTCTACTTCCCTCGATGGAGTGGAAAGGCCTATGGGAGAGTAATGGACAGGCTGGTAAATCGATCGATCTGCTTCAAACGAGCCATGAGGCGCGCCTCGGATCTCTGCGGCATGGCCTGGACCTGCAGTGGCGGTTGTCACGTACTCTTCTATGCCCTTTGGAATTTCGGTGGACAATGTGTAACCGAAACTTGGTAGATGAGCGCGCCATGATGACGATGATGATGATGGCGGTTCCCAGGTGTCAAAGGTCATCACAGTCCCTGCCTCGTCGAGCCTTTTCGACAGTAGGAAGCCTTCTTCTCCACTAACGTCAGAAGTCGGAATTTCGGACGGACTAGTAACCAGCCAATGAAAGGATTGAGGCGCGCAGTCAAATGTGTGAGCGGTTGTTCCCAACATATCGCCTGTCCAGGGAAGAGAACCACTGTCAATCGCTAAATCAGTGGAGCCCACATCCTGCGCATGGTGGCAATCTCCATGGCCGGAAGCCGGTTGAATTGGAGCGTCCATGGGCATGTCTCCTGACGGGCTCGCAGGCTGTGGACGCAGACGCGGCATCCTGAGAGGCTGCAAATCTTGTTCGTAGTGAACGAAATCGTAGTCTTTGGAGAACTTTTGTTTCAGCCTTTCCGGTAGTGATCCACGCGGGAGTTGCTGGAGCCAGTTGAATGTGCATTTTCTTTTCGATTTCTGGCAGCTTGAGCAGGCCACCGCCTGTGCGGCACCACGCTGCAACGGATTTGCGCCATTTGTCACCGCGTCGCAGGCCCGTCGACCTTGGCGGCAACGGTCGCAGCTCTGATATTGCTTTCTCGGCCTTGCCATATGGTTATGCGTCCTGGTCGTCACCATGCATGTCTCAACCTAGGCCGCTGACTACCGTAGGATCTTGCGCTTGGAGGAGGGAATAGGGCAGAAGCACCTTCAGGTAGTTTTGGAAAGCTGCCGAGGAGTAAGGCTCGACCTACTCACCACCGTCGCCACCCCTCGCTCGCCCACCCGTTGGTCATAGGCATATCACGTGCCACGGTTGTTGTTTTCTCTGCGTCACAATGCGGTTCCACTAAGACTGTCATTGGCTCGATGTCGATGTCACCAAGGATGTGGGACGCGCCGAGCTCTTCAGTCAGGATTCCTACAGTAGTCTTTTTCGATTCAGTCTCGAAGGATGGTTCCGCCAGAGCGATAATTGGCCGATCAGGTTGTGTGACTACCTCGGCGACTTTCAAATGATGGGAGGCAATGCGTGATGGCCGACACAAATACACCCCGGCAGGATCGACACCAGGAACTTTCACAAAGCAAACGCCTTTGCTACTGTAACTGCACGGGCGACGGATATTGGAATTACCGTGACATCGTCGGCTAATCCAGCATTGATCCCCTCTAAGATGAATTGACTTACGAAAGATTCTTCGAGCCCACAGCTATTCTACGTATAGAAACCCCCTTTTTTCTCCTCCCTAGCAAAAAACCAAAAGAAAAGCCGAAGAGTAGCCAGAGAGGAGGAAAAACGAGGAGAGAACACGAACCAAACAGAATCACCCCACCCTAGCACTTCAAACATTGATCACAGGTATCCCGCAGTCATCGTATACAACCGGTGCCCACCAGCGTCGAGACCCAGTCAGCCTTTGATGACTAGTACTTGAGCAGCTCTTACCCAGATGAGCTTCTCATTGGCTTTAGACCCATCGCGCAAATTCAATACCTCCCCGCAGCAACTCCAGACCATGAGTTCCCGAGACGGCTTCTTAGCCCCAGCTCCCCCAGAATGGGGCTGCCTCGGTGACTAGCTATACGAGTTTCGGCTTTGAGTCGAGGCACCAGGAGATATCGAACCAAAACACTGATATAACACCACCCCGGCCTTGTTCAAGCACGCGCTTTTTTCCTGATCAAGGTCCGTAAGTTCGAAAGACAACAGTGCAATCTAGGCAAGAGGACAACAGAACTGACTCTCCTTGGACCAAGTTGCACCGCTACCATGGCCGATTCGGGTCTTCGACACCGTGGTCACCACGACCACAATTCTGCCGAGCTTACTGAACTTCAACGCCTCGAACTCGAGCACGCTCAACGAGATACCGGCGCTCTTGAAGATCTCCAGAACTCGGATGCCCTCGTCACCGATCAATCCGAGTTCACTGGACGGTATTACTTCCGAATGGCAACAGCATGTTTCTCTATCAGTATGGGTACTACTGGTTCATACTTCGGCTTCACCTGCCCGGCATCTCTGCTGACCTACATCAATGAGGATATTGGTAAGCATCTCCCCGCCCAGTGGCAGTGAAGGGATTCAGTCTTACTGACTTGAACAACAGGACCCAGCAACAACGCTAGCTTGGTCTCCATCATCTGGACTGCTGCTTGTGCCATTTCGATTATTCTTTTCGGTCGATTGTCTGATAAGTTCGGCCGAAGATGGTTTGTCGTTGGAGCTTCATTCATGGGTGTTATCGGAGGTATCATTGCCTCTCGGGCTCAGAACATGGATACACTCGTCGGCGCAAATGTAAGTCTCTATTAGTCACTTACCGTGAGCGAAAGGGCGGTTTACTGAATCTTTCTAGGTCTTGATCGGTCTCTCTGGTGGTGTCCACACCTGTTATGGTCTGACCATGGGTGAACTCGTCCCCAACCGCTACAAGACAGCAGCCTTTTCCGCGGTCGTGGTTCTGTGTTTCGTTGGTATCTCCTTTGCGCCAATCATTGGTGGGTTACGTCTTGGTGACACCGAAATCGTCTTCGTCTCTAACGTTTGAAACAGGCTTCAGGCTCATTAAGCTTGGTCCAGGATGGAGATTCATCTACTATATCTACATCATCTTCATGGCTATCGCGACCACCTCGCAATTCTTCTTCTACAAGCCGCCGTCATTTAAGCAGCTTCACGGTGGAAAGCGAACCATCATGCAAGAAGTCAAGCGTATTGACTTCGTCGGATTGTTCCTTCTGACCGCCGGAATCGTGCTCTTCATCCTCGGTATCTCGTGGGGTGGTCAACCCGTTCCATGGAAGTCGGCACAGATTCTCTGCCTTCTTATCATCGGCTTTGTGCTCTGTGTGCTGTTTGTTCTTTGGGGTAAGGTCTTCCCCCGATTCGATATACACTTCGTGAGACTGACGATATCGCTCAACAGAGATCTACTCCAACGTGCCGAATCCTCTCATGCCTATGTATTTCTTCAAAGATATCAAAGGATTTACCTGCTTGGCAATTATCGATGCGATTTCCGGAGCTGGATATGTTGCGCCTTCCGTCATCTGGCCTATGCGTACGTATATGTTCATCTTCACTGTTTCAACCGCGAGGTTGACCTTCATCTCACAGAGGTCGCCAATATCTACGCTGCTGGTTCCAATCCTGTCGGCTGGGAAGAACAGGCATGGTTGACCTCAGCCGTGACATTCGCCATCGTCGGAGGTATCGTGTTCTGGGGAGCTGTTCTGCCAATCATCAAGCATGTCAAGAAACAAATGATCCTGATGGCATTGATGGTGCTCGCCTTCTCCGGAGGTCTCATTGCCTCGAGCAGAGACAACAAAGGTCGAAATGCGGCATTTGCCTTCCTGTCAATGTTTGCCGATGGTATGCTCGAGATCACACCACTGTCATTGGTGCAAATTTCTGCCAACGATGCCGATCTAGGCACGGTCTTCGGTAAGTACTTGTTCGCCAACATGCCTAGTAAGAACTTTGTGCTAGCATGAAAATTCAGGAATCATCTGTCTCTTCAGAACTGTCAATGGCTCGATCTTCACTGCCATCTACCTAGCCATCTTCCAAAACACACTCCCCAAGGAAATCGCCAAGCTTGTCCCCAGCGCCGTCGAGGCCGCTGGACTTCCCTCCTCATCTCTTGGTGAACTAATGACGGCTGTCGGTGTGGGTACCGCCGATGCTTTGAACGCAGTTCCTGGCATGACCGGCGGCATCCTAAATGCCACTCTCGATGCTCTTGTCGATGCAAAGACTGCTTCCTTCTCCTACATGTACTATGCCACCATCCCAGTCAATGTCATTATGTTGGGTGCAGTTCTTTTGATGAAGGACTACGACAAGCTTCTTACTACTCACGTCCCTCGACAAGTCTACGCCAATGGTGAAGGTGTTGAGCACCACGAGAAGGTCGGCGACGTTGAGGGAAGCCGCGCACACCCAAGCTCCGAGAAGGGACAGAACCTTGAGATTGAAGCTGCTGGGGCTGGCAGTAACTCCGACCGCGAAGATGTCCGCTAAACAGACATTTCGCGAGCTTTTTCTAAGGTCCTTCCTTAATACTCAGGCCTGAAGTGGTGATGGGATGGATGTATGCACTTTATAGTGTCATGAGCACCTCAAGGCCGTGGAAGACGTGTATTTAGCTACCGAGGAGACAAGTGTTGTCGCATGTATATACCTATTCAAATAGGCGCAGCTTGCAAATCTCGCATTGAGACACTTCCAATGCAATGAATCGTTCAGATGCTGATAGTCGCACCGACTGGACATATTTGTTCAGTAAAGGTATCCTTTGTATAGGCGTGGGATCGCACTCTACCGTCCCTTCCTTTCTATTGACTCCTGATTTGATGAACGACGGGATGTCCAGCACTGATGGTCCGCGAAAATGCTGTAAACAGCCACATGCTACTGAAAGCGAGGCATTTGGTCATACGTTGGTGATCATCATTGCTTGCTTTGAGAAATCCCTCGTGTACAAAACTGCCAAAGCATCTTTTCTCTAATTCTCACTAATTTCTATGCAGCCTGCTACCGCGGAGGACTAGCTCAACCTCGAGAATGTGTAGAATTCTCGACAAGTACAAGTTGTCCACGTCCGAATCGTTGGCCAAGATGTTTGATGCTGCCATTCTGTATTCCGAGAAGGCATTGTTTGGCACTGTGTTACAGCGTATACCGATATGTAGGAGCTCTATCTCCCATGTCAAGTATTTGTTCCTCCGAGTGTTCAGCGCTGTTACGCCCACCCTCTGATTCTCGTGTCTTGTTGATGTGGCGACATATTAGGTAATATGACCCCATGCTCAAGATTGACAGAGCATTGAACCCAAGTACAAGAGAATGCCCAAGCCGATAGCGCGGAGCGTCTGTTTTATGGTAGAAATTGGAAGCTGCTGCGCCTCCCATTGTACCAAATCCTACGCTCAATACGTCAGCCAGAAATCCCACCGCTCGGGACTAGATCATTCAACGCACCAATTTGGATCGCCATTCCAGTTGCACGTTTGGCGTTGGGAGCATAGTTGTTTGAGGCAAGAGTGAGAAGGCCAGGGAACGCTAGCCATGGTTTTAGATTGCGCCTCGACCAGGAAGTTTGTAGTGGAACGTACCGGGATATATACCACACGTGGCAATAAAACATCCTGCATACGTCAAGCCGGGGATGAAAGAGGATGGCGCGACGGCAAGGAGGAACCCGACAAAGACAGCAGCGAAAGATAACAGGACGAATAGTGATCTTCGCCCGGTGAGGTCTGAGTAGTAGCCTGCGAGGATGCAGCAGACGGCGGCAGCTGTGTAGACGGGCACAGTCAGGAGCTGAGCATGTTCAGCGCTGTATCCGAGACCGTTGATGATGGTGGGAAGAAAGAGTGAAATGGCATAAACCGCAACAGCCTGTTTGACGCTCGTTATCAACTGCCAGGTATTCAGAGAACGATACGCACATTGCCCCAGTATCCAACACAGTGGAATAAGGTCTACACCACATTTAGTCTGGGCGAGTACAAGGCTCCGAGTGGACATACCTGCCAATCTGTGAACGCTGCCCATACGTACTTCCATTTGAACCGGCTTGTCAGGTGAGGCTCTCCGGAGGCCGAATTGTATTGGGGCCGGTCGATCTGCAACTGTGCGATCGCCAGGGATCTCTCGCTGTCGCTCAGGAACCTAGCCTTTGAAGGCTCGTCTGGTATAATCCAATAAGCCATGACAGCAACGATGACGGTGAGGATTCCCTCTAAGATAAATCTATGTTATCTGTTAGTGTAGAAGTATAAGGTTCCGTGTACATCACACGAACATCCATCTCCAGCCGTGAAGGCCGCAAACACCGTCCATCTTTACAATTAAGTACGCCAGTAATCCTGAAAAGGCTCCAGCTACAGACGCAGACGCGAAGACCAGGGCCAGCCGTAGCTGTGCATCTGCTCGCGTGTACCTGAGAGGAGTTCGGTAAGCTCTGTCTTCATCTTGTACATGTTGAAGTTGTTCTTCGCCAGGTAAAGCAAGCACGCCGATTAACTCACCACAAAGATACATAAAAAGTTATCCCAGGAACTGAATATGGTTAGCTGTTTGGCAGAAGGTATTTTTGAACTATTAAACGTACATAGCCCGGCCTCCGCTACACCTATACACCGTATTAGCTTTAGATTTCTTAATATCCTTGAATTAATGTGCATTTACCAAGGAAAAACCTCGCCACGAGCAATCCCGAGTAGCCCTGAACGATGCCTGTCAAAGTCATCACGATACCTACTCCAAGTTAGTGATTAGTCGAACACCTAGACCAGCTACTTACCCCATACAACCATTATCGAAGGTAGCCAAATACTAGGCTTGAACCTGACTAGCAAAGCATTGCAGACCGGTTCGAAGAAGCAGTAGGGAAAGAAGAATATTGTCAAACACCTAGTTTTATTCAGTTTTCCCTGCCGAGGTCCATGCGGCAGCCGTCTCACCAGTTGTACTCGTTCCCGGTGAGGTGAAGATCTTTAGAAAGGCCTTGGATATTAGCATTGCCGATGCTGCCTTCACAACGATTAGCAAAGGCGACTGGCATAGGCGGGGGTATGATCCGAACCTCTATCGAGGAAACTCAACAGGTAAAGCACAGCCAATATTGGAATGATGCGCACGTCAAGCTTTCGAAGAAGCTTTTTGTATTTTTTCTCGTCATCAGCATCAACTTGATGTGAAGTCTTGCTTGCTGGCTTTGGGAGCTTTCCCACAATGTTTTCTTCGTGGTGGCAGATGTCTTCATTCTTGAGCGGGTCTTTCAGATCCATCTTGGAATGCAGAGGAAAAGAGAGGCCAGCAGGCTCAAAGGGTGGCCGGCATAGCACATATCTATAAGGACGAATGCTTCTTTGACCAGAATGGGGGCCCAGTAACTGTTGCTCTCTCCCTTTCACGCTTTCTACAGTCCATGGTGGTGGCTGGTGGGTCAGGGGCCGCCTTGATTATCCTGCCACCACCGGCTACGGCCCACATCTTCAATTGAGGCTGCAAAGCCTTCAACATTGCGAGCAACCATGACCGTTCGATTTATGATGACGAATGAGTCTGGCAGAATATGATACAAAACTTGTTCGATCGGGTGCGGTGTCATTACCGTTGCCGGTGGTCATCGCCGTAACCGACTCCGTCAGCCAATAGCAGGACAATAGTGTTGTGGGCCTCGTGCCATGCTGGGGTCGCCCCTTTACGTGTATCTCAGGTGGTCATGCCCTAGCCCACCACAAGGTCAGCTTCACAGATATGCCGATTCACCTCATGAGGCTAGCCAATGGCAAAATCGATATATCACTCTCATAAACATATCTTGCACAAAGTTCTCATTGCATGCGAACACAAACTCTTCATTTCCAGAGCGCAAGGTCGACTATTCCAATTGCATCTATTAACATTCCTCTACCAGAGTGTCTGAGAATGAATTCAGAATACCAAACAAGAGAGCCGGGCTGTAATGACAGCAGTCAAGGCAAATATGTGATGTTCAACCAACTTCCTGAAGGGTCTCTGAATGACCGCGGCGAGCCTGCATTGAACAGGTACTCAACTTTCATCACAAAGGATCACGACTACCCTGCTTCTCAAGTGAGTAGCTCTTGACAGATGCCTTCTGCTTGTGCCGAATCCTCATAATTCACAGGCTATGTTATACGCAGCTGGCATCCCTGACAAGGATGCTATGCAAAATAGCCCTCACGTTGGAATAGCATCAGTGTGGTGGGAGGGTAACCCCTGCAAGTACGTGACCATCTTCTCATGTCTCAACAGAGCACTGACATGAGACAGTATGCATCGTGTGTAGACCCTGATGCGATTTCCTGTGCCGTGCTGACCACAGTTTGTCAGTCCTGGATCTGGCAAAGGTTGTGAAAGATTCGGTGACGAAAGAGGGATTCATAGGATGGCAATATAATACTGTGGGAGTATCAGACGCTATCACTGTTGGGACGGAGGGCATGCGATATTCGCTGCAAACCAGAGAACTGATAGCGGACAGCTTGGAGACTGTGACTTGTGCACAGCATCATGACGCTAATATTGCGGTAGCTGGTTGTGACAAAAACATGCCTGGCGTTGTTATGGCAATGGCACGTCACAATCGACCTTCGCTCATGATATACGGAGGCACTATCAAACCAGGATACTCAAAGCTGCTGCGGCAGGTGGTTAACGTGGGGAAGTGCTGGGAGGCCCAAGGTGCTTACCAGTACGGCACACTGGCCAAAGCGGTTGGCGATCCTTCCAAAACACCCGATGATGTCCTCGAAGATATCATTCAAGGAGCCTGCCCCGGTGCAGGTGCATGTGGGGGCATGTACACGGCCAATACGATGGCAACTGCAATTGAAGTTATGGGTTTGATGTTGCCTGGTTCGTCGTCTAGCCCCGCTACTTCCTCCACCAAGATGAGGGAATGTCAAAAGGCGGGTAAATACATTGGCATCTGCATGGAGAGAAGCATCCGGCCTCGGGATCTCTTGACGAAGCAAGCCTTTGAGAACGCTCTGACCATGACCATGGCTCTCGGCGGATCAACAAACGGCGCGCTTCATCTGCTGGCAATTGCCTCTTCTGCTGAGGTGCCCTTATCACTGGCCGACATTCAGCGAGTGAGTGACAAAGTGCCATATATTGCTAATCTTGCACCTGCGGGCCAATATCTTATGGCTGACCTATACGATGCCGGTGGTATACCGGCGGTTTGTAAGCTATTGGTGGCTGCAGGCTTTCTCAATGGCTCAGTGCCTACCATCACAGGGAAAACTTTGGGAGAAAACATCGAGTCGTTCCCGTCCTTGAGTCAAGATCAAGTGATTATCCGACCACTGAGCAACCCAATCAAGCCATCAGGTCACCTTCAAGTTCTAAGGGGGAATCTTGCACCGGGAGGAGCTGTTGCCAAGATTAGCGGGAAAGAAGGCACTTCCTTCGTTGGCAAGGCTCGAGTGTTTGACAAAGAGAAATACTTGAATGCTGCTCTGAACGCAGGTCAAATCCCTCGAGACGAGCAGCTCGTGCTCGTTGTCCGTTATGAAGGCCCGAAGGGTGGACCTGGGATGCCTGAGCAACTGAAAGCATCAGCAGCAATCATCGGGGCTCAGCTGAAGAACGTAGCGTTGGTAACAGACGGAAGATACTCAGGAGCCTCACATGGGTTTATCGTCGGCCACGTCGTACCCGAGGCGATCATGGGTGGTCCCATTGCGATTGTGCAAGATGGAGACACCATGAGAATTTCTGCGGACACTAATGAGATCTCTGTAGATTTGACAGACGCCGAAATCAAGGATAGACTGAAGGCGTGGAAGCCACCGCCAAGCATGGTCACGCGAGGAGTGTTAGCCAAGTATCAGAGGTTGGTGGGATCAGCAGCAACAGGCGCTGTCACCGACCTGTTCTAAGAATGGAGTCAACAGAGTATTTAAGGAGAGAGTCTGGCATGCGTCTGATGAAGCATGTTAGTGACACGGGTCAGTTGAAAGACAGAGCCCAATCTCAACGAGTAAATACAATGCGAACTCATAGTCGTTTGGAAGGAAAGACAAGGGCCGTCTAAAGTAGTGACAACTTTAATGACACCCCCTACCACCCTCGGTAGAGATGGCCCCAGTCTGAACGAAACGCTCGGGCTTTCCCAGGACTCCAATATATTTAAGGGCCGTGCGGTGCGAACTCCTTGGTCAGACGGTGCCTATTACAGGTACTTACTTGTATTGAGGATGCAGCGCCCCAAAGACCATTCCCCGGTGCCCCGGTTTCATACCCCACTCACGGCCGAGCCATACACACGGGCTCAATTATTAAATGCACTCAACCCCAGACACCTGGGATATTTTGATTCGACCACAGAAACACAATTGCAATTCATTGTACCATGTCTGGACCACCGGCCTCGACGCCGCTAATTCGAAGGCGAAGAACAGCTGTGGCATGCAGGAGGTGCAATCAGCAACGCATCCGTTGCGATGCTTCCGCCTCGGGGCTTCCTTGCACAAGCTGTAAACGAGTCAAGAACAATGACTGCAAGCTCATCGACACAAAACGTGCAAGGTGAGTAAGATACCGCATTGTTCTGTCTGAATATAAGGGATTATGTCGTCAGCTTTGTGCCAAACTTCACGATGTCCATGGCTAACGTCCGTCTATCCAGGGGAGTCACCGGTCGATTTGTGTCCCGGGGACAAGTCGATGGCAGCAATGAGGGTCATCCCATGGAATCAGACTCCCCAGGATCACTGATGGCCACAGCGAAGACTCCTGAATACTCCATCGATCTGGAAGAGCTGTGCCCGCGTGAAGATGTGGATGCCACCTACTCCACCCGGGACTTGGATTTGACTTCAGAGGAAATTCCGGAATACCAGTCGGCACCAGCATATGGCCTATCATCAAAACAGAGGGCACATAACATCCATTTGCCTTCTACTCCCACTTGGGCCGAGAGCTGGTACGTGTCATACATCTTGCACACCACAAACAACGAGCAGCCGCTACTAAACAATCCATCGAACAGAAGCCACCACGGGCATCATCCGGCCAATCCTCAAGAAGCCAGAATGAGTAACAATGCTGTTCGACAGTTGCTACCTCCGCTGAACTTAATCGATGCCATGATTGACGCCTATTTTGCTCACTTTCATGCCTTTTGTCCGCTTTTGGACGAGGCGCAGGTCCGTTTATCTCTTCGAGAACAATGTCTGCCGACAGTGTTGCTTCGATGTATGCTCTTCGTCGCTTCTATACACTGTGAGATGGCGCTGCTGCGGGAGATGGGATACAACGACCGCGTCGAGGCCGAAGACAGCTTGTTTAACAAGGCAAAAGCAGCGTTCGACACGGATGTCGAAACGGACAGTATGACGATGCTGTGCTCTTCCTACCTGTTACATTACTGGTCCGGAAGGCCATCCATCTTCAAAGACAGTATATGGTGGTTAGCTGGTGCCATTAGGGGCGCGCAGTCCATGGGATTGCACCGCAGTATGAGAGAGAGCAACGCTCCGACGCCTCAGAAGCGGTTGTGGCGGAAGATTTGGTGGTTACTTTACGTGTGTTTTGCTGTTACATTCCTCTCGCAATAACGCTGATCTTTGGCTCATAGATTCGTGATCGGCAAATCTCCATCTCTCTGGGAAAGCCGTTTCTCATAAACGACAACGACTGTGATTTGGGGCCCTTGGAAGAAGATGATTTAACGGATGAAACCTTGGACACCAGGGCTTTTGTCCTAGCACAAGCACGTCTCGCGATTGCCGGTTGGTCGCAGCCCGCTTCTCCATTCGAGACCTATTTGTGTTGACCGGTTGCAGCCTCGAATATCTTTGCACTGTTTTCTCCTTGTGCATTCACCTGTGGCACTAGCGAGCAGGACGTCGTCCGCTTGGTGAAGGAATATCTCGACACATTCTACAGTCAACTCCATATCAATATGGCAGAGCGGAATGCTCGAAGGAAACCATTAGGGCTGATTCTTCACATGACTGCAAGGTGGGTACTATATGCCCTCTCCATCCGTCGTGGCACTTTCCTGAATCTGGATCAACAGCTACTACAAAATCCTGGCGTTCCGGATGCTCGAGAGGAAGATTCTGGCATCTGCAACCGATGCGCCGAGAGAGATTGAGCAATGCACAACCGAAATACTGCAGGCCGCGGAGGATGTGACGTCGCACTTCGAAGAGGTTCTTGTGAGCTTCAAAGCGCGTCACTTCCCTATGATCTGGTATCTTCCATCCGCCACCACCCATTGACCTATACTAATGCGGCGGCAGCATATCTTCGGTTTTTGCGGCGATGATAGTGCAGTTTGTCTATTCAAGAAGGCCCGCGCTGGGAGAAGCGCGAAGTGTACTTGGCCAACAGCTGCGTTTCAATTTGCTTGGGCTCAAGGAATTCGAAGACTGCTACAGTCTTGCTCACTGGATTCGAGAGCTGTTTCTCCGTATTCGAGACAGAACCAGGACAACCCAATCCGTAACGGCGGCTGTTGCCATCAGTGGCACGCACTCAACAACCGGCGAAGATGATACGCGGACGGCGACGGATCCCAATCAGCTTGATATAACTTCGAACAACAGCTTGAAGCATTCTTGGTCAAATGCTATTCCTTCGAATGACTTTGTGGCACCAGTGACGACTATCAATGGTCACCATGACACCCTGGGCGGACAAACGATACCAGACCCGACAGAACCTGAGATGATGTACTCCGAACACCCACCCCTGGACCTCAATTTCTCTCTAGATGGTGATTCCGAGCTACTTCGATACCAAACCCTACAGATGTTTGCGGACGAGTTTCCAACCAGTCTCTTGGACGATTTTCAATATATCGACAGCGTCGGTGGCTACTTTGAGCGGCCTGGTGGATAGTACGGCCTCTTTCATTTCGTGGTGTGCCGAGAAGCCCCGTTCAAGGCCCTCCGGGGCAAACGGACATCTCAAATGACATTCTTCACCGGACATTGAACAGGAGATCACTCATGTGATTATCCTCCAATGCCTATGACAATGTTCCGTCCGTAGCTGATGTGTTGTCGGGGAGTTTACGACCGTGCCAGCCCACAGTACTCGGGGGTCGACGGGCCTTGACGCACAAGGCTGAACAACGGGCTCAATGAACTCGGCGACGGAGTCGAACCACGTTGTCGCGGTTGATCCGAGTATCAACAAATCGCGAAGGAGCTCGTGCGCTCTCGACAGCAACGCCAGTGTCGACCTGTGGCGACACAGATCTACACGTTCAGCCTTACCTTGAACCGATATTATCCAGGATGATGTCTATATACCCTGGACGACTGCTTCCACGCTGCCGGAGGTGAGCGGGTGAGAGAGGGTCAATGTGGTGCGTATCGCTCTCAAGAAATCGGGCTTGTCCCCCCAACCTCTAGAGATATAAGAGATATTCTTTTGTATCTAGAGTCGACAAGTTGAAAAGAGAGAAAAAAGGTGGTAAATTTTTAGATCTAAAAGTTCAAGACCCCTACGGAGTATATAAAGACTGAAATATGAAGACTCTTTTTATTGTCATTGAATATTATGAAACCCATTCTCAAAACTCGACGTACTGAAGAGACCATGGTAAAATTAGATCGTCGTCGCGAGGGTGCGAGAGTGCATAACAGCGTAAGTAGAAGGGGGAGAAGAAAGTCAGGAGAGAGTTGGATCGCGAGCAGGTCGGCTGAAAAAGCGGCACCGTCTGCAGTTGGCGTGTCAAGATGCCCGGAGCAGTTCGAGTGCAGTGACTGAATGGAAATCATGCAGACCGCCAGTGATCTACAGCATTCCAGCTATCGGAGTTTTTTAACGAGCGTTGAAAACTCCAGTAAGCGGCCACGACAGCCTGGAGTGGCATTGAGAATTGGACCTCCATCGATTGTGCTGCCCAAGTGCAGGGGAATATGGGTATTTTTCGTCTGGCCAAGGCGATTGATGCCTAGAATCCGCCCCCGGTCAAAGCCCAGGCTCATTATTGCGGTCCGGGCAAGGTGCGGGAGGTATGCACAATCTTAGATACGATACCAAAGTACAGGAGATGCCATCATTGCCTGTTGGGTATCTGGTTTCTATTTCAATCCTCCCGATAGAAGGATACTCTGTCCAGTCAAATATCCAGTTTTGCACAACATTGTCACCACATTGGCGCATTCTTGCGGCGTCCCTAATCTGCCTACAGGTATATTTCGCACATCTCCAGGCGTTCCCTCGAGGAATTTGGCATTGGGTATCATACCAGTCTCACCGATCATTGCGGGTGCGACGTCGTTGACGGTGATGCCATCCTTGGCAAGCTTCAGTGCCAGATTCTTCACCATACCCATCAAGCCTGCCTTGGAACTGGCATAGTGGCAGCCATTTATGCCACCACCATACCCGCTGATTGACGAGATCATGATAATGCGTCCCCATTTCTGCTCGCTCATATGCGGCACAGCCAGTTTGGCGAGGATAAAAGGCGCCCGCAGGTTGATTTGAATGGTATAATCAAACTCTTCATACGTAATGTCCCCGATTTGTGGTATTCTTTTCCCATATCCAGCATTGGCAACCAGGATGTCTGGACAATGGCCGTGCTCTGTCTCGATCTCTGCATAAAGATTCTCCATCTGTTCTGCCGACGCCATGTCTACCTGATGTGTGGAGATCTTTTGATCCGACGAGGACGCTTGGAGTTCCGCGAGGAGAGTGTCAACACTCGCCTTGTTCTTAGAGTATGTCAAGGCCAGATGGCAGCCTTGTCGATAGAGGTCTCGGGCACACCCTGAGCCGATGCTATGTGAGTCAGCTTTTGTCTCTTCCTGCACGCTGACGCCGACTTACCCTCCAGAGGCACCAGTGATCAGCGCAACCCGCCCTCTGAGTTCATTGTCGACGGACATTGCAAAATTCAACAAAGTGAAGGGCGATGAGTTTGTGGAGTAGTATAAAACTGCAATTGGGGGCAACCGCTGTATTAAATGCGATGCCTTATCTGAGAACATCCGGTGCCCAACAGAACAACCACTTTCGTGCTCACGACTTCGGAGACTGCGCCGATGCGAGTTGCAGACGATGCGGGGAAATTAATCTGGGTTGGGGGAACGGCAATCGACAGGGTCGGCTATTAGCGGCGGCCGACTGTGGCCCGATGAGACATTCGCTTACAGTACGCTGGTGAGAAACCAAAACATCGTTGTGAGATTGTCTGGTCGCGGTTCATCATTCTTCCCCGATTCTCAAAAGAATAGATTACCGCTCCAATCCCAGTTTGTGTTGTTGTTCAGCTGCTGCCATTGCACACCTTGGTTTTGTGGAAGAAACGACGGGTGGTCGAAGCCGGCCATGGGAGCAAGAAGGTGTGCTCCATTGCCTGACAATTGATCTCCAGAGACGTAGTCGCCCACAGCCTCGAGGTCAAGCCAGGAGAAGTCATTGGCCGGACTATATTGGAAAAATCCCTGAGCATCGACCCGGACACTACCACTTGAGGATCGTTGCGTATCGGACGCTGTTGGTGACTGCACTGAGTGCTGTGCTCGGACACCACTTTTGGGAGGCTTCACCCACAGCAGCTCCAGTAATCTGGCGTAACGCGAACCTGGATCCTGTGCAGAGACAGAAGCTCGTTTGAGTACGTCCATGGCTTGGATGACCAGTGTCCGAACTTGCCTTTCTTCTATTTCCGACATTACACCAAACGATCTCGCCTTGTACAGAAACACAGCCGAGTATATACAATACAGATAATACCGCAGCGGCATATATCGCAGAAATCTGCCAGGGTCGATCTGCGTACTGAGGAGAGTCAGGTATGCCTTGGCCGCAGCAACACTGGCCCAAATGAACCGTGCATCAGGCATTGCGCCAACGTTGCTGAATACGTTACGAAGGTGATCTCTCAGCGAGTGGGCATCGGTCTTGGGCTTGTTGGCAATGGCCTGAGATATTGCAGCTTGGAACACAAATGCATTGGTGTACAGACACAAGTATTCGTAGGAGAGTTGGAGGGTAACTTTGATGTGAGGCGAGCACTCCAATTTCCCCCAGGTTGTGTTCCAACGGGCGAGGGCATTGCGGAAGTCGTCGACATACTTGACATAATCACCCATGAGCATCATCTGCCCACTGGTTCTCATGCCCGAGTACAGAACATCGTGCACATTAGAATAGAGTTGGGTGAGATCAAGGGTGGCTTGCATGATTTTTGCGTAGTCTTCGTCACCTGGACTGAATGGCTGCAGGGAGGGAAAATCTTGAGGAGATAACCCTGTCATGGGTCCAGGGCCTCGGGACCAAAAGGCTTTGCCAATCCGCACGGAGATGAGGCGATCTGAGACGTAGCAATTGGCCCAAGCAAGGCGTTTGCGGCCGTCGATCCTGGCTTCTTCGGCAGACTCCTGACGAAATGCGGTTCTATCCAGTCCGAGAAAGTAGCCCGTTCGCAGCGCAATACCGACATGCATCCACGCACTGCGGTCTTCCTCACCTCGACCAACTGCCTCTATGCGGTTTCGCAGGCCTTGTGGTTCCCATTCAGCAAGGAGGAGAAGCGCTTCAACAGCTTCAACCTCACAGTCGTGACCTGCAGCGATCCCTGATATCAGATCATGCATATATCGAGAACAACAGAGGTGTATATTCGGTTGTTCGATCAAGTCTTTAGATGATATCGTCAGAACGGCAGTCAGCAGATGTTTATCATTAGCTGCAAATATATCCAATTGCGCGGGATCGAAATATCTCCGTGGCACCAGAGGAAGGTAGGCATGGTAATGCTCAGCATAGCGTCGAACAAGCATTTGTATCATGTCTGGCTCAAGGTAGCCCTCTCGGACCAGGCGATAAGTCGAAATACCAGCATGGATGCCGTTGATCGAACCACGAGGCGCTGACCCAGATCCATCACCCGCATTCTGATTCGGCGTCAAACTAGTCTTATATGTGTTCGCTGATGCTTGTAGATGTTCTGCCTCTCGATTGGCGACGTCCTTCAGAAGCTGCCATGCATCGGAAGGATTTCTCGGTATGGTATGCCCCAGAGTACTGTCGACCGTTGACGCAGAGTCATCGTCTTCTGCTGTGTTTCCTGCTGATGTGCCGTCCTGGTGTTCTTTGCCAGTTGTTGTCCGTGGAGTAATCTGAGAGGGAGGAGATAGTACGTAGGAGCTGGAAGGAGGGTTCGAAGACTTGTCGAGAAGAGGTGTTAAAGGAACATGGGTAAGCCCTGCGGTGGATGTCGTTGAGATGGTCTTCTTCCTGACTCGACTGCCACCGCGGTTGGAGGTGCCCAGGACACATTCGCGCTTCTCCTTTTTGCAGCGACCACACGGAGGTTGTCCGCCTGAGGCTTCCCTGCAATCATAGTCAATGATAAAACTCCAAGCGATCTACTTTGAAGTTGCCGAAGGACGGCTATTGCAAAGAATAGCCGGGCTGGACAGGTAAGATTCAAGACGACTGGAGGAATACGAAGGGTCCACCGAGAATGTCATAAAGAGTCGCAGGCAGGGCACCATAGCTCGGGGAAGAGGTGAAACCAAAACTGGTGGAGGCAGCTCACAGGTCACAGCGACTTTTACGAGCCCGACAGACGATGCAGGCTCTTGACACGCGCTTCAAGGTATGCGCAGAAGGGCTTTGGTCGGCCATCAGCGAGGCGAGGAGCGAAGCGGAGGAGTTTACTTGGGATCATCGCAGTTCAGCTGGAGGCTGGTCATTTTTCAATGGCGGGGGGATGGAGAAGCTTCAAAGACTGGCCCGGTAGGGGATCCTCCGGGGATCTTTTAGGCATTGTTTCAGGCATACCGCTTCCTACCACACTACCCACCAAGGCTTTTCGAAACCACCTGAGAAAACCTGGGCTTACCTAACATCCCCCGCCAAACCCCACCCGCGCCTAATTGACGCCTTTACTGTCTCCTGAACGCAGTGCACTAAATACAGTAAACATCGCCGTAGCCACAAAGGTACGAGCTGCCGGTGCGCGCAGAACGCGTTGTCGTTCCGCGTCATAGTTCAACAATTAATGAGGATGCTTCAGGCAGCAGAATGAACTTGCATGAAACAAGGATGCTTCATTCAAGTCGGCCGTTCCAATGCTGTCCATGGCGTTGCTTTTGCTTGATGGCTTCTTTGTAATAACAGCAAGGACGTGATCAACAAAATTTCTTTCTGTTCACCGCAGATTTTGTGCCGTTACTTCGCCACGTTCATTCACCGCGCTGCTTCACTTACTATTTCCTCCAAAGATCTCGCGCCTCAATGCGCTACCTCGCCTTGGTTCTTCCTTATTTGCTCAAGCCTTTCGATTTTGCCTGACCCATTCAACACCGCTCATTCATGCAGGCGCCCTGCCAGCCCTGTGTTTGCCTTGTTGCCAATGTGAAGAGGGACATCGTTCCTTAAGACCCTCCGATCTCCCGCCTTCATGATGGCCGACAACAACAATCGTGCTGTTACCACCAAAATTGAAGATCTTCAGGACGACATTGCTTTTAGAGAGGGCCTTATTGCCAGTCTTCAAGAGGTGGGCACAAATGAGGATGAGCCAGAGGTTCAAGATCACCGCGCCGCAATTCAATCTCACCAAAAGCAAATCCGTGCATTACAACGAACGATGAATGACACCGGCGCTGCGAACGCAGACAACCGTCAAATGTCGTCCTCGCAAGATGTTCAAAGTACCACTGGTACCAAGACCTCATATGTCAGACCGTCGCTACCAAAAGCCAGCCATCTTGATAGGAAGCGCCTCAGAATTGACATCTCTGACGATGATGGTCACGCTGTCCATCCCTCAAAATCACGCCGGACTACCCCAAGTTCATGCTTCACAGCAGCACCCTCACCTGCTGAATCATCAGGTAGTGTGGATAGTCTTCCTGAGTTGATTTCCCTCTTTGGTTCCGAAGAAGATATTGAACGCAATAGTCAAATCTGGAGGCAACTTGAAGAACGCAAGAAACAAGAAGAAGCCGATGCGGATCTTGCAAGAATTTTGGACCAACAATGGAGTCAGGAAGCTGTGAACGAGGATCAAGTTCCTCCCACTCACCAGGTTGACTACACCCAGCGTTTCCTTTCGAACGATGGTACCCTCCATCGCCGCCTTGCCAATGACGGAAGTCAATCCAACTCGTCTGGAAGTACTTCAACTTCACTTTTGCAAACTACAGGCCCTAAGTCAAACCACTCTTTCACATCCTCTGCGCCCGAGTCTTCAGAGCATCGAGGACTGATCAAGGATCAAGCCCTTCCTACTCGAACACTAGGCTCAGCACTTCACATAACGATTGAAGATGAATCTGGACCGTCACCGCGTGATCACTTTGAGTCTCGGTCATCATTACATCCTCCAGCAGGGGCGATGCCAGGGGCTTTTCCGGGATCGCAGCATACCATCAGTACCGGCGGCACTCCAGTCTACGATTTGACCCTGTACGATAGTTCTCCCTTGACCAACTCCCAACCTTCCTTTACTCTGCCCTCCAGCACCGTCAACCCGTCACCTCTACCTTTTGGTGCTCCATCGTCCCTGCCACACTACTATGTACGAGATCAGTACGTCGATCCAACGAAGACCAAAGAGGAAATTGAGACGCTATTGAAACATATCAGACCGGATGAGGAGTTCGCACCGGATCAAGTAGCCCACCAGCCAAAGGAGCTCGATGCAACTATGATGCCACACCAATTGTACGGACTGACTTGGATGCAAAAGATGGAAGATGGCACTAACAAGGGTGGAATTCTTGCCGATGACATGGGGCTGGGCAAGACTATCCAGAGCATAGGTTTGATCTTGAGCCGGCCACCACCAGCCAACAAGCACTTGCCGACTCTTGTCGTGGCTCCGGTAGCTCTGATGCATCAATGGAAACGCGAGCTGGAAAAGATGGTTAAGTCGCGACATCGTCTCAACGTTTTCGTCCTTCACGGACAGACGAGAAGCACAACTTGGTCGGCACTACGCGCTTACGATATCGTACTCACCACGTATGGTCTACTGTCATCAGAATTGAAGCGCAAACTCGATTGGGAACAAAAGAAGGCGTTAAACCCTGATGCACGCGACGATTGTCCAGTGTTAGGCGAGCGTTCACATTTCCACCGCGTCATCCTAGATGAAGCACAAAATATCAAGAATGCCCGTACGAAGGGAGCATTGGCTGCATGCCGAGTCAATGCAGACCATCGCTGGGCCCTCACCGGGACTCCGATGCAGAACAACGTGGAGGAAATGTTCAGCTTAGTCAAATTCTGCCGCATTCGCCCTTACAATGATTGGGATTTGTTCAGATCAATGATTTCTAAGCCTCTCAAGGAGAACTGGGCAAACCGAAAGAAAAAAGCCATGCAAACATTACAAGCATTGCTTCGGGCAATTTTGCTGCGGCGAACCAAGCAGTCGAAGATCAATGGTCAACCAATCCTACAACTGCCGAACAAGCATACCGTAGAAGAACGAGTCGTCTTCAACGAGGATGAGTCGACCTTTTACAAAGCACTTGAGACGAAGGCACAGATCCAGATCAACAAATACATCCAGAGAAACACGATCGGCAGAAATTATTCCCATGCGCTTGTCCTCCTGTTGCGCCTGAGGCAAGCGGCTTGTCACCCACATCTTGTGACCCAAAGCAAGGATTTCCTCCAAGCCGCCGGCAACCTCGATTCCAACGATCTCATCACGAACGCTACTGAACTCAAGGCAGATGTTGTTAAACGCTTGAAAGAGGCCGACTCCTTCGAGTGTCCAATTTGTATGGATGTGGATGAAAACCCGGCTCTTTTCCCCTGTGGTCATAGTCTCTGCAACGATTGTCTCTGCAAATTGGTGGATCAGGCCACCACGGATGCCGATGGCCTTCCGAAATGCCCGCATTGTCGTTCTCAGATTGATGCGAACAAAGTCACCGATGTTTTGAGTTTCTACCGGGTGCATTGTCCCGACCGAGAAGGTGTGGAACCTCTTCCTGACGTGGACTCAGACTCGGATTCAAATTCAGGTTTTAGTGACGAGAGTGATGAAGACGACAGTGATGATCTTGACGGCTTCGTTGTGTATGACACTGAAGATTCTGACGATGAGAAGTCGAAAGGCAAGTTACCAATCCGGTCAAAGCCAAAGAAGAACAAGAACAAGAAGTCTGCAAAGCTCAAGGATAACCCAAAGTCCCATTCTGCTTTCAAATCTCTTGCACAATTGCGCAAAGAAGGACTCAAAAACAAACATGCTAAGCGGAAGTACCTCAAACGTCTTCGAAAGAATTTTGTGACTTCGGCAAAGATCGAACGAACTGTGCAGCTACTCGAAGAGATCAGAGACCGTGGTGAGAATGAAAAGACAATCATTTTTTCAAACTTCACTTCATTCCTGGATCTCCTTGAAGTCCCGCTGTATGATCACCAAGACTTTCGCCGTTACGTTCGCTACGATGGAAGCATGTCTTCCAATGATCGAAACAACGCAGTGTTGACATTCACGGAGAATCCTGATTGCAAGATTATACTCATCAGTCTCAAGGTCAGTACAAACGGCTCTTTCGACCACTCATGACCAAGCTAACATTGGTATAGGCGGGCAATGCAGGATTGAACCTTACAGCCGCAAATCATGTGATCATGATGGATCCTTTCTGGAACCCATTTGTTGAATTCCAAGCAGCAGACCGCTGTTATCGAATTGGACAGAAGCGCGACGTGACGGTTCACCGAGTCTTGATTGGCGAAGGGGAAGATTCAGAGAGTGAACCTACACCTGGAGGATTCACTGTCGAGGATCGTATCTTGGCCCTGCAAGAGAAAAAGCGCAATTTGGTTGAGACGGCTCTTGATGAGTCTGCAGGAAAAGATGTCGCGAGACTTGGAGTGAGAGAACTCGGTTATCTCTTCGGCCTCAACCAACTATGATTGTAGATGGGTTCCGCTGGTCCTCTGCAACCATGTTGGAGGATGAAATTGCCTGTTCCACTCTGCGATACTGGCTTGCTTCTATTCCTTCGCATCCTCACACCGACAAACTCAAGAGCTTTCCACGATCAATCAACTGCAAGGAGCTACCTGCTGTGGCCCATTGCCCATCACAACTCTTTTCGATGAGTACTTTTTTCGACCACGGCCTATTGTTTTCAGCACCACGATTGTTTTTATTGTACGAGTACACGATCATGATACCCCGAGAATTCCAGTCGATATGCGCCACATGAAGGACGGAGTTCAACTATGGGCAGTCGAATGCATGTGTTAGAGTAGATATGCAGGTGGTTTTCTTTCGTCGCTTCAAGGTATTATGGGATTCAGACTAGTCATGGCATCAAGAGTCAGCTCAAAACCAGAGCAGAATTATTTCACGCGATAGAGCAAGCTCTGTAGATAGTCGAATACGACTCATCCAACTTTTGTTCTTCTTCCGCGCGAATCGAGACAAAGGGATCGTGTCTATGGGATTGTGTCTTTATCGAGTCTGTGTCAAAGCATTGACAATGGCCGGACACTTGATAAAGCACCGAGTCCTTTGTTGAGATGTAATCCTCTTTGTCCCGATTCTGCCCATGAGTGATCCAGGAACACGACTAATAACCAGTCCATGAGATGACCTTTTTTTCTCTCTCTCTCGTATTCTGATTTATTCTTACATTCCATACGCCTCTCGCTCACGGGGCTTCACCTGGTTCAATACTCGTCAACGATACTGATCGACTTTCCAGATTGTGCCATCACCATGCCTGAACCAGGAAATCCCAATGACCTCAATGGTGCCAGCGCTCTAGAAGCCGGCATACCTCCACAGATCTCATCGGTGCGTTCATTTACCATCGATCCCGAACCCGACTTCGTCAGAACCTCAACTGAACCGCCTTCTCCTCGCCCCCTTCCAGATCGTCCAGCCTCGTCATCGCCGCCTTTGGACTCGTACGATGACTCGTCGGACGTCACTTGGACACCGCCGGAAACGCACATCTCTTCTCTTCCGCCTCCGCGGCCGCGTCCCGCTCGGGCGGAGCCCGCGACCACCGGTCGCCCCCGGACCGGCGAAGTCAACGAACGATTCCCCGCCTTTGGCGACGCGGCCAACACCCTGATCGGTGCTCGTTTGCTCCTCCTCGACGCTCTGCATCGCCGCCCGGTCAACGACTGGCCCACCCTCACGGTCGAGCAGCACTTCAACTCCTTGTTTTCTCGAATCAGCCCGGAGACGGGCCACATCAAGACCGGTCAAGACCTGACGCGCACCAAGGTCGACCTTTCACGCGCCATGGCCGCCGGGCAGGCCTTTCGCCGGCAGCGCGGATTGGGCAACGCGGGGAAGGCGGTCCGCCTCGACGAGCCCACCGCCGGTGACGGAACAGCCACGTCGCCCAAGGACGCCGGGCCCAAGCAGTTGCTGCGGCGTAAAGTGGTGGCGAGAGCGAAACAGGGCATCGCCACGGCGCTGAGGTTCGAGGCGGAATTCGGTATGGGGTTCCTGCATCGGCAGGAGGCGTCGACCAATCTGAGAGGAGAAGACCCGGACCGACGCAGAGGCAGATCCAGGACCAAGCAGCCCCCTCGACCACCGGGGGTGTCGAGGGAGGAAGTTGCTCTGTCCTTGTCGATGTTGCGTGAGAGTTTTCCTGGGTTCTACGACATCGTCGAGGCCCGTCACTCGTCGATTGGACAAGATCGCGACGATGGCGCACCGTCGAGGGCGAAAGGTCTGGGGAAAGGGGAGATGGAAAAGATGCCCACGGCGGGACAGATCAACGGGATCGGTCTACAAGGTACGTCGTTCTCCTCACGTCCTATCGTGCGCCCACCGTCGAGGACGTCGACCTCTGATGGATCAATGAGCACTCCTATATCATTCGGAGGACGACAGTATGCTTCACTACGGGTCGTCGAACCGACTCGGGGATCAAAAGGTCAAGTCAGGATTCAGCAACCTCGACCGGCAGTCACAGCCCGTTATCAGCCGGTGAGTAGGTTCTACGAGGAACCCGATCCGTACTCTGAACAGGCTCAAGACAGCATCCACCCTTCACATGGCGGTGAGTACACGGAAAAGTTCGAGGTCGAGTCCAAAACGGCAAAGGTTTGTACGGCCATGAGAAAGGTGTCGTCAATGGTCAAGGCTTTCGCAAAGGGGGTCGGACTTCGGTCGTCGTCGTCGTCGTCGTCCAACAAGACTCCAAAGGAGGAGAAAAGATGGGCGCGTGGCGCCGAGTCGTCACGCAATGCCTTGAGAGACCGCAATCGACATGTTGATCTCCAAGGACAAGAGGAGGGAATCAGAGGTAAGGGATTTCACTCTACGTCGTCGCGGGTCGAGTTGCTGCCGTCGTCGTCGTTGTCAACACCACTTCGAGATTCCACGTCACGTTCAAATGGCCCTGGCCTTGCTTCGTCAAGTCGGCCTTCTCGATATTATGACTCGCCTGGGATCATGAACGCGATTCGATCGAGTATGGAACGACCAGTGACAGAGGCAAGACTTGTCACGGTCCCAAAACCCCGACCTCGGAAGTTGAAGAAGAATCCGAAAGTCGGAGTGGATTCGAACTCGACTCGAAGATGAAGATGATCGTTGGAAACGGCGACAAGGTAAGTCACATGCGAGCGAGATACGACGGCAACTGTTCCTGTCGTCTTGAAGAAGACCAGGACGATCAGACCACAACCAAACAAGACAAGGTAAGGCAAGTTCAAATGGAAAAAGAAGAAAAACAAGCAGGTCTTGGTTTCTCTCTTCTCTGGAGCTTTCTCATGAATTTACGAAAACAACAGGTCAGAGTATTTTGTGCTGCTTGCGGTAGTCATGGTCATGTTGACATTCCAGCTGGGCAAATAGAATTGAATTTTGTTTTGTTTTGTTTTTTTGGTTCGAGTACTACATGGCTTCATCTTCGCCCCTCAATCATTTCATCAATCATGATACACTTGCAATATATCGTTCCCCTTGTGTAGGTACCTTGTGACTATGTTATTCATGGCCAGGGGGGCACTTTGTTCAGGCGAAGGTCCCAAATATATCCGAGACATCACACCATGCGTTCATGATCTCCCAACGCGAGACTTACTCTCGATTTAGCATTTGCCCCCCCGGTTGTCCCACTCAATACTGTACTGTATAGTGATGGTACGGAAAACAAAAAGACGTCGAGAGAAGGGAATGGAATGTGGCTCAAAAGTGGTGTTGGTTTTTTTGTCGTTGCTGTTCCTGTACAGTTTTTCGCAAACAGAAGAACGAAAAAAGGAAAAGAAGGACTCTCGTATTTTTAATGTTTTCATATGATTAGGTGTACTCGATATTACTATCCTCTTTTCTTCTATATTAGATCTCTTTCTTTCGCATTCAATGCCATCGCTATGCCTTTTTTTTTCCAAAACAAAAGGAAATTGTCAAAACTCAGTACCGTGCCATATCGCTATGCTGTTGCCATGCTATGCCCATCCCATGCTATGCTATGCCATGCTATGCTATGCAAAACAAACCCAAAGATGAAAGAAACTCGTCAAGGATAGTCGGTTAAGTCGGGCGTCAATGAAATGAGACCAAAAACAAGAGATGTTCAGAGGTGGGAGTTTGGAGGTTGCATCACAAAGGAGCCATTTTCTCTTACCACACTGTCACAGAGCTGGTGGTCGAGACAGGAGCAGCAGTAGTAGTGGATACAGCGGCTGAAGTGGTCGTGACCGCTGGAGTGGTTGTCACTGCTGCCGATGTGGTTGTGGTCACTGGTGCGCTTGAAGTTGTAGAAGTAGAGGTAGATGTGGTCGAGGCGGAAGTGGTGGAAGCGCTCGATGTGGTAGATGCGGATGTGGTGGTAACGCTTGATGAGGTTGAAGTGCTTGATGATGTCGATGCCCAAGTAGTCGTGGTGCTTGCCTTGGAAGAGGTAGATGTTGTCGAAGTGCTAGAAGCAGACGAGGTGCTTGTCGAGCTGTGGTGCTTCTTCGTGCTCGTGCTCGTGCTCGTGCTGGTCGATGTTGGGGCTACTGTAGTCGTGGTGGACTTCTTGGTTGAAGTGACGAGAGTGGAAGTTGGAGTAGGAGGGTTTGGAATGGCGATGGTGCAGGTGATACCCCAAACATCAATGTAGGTGATGGTTTGGCAGTGGTTGCATTGAGATGGAGGATAGTAGACACCGGAGCCACCGTTGTTGGGAGGTTGCGTTACAGTCACGGTCACCGTCTTGGTCACTGCAGGAGGGCAGACAGGAGCTGGCGTGGTCTGAGCAGGAGGAGCTGGAGTTGGCTTTGGGTGCCATGGTTTAGTGACAGGATAGCATGTTGTGGTGGTGTAGGTTTCAGCAGTCACCCAGGTCGTGTAGATTGTGGTTGCACCTTGGGTCGCCACCGGAGTAGAGCATGGAACGAATTTGGTCTTTGTGATCCATTCTGTGGTGGTAATTGTGGTCCAAATGGTGGCAGGAGTCGTGGTGGTGACAACGCTCGTGGTTGTCTTGTGTGGTTTCTTCGTCGTGGTGGTCGAGGTGGCGTTGTGAGACGTCGTGGTGCATGAAGTAGAGCTCGTTGTTGGAACAGAGCTGGAGCTGGAGCTGGAGCTATGCGATGTCGTGGTGCACGAAGTCGAACTGGTCGTTGGGACGGAGCTGGTTGACGTGCTGGAGCTATGGGGTGTCGTGGTGCAAGACGTCGAGCTCGAAGAAGTGCTAGGGCTCACGCTCGTAGTTGAAGCACTCGTGGTGCTGCTCGAGAGAGACGTGGTAGTTGTGGTCGTCGAGTTGCTTGCCCATCCTTCAGCATAAGGATGTGCCAGGGAACTGCCGGCGAGGGCTGCAACGAGAAAGATGATTGGAGAACGCATATTTGATGATGTGTCTGGGCAGTGATAAGATGAACGAATGTATGTGTATGTGTCTGTGAGTGTGTATGGGGAAGAGCGAATGTATAAGGAGTAACGAGTGTCCTTGTGCAATCAGCGAATGTGTGAAGTGTGTTGTTGGTTGGTTGTTTGTATGCTTTGATGATGATGATGGAAAGAAAAGAGCCTCTGAAGCTTGAGAGACTTGGAATTACTTATACCTGCCTCGATGATTCTCGAAATAGATTGAGACATCTCTGGACTGATTTGAGCGTAGCATCTGCTCGTCGACGCCATGGTATTGGGCCATGTTACCATCACCCAGTGGTCAGATGTGAGTGTGTACAAGGCTAGACGAAGATGAAAGTCTCGAGACCTGAGAAGGCTGTGCCTTGCAGTTGCAGTCGATGCGAGGGAAAATGGCGCACAGAGCACGTTAAGTGGCTGAGCTAGACCTAGAAGGGATGGATATGGCTGCTGTTTTAATCCATGACGTACAACACGAGTCCAATTATTTCCGCAGGAAGCTCAGCGTCTGGGCCAAATTGTATGCGGTCTTAAACTACCCCGAGCTCGCATGGCTAAAGCGGCGTGGTTACCTCTGAAGAATCTGGGTTCTGGCCACTCACTATTTTTAGGGCGAACCAGTGCTCAAGCCACTTGAGGCGTCGAGAGGAGAGACTTGAAGACACCTGAAGACACCTGAGAATGACCTAAAAGACACCTAAAGACCCTGCCCAGGCACACCCGAAGAACCACCTGAAGCTACCCTACCATACGGCTCTCCCCGGCCACTTTGACCACGTTACCTTGGGACCGGCGGATTTGGTCTCATCCCTCCAGATTTTGTCGTGTTTGTTCGGTCGAATCACTTACTCCTCACTCGCTGCATTGTCACCCTATGATGTCTTACGGCTTCATCTTGGCCAAGCTCCGTCTCTATGGTGCTTTTACAACATGTGAAAATTCTCTTCATGAGCAGGTAATGGCAAGGGTCTCGATCAGTCAACCTAACAATAGATTCAATAGCACTTTTTCCCCATTTCAACCTATCTTCAGCGCAGTCTGTCTACTATGAATTTCTACAATTTCAAGCGCAGTCAAGTCCGCCATTCCGCATTAGGCAGGTACATCCCATTTTACAAGAGTCCAATTCACCACTCGAGCTGATGCAGCAAAACACCATCCAGAAAGAATTCTAATCAGGGTACCACAAGAGATCCTTTGATCATCACAGAGTGCATTCAAGGCCGCCAAAAAAGGAAGACTCTCTATATTTTCCCATGCCATTCCATTACAAGAAAAACAGCCTTGAGCATGACTTAAATCCACATCAAATGACCACAACTCGATATTGTGTCTCAGTTACCGAAACCCAACTTTCCCTGGATCTCATATCATGTCCTTGCCGATGCGTACGATTGATCCGACCGATTGAAGTAGCACGACTCTAATCACGACCTCCCTTGTGCCTAGACATTGTCATGACAGCCATGTCAAGGCCATAGACTATTTTCAACGACATTGCCAGCTCTCTCGTCCTCACATATCGCCGTTTTGAACCTCCACTAATTCACTCGTGTCAATGCCAGTCATCATAATGCTGGACGGTGCGCGCTGATCTGGTCGCCACCGAGTGGAGTGCAAGCACCCAGGCGGACCTCAGTCGCCGAGTGTAGCAAGAATAGATGTCTGCAATGCTCAGGTTCTAGCTGACCACACTATAGGACCACCTGGAGTGGTCGGCGACCCCTGGATGTTCATCTTCCTCAGATGGAGCCGTGACAGTCACACCATTCTCAATTCCGGCAACATCCATGAAAGTACAGGGCAACTACCATGTTCGAGCCATTCGCTGTGGTGTTGATGGTTTCGGAGGTGGATAATCTGCCACGAAACATGGTGGCTATTTTCATCAAAAACCACCAAGTTCTTCAGGATCTTCACGGTGGCGTGATATCGGCGAGCCATGGACATCGAGGATCCTGAATGGGTCGCCCGTCTATAAATAACTTAGCATGTGTTTATGAGGTGAACGCGCAAAATGATATATCCGAGTCGAACTTCAGACAAAATAGAGAAGATGTTGTGTGGCTGGTTTTTGTAGGCATTGCACAGAAAGTCCCAGGGTTGAGATCGTGAGATTCAACCACTGTACACAAAGTGCTCCTCTGGCCCCAGCTGCCTCATCATATGTAGCGAAGGGCAGAGTGATTGACTGACCTTTTGCATCAACTCTTTGCGTCAAAGATACACCGATGAACATTAGTAGCGGTAGTAATGTCGGTCGGATGTCACGAGTTCAACCCTGAGGCTTTCCTCTTCGTCGTCTCATTTCCTCTACCTTCCTCTTGTCCTCTTCAAACTTCTTCAACATCTCCGCATGCTCTTCTTTCCTCTTCTCTCGCATCTGGAATCTGTAAAAGTCTTCGAGACCCTTGTTCTTCTCCTTTTGTCGCTCTGCGAGCTCCTTGGCCTCGTCACTTCGGACTGCGCCTCGGGACGCCCTTGTAACGGTGATGAATCCGTCTTCGTCAGGCTCTTGTCGCTTCCGAGCGTTCTCCCGACTTCGTGCCTCTTCCATCTGGGCGTACGCAGTCATGAACCCGTTGACCGATCGAAGTAATTCTTTCTTCGACGGATACTGCAGATGCTTGTGGTGGGAGTACCTCGTCATGCCCAAACGAGGAACACCCCGGGTCGTGCCACTGCTCCATTCCAAAGCTGTGCCTGACTTTGCGGCTCGTTTCGCTCCCTTGAATGCAAGTTCCATGCTCGCCCGGTCCACAAACACCACAATCGCCGTCGACCCTGTCTGGTGGATTTCCGAGTCGAAGGCTTTTGGTAGGGAATATGCGTCCAAGCCCGCCTCGAGTTCTTCCGCGGTCATTCTCTTCCTCTTCCGACTCGACATTGCGCCGGACGTGGGTTTCCCGGTGACATTTGTTTCGGAGAAGTGGACCGCTTCAACGCGTCCGCCTTCGAGTTGGTTCGTGAAGAGATGTCTCAGGGCTTGTGTCGTCGCCGATATGGGAATGTTCACTAGGAACAGAGATCTTCGCGCATCGTCGTCTGAGATTTTCGGGTCGTGAGGTTTCAGGTACAAGTAGTGCAGTATTTTCTCCGGTAAACCATCTATCGATGGCAGCCTCAGCGGCAGAGCCACACAGCCGCCGACTTCTCGAGGTGGTCTCATGTTTAAAGGGCTCGTCCAGTATTGTACACTGTAGAAAGAGACAAAACCTCGCTCGACATTTTTTGTTACAAACGAATCACCCGCGGCCTCGGGCGATCTAACTCCGAAGATCTTGGCACTTAACTCCGGTCTATATCATCAAATATTCCTCAACCCAAAGGTTCAAACTGGACCGACCTCAAGCAATGCCAGTTGTTGTCTCTGCGACCGTCGCCGCCATGAGGACGCACGCAGTTCGATTATCTCGCCCTTGGCGAGGCCAGCGTTCTTGTCCCTTGCCTTCCTTCCGACCTCTCTCCACGACACCGTCTCGATTCGCAAATGCCCTCCCCATCACCGCCACTGGACCTCCCCCGGACCCTCCCACGCCCGCTTCAGGCCCTTACTCCGACAAGGTCACAGAACGTCGGCGCAAAGCGGCCCTCCTCGAAGCAGGCAAAGAGATTCGTGCGGCGGCGGCAGCATCGCAGTCCCCTGGCAAAAAATCGTCGTCACCTTTGAAGAGACGATTCTGGAAGGATGTACACATCCGAGAGTCCCCCAGCGGGGGTTTCGAAGTGTACCTGGACGCACGACCGGTCAGGACACCCTCCAAAACAATCCTCACCATCCCCAAGTCAAAGCCTCACCTGGCCCACGCCATAGCCATAGAATGGGACATGCTCGAGTCGGCACAGCAGGCTCTCAAGAACCACAACATCCCCATGACCTCGACGACCGCCCGGGCACAAGACATTGCCGAGGCCGAAGCGAGAGGGGACCACACAATCAGAAACGAAATCATCAAAGTCATGATGGGCTACCTGGACACGGACACGTTGTTGTGTTGGGTGCCGGAGCAACAGTCGTTTGACGACGGTACGGGACCACTGGATACGCAGACTGAGACAAAAAAGGAAACACTACGACAGAGGCAGATCCGGATCGCGACACCAATCTTGGCCTTCCTCAATACGTCTGTCTGGCCCGGGGTTGAAATCAAGCCGGTACTCGACGAGGGTAGCATCATGCCGGTCAGGCAGTCCGAGGTCACGAGGAGCGTGATTCAAGGTTGGATCGCCGGACTGCCGGCCTTCGAGCTCGCGGCGTTGGAGAGAGCCGTACTCGCCACCAAGAGTCTCCTGGTCGGCACCAGACTCTTGATCGAATGGAGCGAGGAGTTTCGGGATCTCCAGCGAGGCGGGCCCGACGACGCGAGGTTCGGCATCGAAGAGGCGGCCGAGGCGGCGACTCTGGAAGTCCGCTGGCAGACTGCCATGTGGGGAGAAGTCGAGGACACCCACGACGTCGACAACGAAGACATACGACGGCAATTGGGAAGTGCGATTCTGCTCGTCAGTGGAGGTCGGTAGACTTTTTGAGAGAGCGCGCAAAGGTTTCAATTCTTTCGCATGAGATGTATAAGTAAAACTTCAGTGGTCCCCGAACGAAACATGGGGCTAATCCAATGGCTGGGCAACCCTCCTGCTTGCGCATCCTCTCTCCTGTCTACATAGGTATCTTAGTTATTCTATAGTTTAGATGCAGGCATGGCGTGATGATGAGAGACTTTGCTCAGTGCTTTTTGAGCCTGATGAACAACATTCAGTAGTCAGTATCTTATCTAGAGCAGGGTGCGATGAATGATACAAGAAAGAAAAGTTGGAACGGGGCGAACGCTCACTTCATCAATCGCATCATACTGCTCCAGCCAATTGTCAAAGGCATTCGACAACGGACTAGCATCAAAGTTTCCCTTGATCGGAAGCTTCTCCTTTCTCTCCTGCATCCCCTTGAGAGCCGAGTCTCTCTTCATCTGCATCTTGCCGTCCGGCAGGCAATACGCTATTCCCATCTCACGAGACCGGAGACGCGTCTTGGTGGTTCGAGGTTGCCTGAGTTCCTGATACAATCGCGCGCGAACCCTGAACGCGTGGTCCTCGTCCGCAGACACATTGTGGAAAAACTCGGCCAGGACTGCAGCGTCTTCGATACACATCCCGGCCCCTTGGCCCGCGTACGGCATCATGGCGTGGCACGAGTCACCTGCGAGAATGACCTTGCCGTTCTCGCTGTGCCACTTTGGTGCGTCACACTCGCTCATTCTCCATTTCCAAGCGCCTTTGCCCTTCCGCAGACATTCTTGCGTCACGGGGCCGTAGTCGCGAAACCGGCGTCGGAGGTACCTCATGTCGGAGACGTACTCGAAGAAGACATCCGGGTGCGGATCCTCTTCGAAATTGTACTCTCGCACGAGGAGTTGTAAATCGAAGACCTGGCGAGAAAACAACGGACCCGAAAAGGTCGCCGTCCCCGGCCCCATGGTGAGGTTGGGCGTTCGCTGAACGATCAGCGCTTTTGCGGCTTGACTCTCCAGGTCTGACAATGGCACTTGAAACTGGAACCCGGTGTCCGTGCCTACGATAGGTCTGACTGATGGGAACAATGACTGTCGTACTTTGGAGCCTATGCCATCAGCGCCTATGACCAGGTCCGCGGGGATGGGGGCGCCTCCTCCAAGGATCAGCGCAGGTCTGGAGGCGTCTACACCAGATATGCCCGTGTTGAAGAATACCTTGACGCCATGCTCGAATGCCTTTGCCAGCATTGATCGTCGAAAGTCTGATCGCAATATAGAAAATTGAACTCCGGCCAGAGGTTTCGCATATGCCAAAGTTTCCTCAGTGGACCAGCGCCTTACCACCATACCATCGCTCTCGTGCCCAACATCGCTGATATCGATGTGCCATTCCCTGAGAATACGCACGGCATTTGGCTGTAGTTGAATAGCAGCACCGCCTTCGTTGGCGAATACCTCCTCGGTTTTTCGTTCATAGATCGTGACAACATGGCCATATTGTGCAAAGGCAATTGCTGTGACTAGTCCAGTAACGCCGGCGCCAGCGATGGCGATTTGAAGCATCTTAGACGGGCAAGAGACAAACAGAGCTGTACTTTGCAGAGAACAAAAAGATGTTCCTTTTGTAGGCAACGTGGCCAGAAGGATCGATCACAGGTAAATTACCTTCATAACTGTAGTCTTGCATGTTTACCGGAAAAGGACATGGCTAAGCCGTAGTAGGACCCTCGTAGACGGATAGTAGGTGGCATTGCAGATCATTCTCCAGTGGAACGCCTAAGATTCCAGTTCCGTCTTCTTCGGATCAGCAAAACGAGGTTTTTTGGTCTGACATCAGCCCCCGATATTCTTTGACCAGGTCATGTAGAACCTGACCTCAATCTGGCTTTCGGGCCGAGTCGTTGTACGCCAGGTCTCGGGATGTATGATGGGTAGAGAAGGTCCACGGCCTTTGATTTAGTCCTCAAGACATCTGCAGCGCTGACCTTCTTCTCCAAATATTATATCTTTGCAAACAAGCCATCTGAGAACATTGGAGGAACCTCATGGAGAGGTGTTGGCTTCGGCGACTGATTGGCTGATGATAAAAACAGGTCTTCCCTGGTGCTGATGACACTTTCGAAAGAGGATAATGTCACAAATAACCACAACGACTGGAAGGTACCATCAATGCGGAGCCTTCGTCTGAGATGTCAGCGCGTATAAGGTTGAGACCCGATTTATAATGTCCACATCATGTGTTTTTTCTTCACGAAAGTACCTCGTATTTCTGTGCTGTGCGCCTCTCTGTTCGAGCTTGTTCAGTATCCTCTTCTGCCCCCTCTCCCTCCGCGGAAACCACCAGAGTCTGGGAGTCGCTCGCCTCGTCTCCACTCGCCACTAGGCATGGTTCCAGGGCCACCAAAGTCGCTTCTAGGCCCATGGCCGTTGTAGTTGGCTCTGCTTCCTATCCCATATCCACCTCCTCGTACACGACCATAACCATTTTCTCTCGTGCCCCCTCTGCTGCTGACACTGTTACGGCTCACGACCGAGCCGTCGCTGAGTGGAGGAAAGACTGCACAGTCGATAAAGTCCCCAATCACAAAACGGGCGTCTTCGAGCGTCTTGTCGAGTTCATCGCCATCCATATTGGGCGCTCCGTCGCCATTCGAGTCCTTGGATGCCGATATGACGATGCTCCCTATCTCCTTACTCAGATATCGACCCCTTCCGTCGCTCTCCAGCCTGCCTCCACCTCCTCGGCTCGCATGAACATCGGGGTAGACTAGTCTAAAGCTCAACCGAGTTCCAATGCTCGGGTCGGGTAAGATATGAGGCAGCGTTTGTGTCAACAGCTGCGCCAATTCTCGTAAAGTACAGCTCATCCAGGTATATATCTGTAGATGTGGAGGTAGGGCAGGGCGCGGGTTCGAGGGCGTCGGTAGTGGGAAGTCGGTCAGATTATGAAAGCCAGACGATTTATAGCAGAAATTGAGGAGGAACGGAGTCGTGGTCTGACGATCAATTGAGGCTTTCGCTGGCGGAGATGGAGAGCGCGACATGGTTGCTTGAGTGCGAGAGACGAGCGCGCTCAAGGTGCGAGTTATGGCTCTGAGATCGGAAATGTATCCTGTGGTGGGTTGTTGCACTCCGTGTGGTGATCGTTATTTCCTGAGGCACAGCTGACGCGCGCGAATTCACCAAGGCGATTAAGTAGAGGCTGAGATTGAGTACAACTTCGTGTCGAAAGCACTGTCAAGCCTCGGGATGTTGAAGGATGTCGAAGAGTTGTTCATCAGTTGATTTCATCTTCAGTGACACCTGCAGTAGTTCAGCCTTGTGTGGGGAGCTGCTCAGCCTTGTCGAGAATCATCATCTACTACCTATGTAGAGGGATCTACCACCAGTCCACCTCACTTTCTTCGCCGTCATGCCATCAGCAGCTTATATGGTGATATGCCACAAGCCATGAATGTTTTCAAACGCCAGTGTGCAGATTTGACGTGTAAGTGATTTGTTGCATGTTGAAAGATGAGAATCTCGCAAACAGTTCTGTTGTGAACCAAACACCTTAGCCTTGGGAGAGCTAGGCCACATCTCAACATGATTGAGATGGAGGTCAATCTCTCAACAATACTCTCACATGGCTGCTAGGCAAGATTTGCAGGTGTATACGCGTCAATTCTCTGCACGACGCAATAATGTGTCAGGCTGTTACACCGTGGCTGAACACCACATGCTTGTGACGGTGAACTATTGAACCTGGATCTTCAATATCAACTGGAAGTACGGTTACCATGACAATTTAATAAAAATGGTGGCTTCATATATCAGGAGAGTGTGAGTCTGTTTGCAAAATTCCCCCAGAAGCTCGTCTCAAAAAACCCTCTTTGGTTCCTTTTTTGTTCTCCTGAATTCAATCTCAATGACACTGACTTACCAATACTACGCCCCAAGTACCATTCAAGATGTACTTGTCTCTCCTGCTGACGCTCTATCTGTTACACCTCTCCTTTGTAGTACGCGCTCTCGGTCACCACGACTGGTCTAATCAGACACTCTGCTCAGCCAATTCTTTCCAGATCGCCAACAACGGCACCGACAGTACCATCTGGCCATGGCAAACTTACAGATCGTCCAATGCCACACCTCCAATGCTCCAGATCAACACCACTGGCAAGAATTTGAGCCCCGGTCTCCTGTTCTTTACCCCGTTCGACGGTTCCAGCACTCCTGGCGCGAAAGAACAAGTCCTCATCGTCATGACTGACAAAGGCGACTTGGTTTGGAACGGACCGGAGCAACACAATGCTGACCTACGTGTCCAGACATTCAACGACGAACCAGTCCTGGTCTACTGGTCAGGCGAAGGCACTGCCGGCACTTCTCTGGCAGTCGGACACGGCTACGGCGAAATTGTTGTCCTCGATAAAAGTTATCAAGTCACACACACCGTGTGCCCGAATCTCGACATCACTCTTCCCCCCGGCGCGACGGCAAGATGTGCTGTGGATGTTCACGAGGCTCTGATCACCTCACGGGACACGATGCTTTTCACGGCGTATAATACAACCCCCTTCGACCTGTCCAGCATAGGTGGTCCGAGGAATGGATGGGCACTGGATTCGCTCGTCTTTGAAGTCAACATAACCACGGGCGAGGTATTGTTCGAATGGAGTCCTCTCAGACACCTACCACTTAACAGTACACACTACCCTCTTAACGGTGCCGGCGTCAACGCAAGTGTACCGTTTGACGCCTTTCACGTGAACTCTATTCAGCTCATCGATGGTGGCCACTACCTGATCAATTCGCGCCACACCTGGTCTACCTATCTAGTTGACACTGACGGCAAAATCATCTGGGAAATCAATGGTCTTGACGGTGGAGACTTCGGGAAGCTGCCAGAAGGTGCTTCGTTTGTATGTTTTTGTTTATTTGCCCTTCACCTCACAGCTACTGTTCCCTTCGCGCATGTATGTCTTCAGACACTTATTTGCTCCACTCCTAGTCCTGGCAACACGATGCCCGCTTTTCCTCCATCAACCAGGCTTCTGCGTTCCTCACGTGGTTCGGGAACAATAACGACGAGTTCACCTCTCCGAACGACCTGCGACCTAGCACGGGTCTCAAGCTACAGGTCAATCTCCCTCCCACTCGAGACTCCCCACCAACGCTGATCAACAACTTCACCGACCCCCAAGACACCATCGGGTCGTGGTCACAAGGCTCATACCAAGAGCTCCCCAGTGGCAACGGGTTATTAGGGTACGGTGCGACAGCCAGGGTCGCCGAGTACGCCCCGCCCAGCTCGGCGAAAACTTCCCAGGGTGAGGTCGTCTGGTCCGCTGCATTCGGGTACGGTGATCTCGTGTCGAGTTATCGCGTGTCCAAACAGGAATGGCATGCCACCCCCGCAGCAGACGACCCTAGCCTCGTCGTCCTCGCCGCCGAAGCCAACGATACCCTGACGCACTGCGCGGGAAGTTCGGTCTGGAGAGGTTACGTGAGCTGGAATGGCGCCACCGACGTGACGAGTTGGGAGATCTACGTCGTCGGGACCAGCAACACCTCGATCATGCGGTCGATCGGACAAGTCGAGAAGATGGGGTTCGAGACCGAGTTTGTCGTCCCGGTAGGATCGGCGTACGTTCAAGTCGGTGCGGTCGAGTCTTATGGTGCTCGGGTGGTGCGGAACTCGACGGCGGTGAAGGTGGGAAGTTGGAAGATGCAACATGTCACTTCTTTACGACTGGATCGAACGCAGTTTGATAGGACTAATTGAAATTGTTGCAATGTATGAGCAAATGATTACAAATGGGAACAGCAGTTGCAATTTGTTCGTCTCGGACATACTGTACGGCATGCTCATTCTCATCCCATCGTGTCATTACCAGAATAATTGCCTAAGGTAGGTAAGTGGGTAGGTAGGTACCTTGGGTAGGCAAGTAAAATAAATCATACACTCGTCATATACATCTCGTGCAGGCAGACAAGTTTGCTTCCCTCATATTGAACACGGTATCACTCAGACGATTTTGATATTTATCCGACCCTGGACGGCGTTATACCCGACCCCCCGGAGATTCCAATTGCCTTTTGGATTTTCCTCATCCATCGTATTTCCAGCACGATCAGTAGCTTTACTCCAGATATCTATCGTGTCGTTGGTTGCCTTGGTGGTGGTGGTGGTGGTGGCGGTGGTGGTATCAATCTCAATCTCAACCTCCCACAACACCCAACTGAATTTCCCTCTTTCCTTGCCCTTATTTGCGGGATGTGTGGTGTTTTCGTCTCCGTCGTCCAGGACGGTGGCGTCCTTCCAAGTCTCGCCACGGTCGATACTGACCTGTACCCTCTCCACGGGACCCCCTTTACCCTGAGGGATAGCGTACCCGGCTATACGTACACGACCGTTGCCGTCTCGTCTCAGCTCGTCCCCGTCGTGGGAGGGTAGGGCGACGACAGAGTTGATCGGGTTATCTTGCATCGCCGGAGTCTTGTCCCAGACTCCCAAGTCCTCTGCTTTCTCTGGAGACGTGGCTTCGGGAGGTAACACCTTGTAGTCGTGCTGTTGATAGTGGTTTTGCGATTCTTGTGCAGAAATGACTATCGTGTCCAGCCATTTGACACTGCGGGCTCCGATGACTCCGGGGATGATTGCTCGGACTGGTGCGCCGTGGCGCGCGGGAAGGGGTGAACCGTTCATCTTTGTGTGTCAAAAACACAAAAGTTCATCAAGTCAGTCGAGGTGGTCCTCTCGCCATCATGAAAGGGGAGATATCTGGCTGTACAATAACACAGAAGAGGAAAAAAAAGGAAGTCGTCCAACTTACATCCAGAGCAAGAACAACCTCTCTCTCAGGATCCATGACCATGCCCAGTGGCACACTGGATCCGTACCACTCGTCATCCTGTACCTTTGTGGCATTACACTCCATCTGGACATGTAACCCGTCATGGTACTTTAGGTCACTTTTCACATTCAGTCCTTGGTCGATGAGAATGTCACGTAAAAGGGGTCCCGTCCAAGCTGCATTCATGCTGCATTTGCGTGACGAGTTTTTGTCAGTAAATCGGATTCGAAGATCGGGATTCGGGCTTGGATTTCGAGTGTCCCAGATTGACATGACGGATTTTACTTACACAGCACCATCCCCCCAATCCACCCCGGTGACCTCCTTCACCCTGCTCCTCACCTCGTGTCGTCGATTCCCGGCACATTGCAACGCGCATGTGACTGTATGTTGGGCGAATCTTCGTCTAAGGTCGTCCATGCTTAAAGTCACGTCGATGCCTTCGGGCGGAACGTCACTCGACTTCATCAAATTCGACTGTTCAGACCTGATGGTCACCTTGTGCGTCGAAGCATCGATGTGCTGTATTGGTCCATGGTTGCGGTCGTATGCTTCGGGTTCTCCCGACGCGTCGTGGCTTTTCGAAGGCGTGAGGAAGCTTTTTACAAGAAATCATCAATCAATCGATCGATCGATCAACCACTCCATCATCAGCCTTCTCCGAGTGTCCTGATCCTCTGCCTTTCCTTTCATTGCCTAGCCTACTTACCTTTGTACTAGTTGCTCCGCTGGAGGTTCCCTGTTGACAGGCTCATCTGTGGTGCCATCGTCTTGTGGACTCATTTTGTCATAAACACTAGTATGCGGTATATCTCATTCAGATCGTCGGAATAATGTGAGCAAGGAATTGGCAAAGGCAACGGAAGAACATCACCTCAGGGAATAAATAATATTAACAGAAACTCCCTCTAACATCAGTCTCCGCTTTTGGGATTGACGTCATCCATATCCCGAGTCTCCTCAAGGTTGCAAGTTCTCCTTATTCAATCAATTGCATGAACCATGTCTTGATTGTGTTCTCTGACAAGAGAGAGACTATGAAACGTCCCTACTGAAGCATTTTGCTCCACTGAATGCTATCCTGATGCCTGAGATGTCCTTTTTTTGGATTTCAAGTCACCACCAGTTCACAATTACATACCAATGCAATAGCACCGTAGACACCGATTATGCCAACTTGACCTCGCTATGCCCAAAAAAATAACAAATCATCACTTGAGACTTGGAACTGATTTCCTTCCCTTCTTGCCTTTTGGCTTTTGTTGCTCATCGCTCGTGCCCAAGATAGCATCAAACGTCATGTTTGGATCTGCCTCAAATTTGATCGTTTGGCTCAACATCGAGGCTGGGCGTGAGGTTGACTGATGAGAAGCTGACGCATCAATTGGCTCTAATCCAAGGCCGCTGATCGAACTCCTATCACGACTGATTCTTCGAACATCAGAGGATGCAGATGAGGCTGGCTTCAGCAGTGGTGACGCGTGCGGAGATATATATGGTGAGTCTTGCGGGTTTCGGTATTGAGGAGCAGCAATTTGACCATTCCATGCTTGTGACTTGATGCTAGGTACCTGACCCGGGTACACATGCTGACCATCATCGCCTTTCGCAGGTATCCATTCTGTTGCTGCTGTCCAGCAATGACTTCGTCGGTAAACTCCTTCAACACTGTGGTCGATCTGATCGGCGGGTAGGCTCACAATACCACCGCCACTAGCGACATTGTACCATGACCTCGAAGTTGATTGGTCATCCTTCATCCATGGCCTGCCTCCTCGAGGGGCAATGCACACAAAGTATTCAACACCATCAGTGTATTGTAGATCTCGCGCGTCCACAACCATTAATGGAAGTGCCTGGAGGACAGCATACAAAAAGAGCCATTGTCCACATCGGGCGTCAACGATTTGTTCGAGAACCTTTCCGTGGCCCAGACGGCGCTCATAGCTGAAGAATTCTTGAACGAATGAACTTGCATTTATGGAGGTCCGATTGTATGATCCCAACAAGACTTCATTAACCTCGTTTTCTCGCAATTTCTTGCTTTGCAAAGCTGTTTTGTCCGACACAACGACATGTCTGCGATTGAAGCTGTGGGAGAACTGTGGTAGGAGAGGAGTGTCGAAGGGCATGGGAGGAACGACAGGTGGCGTAGCCCGGTCATATTCACTCTCGACACGCCTGATCGCATGTTGAATTGACTCGTTGAGATCACTAGTCTCAGCGTCGTCAGCCATGGGAGGCATATCAACAGTCCTGGTCGTTAGGCTTGTCTGGTCGACAAGAATGTCATACAAGTCAATGAAATCCTTGTATAGCTCCTTCAGAAGGACTCTGTTCAAGCCACTCTCTTCGAAGTTGTTCTTCTTGGAGGACGCCTTTGGTGGCCAAGAACCATATTGACGGCGGTAGTAAGACAGGGTAAACTTTCGAAAATCGAGAAAGGCCACTTTCCATTCCTTGAAACGCACCATTTTAGCCTCGGTAGACGACTGAGAATTTGCGATACCCGCAAACATCGACGGAAAGTCAAAGTCGTTCAGCTTTCCGGTGAGGTTGACTAGCTTCTGCTCGAGCTCCAATTGTGCACGTTCCAGACGGTTGACGGTAATAGGAGATATCTTTTCGTATTTAGGGCTTTTGATGGCCTTGATATCAGCCAACTTGCCAACTGCATGGGTGAAGCCTTCGTTGTACAGTGTCCACGATCTGAATTGCTCTCCCAGCACGATAGCCTCGATCGTCTTTTCTCTGCTTGTACGTACATCTCCCAGTCTCAGCTCGTCACAATATCGTGCAAAGCTTGAAGTTGGCACTTCGCCGAATGTTGAACCATCTGAATTTGTGAATGAGAATCTCTTTAGGATGGTACTGATTCCCATCATTATCGAAAACAGAGTTACTTGCCTCGGAGTAGCGACTAAAGCACCGCCAGTAAGGAATGCGAAGAAGTTACGGTACAGAACAACCAGTTCTAGGTCATTTCCTTGTGGTTCTGTTCCCGGATGTGACAGATCTCTGTCGAAACCTAGAGGGAGGTAGACGTGCTTTTGGTCGTTGAAAGAAGTATTAATGTTGGGCACTGAAAAGTTCAAGGATGGTCTCGAGGCAGTTGAGCTTGCTTGTGATGGCGGTCGAGTGCCCTGCGAGGCGGTGGTCAGTTCTGCGAGCGCGACTTGGAGCTTTTGCAGGTCATCGTCATTTTCAACCGGAGATGTCGGAGACGCAAATCGCAGATTGAGAAGTGTTCTCGAATCCATAAGGAGTGACGAATGAAATTTGAAACATGGACCTTTCTTCGACGAAGGAGGGTAGAGATAGACCAAGGTATCGCCTTGATCGTTCCAGATTTCAGATACCTGGAGGGCCATCAGTAAACACTTCAAACAATGGAAGATTCGTTGTTCTACCTTGTCTCCTCGTAGCAAGGCCGCTAGATCATACGGAACTAACTCTCGCAATCCCGCGATCCAAGCCTGCGCATACTCTTCATCATGATTCTGTCCTCCAGGCTTTGTAAGCGCCCAGCTCTTTTTCTTGATCTTCCCAGATGTTGGTGTGAATGCTTGACTAGGGCTGTTGGTCACAGACGCGCCTGGCGGAGCCGGAAAGACTGGCGTCTGAGGTCGGCTCCGGCTCTCCTCCCGACTCTGTACAAGATTTAGACTGGCAGGGCTGCTTGCTCTGCTACCAAGCCTGCTGTCTGGTCCACTTCGATGGCTGCTCGGAGGTCTGAAAACCCCCTCATCTGAGACAAGGGGAGGAGGAGCAAGGGGTGAGAGGCCATCTTCGATACTGAGCTCGGAGGGGGCAGCGAGATGGTGCTTGTGCAGCTTATTGGGGCCTCCCTCGACCGAGTGAACAGGTGATTCAGACCCGATATGTTGGGAAGCATGAATATGTGCTGACTCGTTGACCTTGTCGTCTCGTGTGAGTGAAAGGGAGAATATGGAAGAGATTCGTTTCGCCATTGTGCCCTGCTGTACAAACAGTGTCTTGGAAAGTCAGGTCCTGTACAGTCAGTATGAAGGACGTTGTGAATTGCGAGTTGTGTCGGCTTCCGTCATGTTTTTGCCCTCGAACTGCACTCATGCAGTGTCACCAGCATCTAGAGGGTCACACAATGAATCAGGAATGCAAGGGAAGATTGGTCAACCAGGATCGGGTAGAAAATGAAAGCTCGCCTCAGTTTAGACTGGGCTGCAAGATGACGCTGCGAATTCGCGTCTGGGAGGCTTTGCGATTCGCAGCGCTTCTGGTGGCCGCATGAGAACTCCCTGCATAACAGGATAAGCGAATTCAAGCATTGTCGAGCCTCCATAAAAAGCTGCCATGCCTATTCGACGCATGCATTCTAGGGTGAGGCGCAGGGGGAGAGGTTTCGGGAATCAGGCATTCCAAAACCACGAGTCGTGGTGTGCCATGGTTCTGGCACTCCACACGCTATTGATATGGTGAGCATCACCCACCCACGGGGGACGAGTGACATCTTGACCAACAAACAATCCACCCTGACGTCGTTATGGAAGAAGACAGTCGCTAGACATGGGTAGTGAGGGTGGCTTGTTGTGCCCAGGGGTGTCGCTGGAGTAGGTCTGGTGAATTTCAAGATACAATAGGCTCTGGCATGGTCTGGGGATCATTAAGTGCAGCGTTTGATCTTCCTTCCCGCTGCTTAACGTGCGCTAACCGTAACGCTCGCACAAGGCGATACTTTTATCCGTCAGGTACTAGTATCTGGAGGCACGAGTAGGTGATGACTCTCTACTCCGTCCTATTCTACTATTCGAAAATGTTGGTTGGGCTTAACGGCAGGGAATTGCAGTCCTCCCAGCAGGCACTGTTCTAACAGTTGTTGAGCAAAGCGTTGTACACCTAACAATACTTTATGCTGGCCCCCCTCTCACAATCCTGGACACTCTGAGTCAGCTGCATTACCAGCCCAGACTTCGCCACCTTACGTAGACTTTAGGGGCTACTGGACATTGTGCACCGCGCTTGTTCTCCATTTCTCGTGGGGATAGGCAGGTCGTCCTTTGACCAGAAACGAGATCAAAGACAGTGTTTACAGGGTATCAAGCACCGCAGCTCATCATGACACGTCGACTGGCTGCGACTACAACTCGTGATGATGAAAGTCGACTCTTGCCCTCGAGACAGATCAACCTGTTTAAAGGCTGGCCAAATCCAGGACTGCTACCGCCCCAAGAACTCAACAAAGCGTCCGAGGACATTCTCACCGACCCGCGAAATAAGGATGTATTATTCTATGGACCGGACGAAGGTTACAAACCCCTCAGAGAGGAAATTGCGAGGTGGTTGACCGATTTCTATAGGCCTAGCAAGCCAATACCAACCGAGCGGATATGCATCACTGGGGGTGCCAGCCAAAATCTTGCGTGCATCTTGCAGACCTTTACTGATCCGCTCTACACTCGAAACATATGGATGGTCGCTCCTACGTACTTCTTGGCCTGTCGAATATTCAATGATGCAGGTTTTGACGGTCGCTTGCGAGCTGTCCCCGAGGATGACGAGGGAATCGATTTGAGCTATTTGGAGCGAAGCCTGCACCAGAGCGATATGCTGGCGGAAGCAATGACCAACACCCACCCTCGACTGAAGGCTCCCAAGCCGTGGCGAAAGATTTACAAGCACATCATCTATGCCGTGCCAACATTCTCCAATCCCTCAGGCCGTATAATGAGCCTGCGGCATCGTCAAGGCCTGGTCAGACTTGCCCGGAAATACGATGCATTGATTGTGACAGACGATGTCTACGATATGCTTCAATGGCCCTCTGACCCGGGTGCAAAGCCATCACCCATGGACACGGCCCTGCTCCCGAGAATCGTAGACATAGACCGAGAGCTTGATGGTGGACCTCTGGATCTCTTTGGCAACGCTGTTAGCAACGGAAGCTTCAGTAAGATCGTAGCACCAGGCTGCCGGACAGGATGGGCTGAAAGCAGTGAAAAACTGACCTATGGCGTGTCGCAGACTGGATCAAGTCGATCTGGCGGCGCACCTTCACACCTGGTTGCATCGTTCATCTACAAGATGCTGTCAACAGGTACTCTGCAAAACCACATATTTCGAGAACTGCAGCCCGCATATGCGCGTCGCTTTCATACCATGATGACTGCAGTCAGGAGACACTTGTTCCCACTCGGAGTGACCATGCCTCAGGTGGACAACGATGTTGCAGGTGGATACTTCATTTGGCTAATCTTGCCCCGACCATTGGACTCGTCCAGAGTCTCTCAACTTGCGCTGGCGTATGAGAATCTGGTGATTTGCGCTGGCGAGAAATGCAAAGTGGAGGGCGACGAACAAAATGAAGGAAACAGGTTTCAAACACATCTCCGTCTATGTTATGCATGGGAGGATGTTGATGTCCTGGAAGAGGCATTGATTCGTTTGCAACGCGTGATACGGCGGGAGATGACCAGGTCAAATGGGGTTGCAGCGTGACAATGGTGTATGACCTATCTCACGAACTCCGTATATGTGTACCTAAACATCAACTAGCAGGCCCAATCCTGGTCGAGATGCGTTGGACGAGATCTTGATTCTGCCAACAGATTGTAACCTCGTGAAATGAGGTGATGATGAGTAGCCACGAGGCCTGTAGACCGAACACCCGCATCGGTTTGCTGTCAAACACCAGGAGTTTCGGGGTGTTTCATCGCGTCCCACGCGAGCCAATCGGCTGTGCAACAGACGCCAATGTTCGTCAACTTGGTCAAGATTCCAACCTCGCCCGTCTCTTTTCGCTTCTTTCCTCCTTCCACACTTTGGCCATGGTCCGTGGCGCAAGAATTGACGAGAGGACAGGGGGTCTCGATTGCGGATTAAGGAGCCATTATGGTCCCTATATTAGTCGAATCAGGACTGACGCCAGCTCTGACTTGGTGGCTCGCCCACGCAGCTGTCTTGCCGATGGACCGGCGCAAAGGACAAGAAACGGAGAACCAAGGAGTTGAGACTGAAAGTGAGTCCTTAGAGACACTGACCAACCTTCTTTGTTCTTCCTTTGATGCACCAGGAAACGGTGGGTGTGAATGTGGAAACGCAGGTTGAAATTGGCACAAGACAGCACGAGAAGAAATGCCGTGCAAGTCTGGCTGGCTATACCGGATACAAGTTGGCTGCATCATTCATTTAATACTCCTCATTGTCGACTCTAGCCTTGTCTACTGATCCTCTACTTGTTCCCTGTTCAAGCCCTTCCTTGTGCCTGTCACTCATTCATTCTTTTGTTCGTTCGTTTTCTTCAGAAGCAGCTGGACACTGTCACCATTCCACTCGTTTTCCTCTGGCCCTGTCACCGTGTTCTGCAAGTACAGCACAATACCTCTTGACCGCCCTTGCACGTGGTGTCGCCGACGATATCCTCTGCTGCACCTGCCACCGCGACTGACTGTCTGCTGACTATAGGCGGTCACTCGTCACTGCCTATTCCACTTCAATAAGTGCCTGTTGTTATTGTTTGTTCCGCCACGGCAGTCGCGTTTTTTGGATAGAAGTCTCACTTCAGCGCCGGCACCTTTCAAAACCTTGCTCTTGGAAACACCACCTTGTTCAACTCCATCATCGAACACCATCCCTGTCCAAGACTGTTCTTCGGGTGCTGGTCGCCCTACCTTTTAAGACTTCTTCAGTTTACCTTTGCAATCATACATTTTCCTGGCCTAGAAAGCTCTCCGACAAGCACCCTGAAGCGATTTCATCAGGTCTCTAAAATGCTGATCTTCTGCTTTTTCTTTCTTCTGCCGTGGCTTGGTTTGGCAATGCCGCGACCCCAGGAACAATCCCTGGAGCCACGGCAACAAACTTCTTCTTACTGGCTAGCGCAAATTCAACGACAGGGAACTGTCGCGTTTGGTTCTGATCCAAATTACAAGGTCTTTCGCAGCGTGAAGGACTATGGGGCAGTCGGTATGTGATGCGAATCCTTACCCCCCTTTCTGTTCTGATGCTGACTGCCTGTAGGTGACGGCGTGACGGATGATACTACGGCCATCAACAACGCTGTTGCTGATGGGTCTCGATGTGGGTTGGGCTGCGATAGTTCTACCACTCTCCCTGCGATCGTCTACTTTCCTCCTGGCAAATATGCAGTCTCTGCACCGATCATTCAGTACTATTACACACAGTTCGTGGGTGACGCGTTGAACATTCCAACCATCATGGCCACTGCCAACTTCCAAGGTCTAGCTGTTCTTGATACGGATCCATACATTCCTGGAGGCAATGGGGCGCAGTGGTATACCAACCAAAACAACTTCTACCGACAGATCCGTAATTTTGTCATTGACATAGCGCAAATGCCAGAGAACATGGGTGCGGGAATCCATTGGCAAGTTGCGCAGGCCACCAGTCTTCAAAACATTGTTTTCAATATGGCCCCAAAGAGTCCGACAAACAAGCAGCAGGGGATATTCATGGACAATGGATCTGGCGGCTTCATGAGCGACCTCGTCTTCAATGGCGGAAACTATGGTGCGTTCCTCGGCAACCAGCAGTTTACCTCTCGCAACATGACTTTCAATAGTTGCAATACTGCAGTCTTCATGAACTGGAACTGGCTCTGGACATTCAAATCTCTAAGCATCAACAACTGCGACGTCGGAATCGACATGTCCACTTTGTCGAACGGGGTCAATCAGACTGTCGGCTCTGTGGTGGTGCTGGACAGTGTCATGGCAAACACCCCGATTGGTATCAAGACATCTTACAATGTGACGAGCCAACCCGTCAGTGCTGGCACTTTGGCATTGCAGAATGTGGACTTCAGTACCGTGCAAAACGCGATTGTTGGTGCAAATGGCGTTGACCAGATCCTTGCTGGAGGAAGCGTCGTTGGCTCATGGGGTCAAGGCGACTATTACCACCCTGCCTCGGGAAATCAGCCTGTCAAGCGAGAACCTCAAGCTGCAGCAAGCGCGGCTGCTTCAGACTGTGCCACGACCACGACCACAACGACAACCACGGTGACCACCTCTCCAACCGCCAATGTCTCGATGTTGACCACAACTGTGACGGTATCGCCTTTGCCAGTCTCCAGTGCCAGCGCTGCTCCTACTGCATCATCTAATGCTACTACACTGGGTAACTCTCCTTCGACCTCTTTGGGTGCCACTGCAGCATCGGGAGTTTGTTCGGCTTCTCCAGTAGCACTGCAATCGTCACGAGTGCAACAAGGACTTACCAATCCCACTTTGCCTGCAGCCCTCATGAATGGCAACGTCGTGTTCGAACGCTCAAAGCCGCAGTATGAGAACATACCCGCCTCATCATTTATCAGTGTCAAGTCGCAAGGAGCCAAGGGCGACGGACTTACTGATGACACTGCAACCCTGCAGAAGATCTTGGATAGCGCAACTCCAGACCAAATCGTCTACTTTGACCATGGTGCCTACGTGGTGACGGATACCCTGCAGATTCCCAAAAATATCAAGATCACCGGAGAGATTTGGCCTCTGATCATGGCAAAAGGCTCGGCATTTACGGATGTCAATCACCCTAAACCAGTCCTCCAGGTGGGATCTCCCGGCGATACAGGGTCTGTGGAGATCTCAGATCTGATTTTCGAGACGATGGGAGCTCTCCCAGGTGCCATCATGATGGAGTGGAACGTTGCTGAAGAGTCCCAAGGATCTTGTGGCATGTGGGATGCTCACTTCAGAATTGGTGGCACTGCAGGAACTCAATTGCAACAGAACACTTGCCAGGCCAACGTGACAGGATCCTTTCAATTCAAGCCTGAATGCGCCGGCTCATTCTTGATGATGCATATTACCCAGCAAGCCACCGCATATCTCGAGAACGTCTGGTTTTGGGTTGCTGATCACGAGCTCGACATCGCCACGCACAATCAGACCGATATCTTCAACGGCCGCGGACTGCTGGTGGAAAGCCAAGGCCCAACCTGGTTGTATGGCACTTCCTCAGAGCACAGCCAACTGTACAATTATCAGTTTGCGAATGCTCAGAATGTCTTCCTGGGAGCCATCCAGACTGAAACTGCTTATATGCAGGCTAGTCCCAATGCGCTTGCGGGAGGGTTCACTCCGAATGCCGCGTTTTCAGATCCCACATTTGCCGATTGCACCACCGACTCGTGCAAGAAGACATGGGGACTTCGCATTGTTGACTCGACTGACGTGTACATGTATGGAGGAGGCCTTTACAGCTTCTTTGACAATTACATCCAGACATGTCTTGACACAGAGTCGTGCCAGGAGAACATGGTCGATATTGAGTGTTCCTCCAATGTAAACCTGTACGGCTTGACCACCAAGGCATCAACCAACATGATCAACGTCGATGGCACTCCAGAGGTCTTTGAGAAGGATCATACCAACTTGTTTGGACAAACATTGTTGTTGTTCCAACAATGAGAGGCAGACTCCGGCCCAGATCTGCATTTCAGATTGAGAAATATTTGATTATGAGAACTCATCTTGGTCACCTATTTTGGGACTGTGGACGATTAAGGCTCATAATACGAGCTGTGACATGGTTTTAGTTCTATGATGGATCCAACCCGACTGTGTCAAGGTCGAGGATACAATGTACATGCATGATGCCCACGCAGACGCTTATTATGCGATTGCTTACTACCATAGCTTAGTCTTGTAATTTCTGCTTGCATGAAATAAAAAGAAAATTGAACAATATCAATCAGGCTGCTCAGATGGATAGAGGTTGTCGAGAGCGGCACGCCGATAGGTAGATGCATAACGAACTAATACTAGTTCTCTGTCCACGGAGTACGATGAGTGGTGTTGCCAGTAGCCAATGTCTGAGCATTAGTAGGTACCTTAGGGTTACGAAGGTGCCTTCTGGACCGAATACGAGGATCTTTGGTGAAGTGCGGGGAGTGAAGCGAGGGGGCTCCTATTGTACGGATAGTATTTAGAAAATTGTACGGAGTACGGGTACGAGTACGAGTACGAGTATATTCGTGGTGACGAGTGAATATCGCCCACTATTAAGTCTATCAGGCTGCGGAACATCAGTTCAAGACAAGCGAGTAACTACTCTGGCTTCACAACAATCAGACTAGGCACGAATACCCAGGTAGATGCCTATCTATTACTCGTCGAGGAGTCGGCACCATACTTGGTAAATACTTATTCAACACTGGCTACTCCGCATCCACGCCTTGACTTTTCGTTGACGTAGATCGCAAGCACAAAGTAACTTCGCCGCCCTGCACTACGAGTACAGAACCTGGAATTTCACTCAATTGCACACTTGCAACAATGGCTCTTTCACAACAACTCTGCAGGCCCTCTAATTAATCCTCTCTCCCCTCGCCTCACTTTCGGGGGCCTCCAACTCATCCACAACCACCGATCCACCTCAATGAACAACCCCGATGCGACCTGCAACTCCCAATTCATTGAGACGTGCATGGCGGACGATGGATCATGACCACGAGGACGACGCTTATGCCCGAGTACCAACGATATCATTGGCAGATTCGCTGCAAGATGGTTGGAATGTGTGCCATCCATCCTCGAGAGGTTCCTCCCAACGCACGATACCAATCAACAATGTCGACTCTTCCGCCAGACAATTGTTCCTGACCAATTTTGGGCCCAATACTTTGACGCAGTTTCTGCGGGAAGAGATAGAGAAGTTGAGACAATCTGTGAACTCGTACAGTGGCAAGGGCAAAGGGAAAGCGGTTGAGACGTACCATTCCTCTGAAGCTGCACAACCAGGTGACAGTGAAGAACTTCGCAATCACCATGCTACGGCTGAGACCAAGAATAACGGCCACTTGGAAACCACCACAACCCTTTTGCCAGGTTCTATCCATGGTACATTCGCAGACAAGCAATTTATCCATCACCAGGCAAGGTCCACCTGTGTTCCGGAACAACATGGCTCATCTTCTGTTGCGAGCTCTTCGTCCCTCCCATGTCAAGATTTGCGTCCTCTCGAATGCACCGGCCAAAGTAGTCTTTTACTGAATGCAGCTTTGCGACGGTCTGAACGCCTGACAAGGAAGATGCAGAGCAATTACATAGCTGGTATGAAGAATGCTTCGTCTGACTATGATGGCCCCTCCAATGCCGATCGAGGGGAGAACACGAAATCATTCCACGACTCTCACATTGCAACCCTCCCTTCTGTTCAAGATGCGAGTGTTTCTGTTGATCGGGACCATGTCAGGAACCCGTCTCGCCCTGCAACATCATGTGAAACCATGACCGACTCGGACAGGAGAAGCCACTTTGAGGAACATACGAAATCCCGGAGGCATCTTGTTAGACGGGTGCCAAATGGCCCACCTGTTCAACCGCACGACGTAACAGATCTAGTACGGACCAGAGTTCGTCAAAGGCAGACCTTGGGCGAAAGCACATATCAATCTTCTTTACACGATGCAAGTAGAGACAGTTTGACATCCAACACTGATCACGTTGCTTGCTCAGGCCAAAGTCTCTCGCCCAGGTGTGGTGGCCGCGGCAAGAATGGACGGCGATTGAACTCCGACCGCCCTCAGCAAAACAATCTCCCGAAGCATATGCGCCTTGACACTACACAACTCAGCAAAGATCGAGCGCCGCTGACCATCACTGATGTGTCAAAATTCGTCGATCGCTTTTTTCGGAGCATGGGTAGTACCGACGAGGCAACCCGGGCGCCAGGCAACGTCCGTCATGCCGCAATGGTGAAGTCAATCCCTCCCCAAACGGTGCCGTCCCATTTCAACTACACCGATATTGTGTCAGACAAATTGCCAGGCGACGTGAAAAGAGACATTCTTCATAGTGTGCAGCGGATCACCGGCTCACTCAAATTGCAACAACTCCTTGTGGCATACGACCTCGAGATGTTTCTTGGAGGACATGATGGACCGTCGCCATTAAATCCCGCTGACATCTTAACCCCAATATTCCAGTCTGACTCTGTTTGTGTCTCATACGGTGGTGAAGGTGACCTCAGCCTGGAACCAGGTGTGCCGCAACATTCGCTCAGTCTCAATGATTTTAACGAAGACCATTGGATGGGTATCGCACAGCACCTTTCTCCTCAAGATATTAGAAGTCTACGTCTTGTCAGTCGAACCCTGGCTCAACGCTTAGGGCCGGTTTTGTTTCGCAATGTTGTGGTCAATTTTGGGAAAGGATTCTTCGACATTGATAACCCTGAATGGGATAGCAAATGTGGCCAGCCCCCGTCGAATTCCATGCTCAAGAAATATGGAGATAACATCAATCAATTTGGACTAGCATTTGAGTACGACTTGGAAGGCCTTGCCAATGCATCAGACAAAGTCATAGAAAAAGAACAAGATGCGTGGTTTGGACGATTTACGTGGCCGACAGAAAACTATCCGCGTTTCTCAGCCATTCAATCCCAAGAAGACCTCGTAGATCACAATCGTCCATTGCTCCGAGAAGCCTTCCAGCATGTAACTAAAGCTTCCGAGCTGGGACTCTGCATTGACAGTGGGCATGGGTGGCTAGAGGGCCCCGACATGTCTGATCTCGCTCTATTCGACCGCCGGACCAAAAAGGGTAGCCCAATCTTTGGCAAAACCTTTAAGACTGAAGACGTGTGGACTACCCTGGGACGCCATCTGTACTTCCACTGGGCTCAACAGAACACCATCCAGGAGACTATCAAATTGCTTAAAAAACCTGCAGGCGACGATTTCGGGAATGCATGCCACCGGGCGAGTACTTCCACCGTGGACGAGATTGATTTCTGGAATCATGTGGAGAGCAGTAATATCGAGAGCTTCCGAGAGCCCCCTAATCCGCTAGATGAGGTTGAAGATCCGCACATTGGTGAATTTTCCAATTTTCGACGTGTTCGTCCACAGTTCGATTTGGACAGCGCATCCGGCATGCTGGATGCGCATCAGAGCCAGTGGCCACTGATATTCGGTGGTTACAATCTTGCGGCACAGCTTGGAAGCGTCAACGAGGGCCTATACAGCAAGCTCGCCCATCCCACTTGCTCCCCCTTACTCCCAGGGGCGCTTACAGAAGCACAAGCTCAGTGGTTGATGGAGACCGCTTGGGCTCAGCGGACCTTTTTATCATCCTATACCACGGCCATCATCTCTAACAAGCTGAATTTCACCAATGTACATACTCTCAGAATCAGTAAATTATCTTCAGGACTCTTACCATCGATCGCGCAGAAAGAGTTCTGGGCATCTCTCCCAGGACTGAAGAAGTTACAAATCCTGGTCAGTCCAGATTGGCGGCAAGAGTATGTCATCGGTGACCGTTCCTTTGGCCTGGACATGCTCATATCTCCCGCAAAGGCTGCTGAGAAATTCACCCATTTCTTGAGAGAACACGTCGCCAAGTTGGAGACTCTTTTGAGTCTGACGATTGGTTATGTGGGAGGCGGAGAACATGCGGTTGGCATGTTTGCCCGCAATCAACATGTTCTGTTCGCTCCCATCGTTGACAACCCTATACAATGGCTTCACCATCTTGACCAACCTGCATTAATAACCAGGTTCGACCACGTTCGGGAGCTAAAGTTTGAAAATTGCTGGTTCACCCCATGGATGTTGCGAGAATTCATGGAGACGAGTAAGGATACCAGTCTTCACACCCTCAACCTCGACTCGGTCAGTATGACGGCCATCCACGACCCGACTCTCGAGAGTCGACTCTTGGCTCAGGGAAGCGGGTCGCGTTGTATATGGCCTCGATTTTCGTGGCTTAAGGAAAAACTTCCGACGAGTGCTGCTTGGTGTCGGGTCCTTGATGACATTACTCCTGGACTTACATTTCTTGAGCGTAAGTATAATGCCGGTATGATCGACGACGATGAGCATCCGCGAGCGCAACGGCCCTTCCGTGGCCATGTACGGAAAATAATCCTCAAGAGCTGCGGTTATGTCAAAATTTCAACCCAGCACGACAACCCCTTGGTTTATAGCCAGAACGCTCTTCTTGCACATTCTCACGTCCCTATGGATCAGGGTCTCTTCAAACGTATGCAACAATATGTCAAGGTCCCCACCTTGATGTCATTTGAAGAGTCAGAGGTGCGACTTAACCAATCCTCGTCCCGGCCCAAGCGATTTGAGGATCACGCTCGCCGACACATTATGCAGAGTGTCAGTAACCCGATCGAATCACGGTGGCCCTGGTTGGGCACATTGACGCAGTGCGTACACCCCATCGAAAAACGAGTGCTGGAGGAAGCTTGGGGCATGACCTTTGGATGGGGCAATGATTTGGCTCGGTTTGGACCCGTGGAAGATGGTTTCTTCGAAGGCGGTACGGGACGCTTCAGTGGTGTTATCGAAAGCCACACCAGCACCGGCCCAGACCCATCGGATTAGACGCACAATCTTGGGGGCATATGGTGAGATGAGGATGGTGACCGTGTGGGAATCGAATTTGGGAATGCTGTGTTGGAATGACTACATCGTTTGAAAGTTTGGAAAGTGGCATTTCTGGGTCATAACCAAGGAGCCGATGGACATTGCATGGGGTGTGGTTGTCAGAGAATGATTGTCGGCGGGTAGCCTCGCATTATGTGGATGATGAACGAAATGAGACGTGAAAAAGATTACGGCCTTTTTTGTTTGATGGAGTCAACTCTTTTGCAATGTCAAAAGTGTACTTTTGAAGTCCGAAGAGGATTAAAAAGCAGATTAGATGATCCCAATGTCATGAGACAAGACGATATCAATTTGATTTACTTTGTATGAGTGAGTAGGTACTTGAGGTGGCTGATGAAAAAGAAAAAAGGGGGTTTCTCAAACCTCACATTGGAAAGAAAGTATTAGCTGTTGATGTCATGTGTGTTTGTGTTTGTGCGTGCATCGAGACAAGGGGGAGGGCGAACATGACATTTGAGTAGATTTTGAAATCTTTCGTTTGTCTTTTTTGTCTTTGTTGTTGTCTTGTCGTGTCAAAGAAGGTTATTTTCGAAAGGCCGATCTTTTTGTCTAGATCAAACAAGAAAAGACCCCTTTGTGAATGTCGTGGTTGTCACCGTAAATGCTTTGTTTTGATTGAATGTCTTCTTGTTCGTTTTCGAGGCAGTGCATGTGGAAAGGGACGAAACGACAGACTTTTGTTTTTAAAAGGACCTTGTGATGGATTTCGATCCGAATTAATGTTAATCTGGATTTCTCGATCTACTTTGGTCCGCCACAAAATAAGACAAGAAAAGAATCATGGAGAAAATGTGGTCAAAAGTGAAAGAAGCAAGAATGTCGTCGTCGTCGTCGTCGTCAGAGTCTACTGACCTTCAAGGTCATCAAAGTCTTCGGCCCAGACATCAAGTTCATGCCGTCACAGGCGGAACCGAAGATCCTCGAGTCGGGGGAGTTCGAGGGGACGAAAGTCAAGAACGACAACGACGACTCCTACTCCTCCGACAGGCCAGGATCGAGGTCGCACAACTCGAACGAGCCATCAAGGACATCAAGTGCGGTGAAAGTTTGGGGAACGTCAGTGATGGAATGAAGTCACCCGAATGGACAGTCACCTTTCAACATGCCAACTATACTCTGACGGCGGTCAAGGTTGGATGGTTGATGTTGAATACGACGATACAAGCACAAGCATCACAGACACAGACAGGAGCACGAACTGGAACGTACAGTGTTGACGGACCCAAAACATGCACTTCACAACAGTACAAGGCGATAATGAATGAGACAATGGCAAGGATGAGATGTGGTGTACAAATCGAGGACGCACTGAGACAAGCAAAGGAAGAAGTCGAGGCAGGACGTGTCTAACCACGTGTATGTAATTTTTTCTCTCTCTCTCTCTCTTCTTGGAAATCCCAATTGAGGATCTGATGGAGATTTTTGATAGAGATCTGTGGCGTCAAAATGAAAACAAACAAACCAAAAACAAAACACGCACTTGTCACTTGAAAAGGATTTTGATTCAGAGAAAAAATGAACCAAACGGTCTGGTGTCTTGACATGTCAAAACCAAAGTTGTTTCTTCCTTGAAAAGTCTCAGTCCGAACAGCGGTGATGAAAGGCATATATCATGGAAAATACTAGCAATAGTTGTGAGTATGTTTCGGACTCCTGCATCGTAGTAACCACTACTTCCAAGGTCTTCTTACGACATGTACAGAGTAAACCATGTTTGTGCAGATTAGCTGACAAGTTCCTAGAAACAATAAGACTGTTTCTATGATTCAAAGTGACATTCGATACGAAGGCTATATTGAGGCAAAGTGCCAGACGATTCCAACATCCCAAACATAAACTCCAGGTAACTCCCGTACGACCCCCTGAAAATCCTGTCCGCGCCTGTGCGTAAAGTAGAGCGAAACCCACCATGAGAGGAACAATCCCAGTTCCATCCTTTGAGGAGGAAAATTTGACATTTACTGGGCCGGGTCAGCATTTTACAACGTCAGCCTTGCCAAATATCAGGACCAAGGACATATGAGGCCCCTTGTAACCTCGAAGCAAGGTCGACCGTGCGGGAACCACTTGCGGTCGTGGTAACAGTATCGGTACTTCTCCAGGATCGCACTACGGGACAACCGCTGTCTCAAGAGCTCCCATTCCAAGCTAGGAAGGAGCGGATCCTCCCAATATCTGCTCATCAGATTCCATACTTCGTCAGGTATCACGTCCTTTCTGCCTCGGTTCAGCTTGAAATGGCTATTCCACCAACTCTGCGATCCATGCCACACCGAAGATATACAGAGTAGATCATCTTCTGGGTATTTGTCTTCAAGGATGGGGTAATTATGCCATGCAGAGTATCGGCGTAAAGCCAGGACGAAGAACATGCCGCGAGTCGGGTAAAGGTCGAGCTTGTTGTGAAGTTCCCAATAAAATCTCGTTCGCCGCGAGGTCCAGGTTTGGTGGGTCTGTGTCTAAACACGTTGTACGCCTGCAACATTCTGGGTATCTCCGCTGTGACCGATTTGGGGCACACCTCAAGTAATTTGTCGACTCGGCCGGTCGTGAGGACACGATCGTAGTGCCGATGCGAAGTGAGAGCCAAACAAACTGCCGACGGCGGGTCGAGATGTGACACTATGAGGCTGGTAAGTTCAGCTGGCAGTGATCATAGCGTGGGCGGTGGTCGAAAGTCGATGGAGATTTTGGAAGGGTCCTGAAGACGGCATGGGACGTAGGATATTGCTCGTCGCTTGTGTTTGACTTGTGACTTGCGGCGCCTGTCGTTAGATCTGATAATGTTAGCTCCTTCCGCTTTCCGCACAGGAACACTGACTGGAGGGTTGGAAGAGGTCAAGGGGGCACCGAAATGAAAGTCGATCGGAGTCGTCAACACCAAAAATGCTGCGTCGGTTGAGGCAGTTTCAGAGACACATGGGCCGAGACTGGTGTGAGATGAATGGCTCGTCAGGTCTCTCACCCCGATTGTGATCTCTCCAATTTCAGTATCAGTATCAGAATCAGCATCAGCTTGTCGAAAGGGATTCGAGGTCGGAGCTCCATCCGCTTGAAGCGTGTCAAGAGCTCTCATCTCAGAGTCCATGTCGATTCTCCGTCCGTCAGGCGTTCCTGTGAGAGTGGGATCGGGAATCGTAAATGGTGTTTGGAAGAAGTCGAGAAAATGGAAAAGAAGAAGGCATGTATACAAGTATAGATATAGACGAGCGATAAGACAAAGGAAGCACCTGCTGTTAGGAAAGGCAGAGGCAGCATATAAATGGTTCCCCCTTTTGAGGAAGTAGGCGGCTTTGACAGTTGAAGCAAACACTTCTAGACACGTCTCATTGTTCAACGAGTTGACGATTCTTACTCACCTGCACCATGTTTGTCACCGTTGTATAGAAAGGAACAAGGCGGCCTTTTGTTACCATTGTAGGTACTTATAACGCACTGTTTGAAGTCGTTGTTTCTGTCACAACCTCATATACTCGGCTCAGTTGCCTTGTGCAGACGTATGGGAGTTCAGCCTCGTAGCCTCGCCGTGAGCCTCGCCTTTGCTCTCAATGGGCCAAGATTTACCGCCAAGACAAAATGTGCCGCAATTTTCCCGACTCCCACATTTTCATGCAAACTGCGCTTCAATCAACAGATTTAGTCGACGACATTGAAACCTCGATTCCGACACTTTGCAGCAACCCAAACGTTTTCCTCAAGTTGACCTTTCAAGTTCAAAAAAGGAACTCAGCAGCCATGGAGAACGAAAAGGGAGAGATTGTCGATCTGTAAGTTACACACCAGAAACCTAAACACACACGCAGCACTGGAGAACAAGAAGAAATCCACGATTTCTTTTCCTTTGGTCGCTCCTCGAAACGTTACTCTTAAAAAGAAGCATGAAATTTCTAACTCGTTGATTTCCTTAGCTACGTCCCACGCAAGTGCAGCGCCACCAACCGCATCATCAAGGCCAAGGACCACGCCAGCGTCCAAATCAGCGTCGGCAAGGTCGACGAGAACGGACGCTACACCGGAGAGAACCAGGTCTACGCCCTCTGCGGGTTCGTGCGATCGAGAGCCGAGAGCGATGACTCCTTGAACAGACTCGCCCAGCGGGACGGTTTCCTCAAGAGCGTCTGGAGTGCGCAACCCACGAGATAAGCCAAGAGCCGGGGAGGTGGACGATGGTGACAGGATCGAAGGAGATGTGATTCAAAGGGGGGGTGGTTGTGACGTCTGTGTGAAAAATGGAATGGGATGGACGGGGATTGGGAAAAAGTGTCTTCCAATGATGCGACCAACCATTATCCATGACACTGAAGCAGAAATGCACGGAGTGAAAAGGGAGAAAACATTCACGGTGTTGAACTGCTAAATGCAAGGATGGCACCGGGATCAACAAATTCGGGAGGTTTTCACATGTTGGCGACGCAGGGGAACTTCGACGCTCAGCAGCTATTTCATGCTCACCAGAGCTAGGATGGATGAAACTCGACAGGTAGATTTGCCGAGTAATGCCCCCCAGTTCGGCCTTGAAATGAAAAACAAACTACTACAACATTACTTTCAAAAGTCACAACCTTGGTTCCTCGTTCTTCGCGCCGTGAATCTCTCATACCTTGACCAGAGTGATATCCGCACGTTATGAATCCTCACCCCGACCAAAGTAACAACACTATTCACGTTGTGCAACCCGTATCTGTGCTCTGACTCTTAATCTCGGAAAGTCACAGCTCTTCAGAAGGTGGCTCTTTTTGTTTCTTGATGTTCGGCTTTTGTATGTATGATTTGTTTTTTTCTTTTCTACTTCCCCAGTCATGGATTGGTCTGAGGAAGCCTTGATGTGCCGGTTCAGGTCAGGTCAAAGCCACGTCGCGTTTAACAAAAGAAAAGGTCAGCAAAACTGTAGAGTAAGTTGAAAGGTCAGAAAACAGTTGGGTATCAATGTCTAGCCCTTCTTTTTGTCTTCATTCAGCAACAGATATCTTTCTCTTCCCTCGTCGTCGGCGTGTCTAGAAGTTTTTCGGCTTCTGCGTCGAACTTCCATCATCATAACTCATGGCCGTGGTCCCACAAGATAGCTCGCTCAGTCCTTGTCTAGCCGTACAGCAGGATTCGTCTCGATGAAATTGAGATCAACCTTGTGACCCAGCAGTTCTCGAATATTGTTCACACCATATCTTGTCGTTGGTTAGTTTTGTCGATATAAAGACTTTTCGGGGTGACTCACTTAATCATGGTCGGTCTTTCCAGACTCAGACCCCAACCATAGATACGCATATCCTTGGGCAGACCCATCGGTTCCAGCATTTCTGGTCTGAACATACCACTGTTTCCAATCTCCACCCACTTCTTCAACCCTTCGTGATAACTGAAAATCTCCATACTGGGCTCGGTGTATGGATTGTAGGCAGGCTTGAACCTGAGGTTCCGAATACCCATTTTGCCGAAAAAGACCTCCATGAAACCTATCAGACCACCAAGTGTCAAGCCCCAGTCTGCAATCACACCTTCAACCTGGTGGAATTCCGCCAGATGGGTCTGGTCGACAGTCTCGTTTCGGAAGACACGATCGATGGAGAAATATCGAGCAGGTCTCGGGTTAAGGGCCAATTTGTGCAGCATGTAGGTAGAAATGGCGGTGGTGTGAGTTCGAAGTACAAGCCGGAGAGACTCGTCTGCCGACCAAGGGTATCTATAACCTATCGAGCCGAACTTGCCCTCCTGGTGCACAGCCTTTACGTCCTCCCAGTATTGTTTGTAGTCCAGCGTCTTTTCTCTCGACTTTGTTCGTTTGTGGGTTGCCGGCAGCTCTTTCGAGCCAGGAGCAGGAGGGATGGGATCTTCTCTCGGAGGGTCAGCCGTCGAAGGATCTGAGATGTAGAAGGTGTCTTGAAGGTCTCGGGCGGGATGCTGCTGTGGCACGAAAAGCGCATCAAAGTTCCAGAAGCCAGTCTCCACATAACGGTTTGTAGGCATTTCTTCGAAGCCCATCTCGAAGAAGATCTCTCGAAATTCTTGCCGCACCTTGTTCAGGGGATGGAGTGCACCAGATGGTGTCGGAGCACCTTTTGCTTTGAAGTTATACGGCTTCAATTGAACGGTCTTCCACGCGCCCGAGGCCAGCATCTCCGCAGTCAAGTCCGTCTCTTCCTTGACAAACTCCGTCGAGAACTTTGGTCCCTTGGACACCTTGAAGGTCACCGTTTTTTGATCAACGACATATTTCCTCTTCTTGAAATCTGCCACAGTCTTGGGGTTGTCCAGTGACTTGTTCTGACGGATGTGTTGAAGTTGTTGTTGGACCTCGTCTACGATTTTGTCTGTCGTCGCTCTGAGAGTGTCTCCATCTTTCTTGACCCATTTCTGTCTGAAAGCGTCTCCTGAACCGAATTTTGCGACATTTGCATCACCCACCGCAGCGGGCAGGTCTGAAATTGAAAGACCTTCCAGCGCCGCTCGTACAGCCTCGAAAACTCTTGCTCCGTTGCTGCCATTCTCGGCAATTCCTTCGCCTTCTTTCGTGAGAACAAGTTGTAAGCTGTCCAACTGATCGACTTGGATGTATTCCCGTGATCTTAATCTGTCGAGTGCGGCCTTCACAGTATTGAAACTGGCATTAGGAAAGGCTTCCGAGGTGAGGACTGGTCCATCTGCTGAGGCGAGGACCTGTAGAACTTGTGAAGTCAGATCCTCTGCCATTTTTGTGTCGACTGACTTTGGGGTGGCAAGCAAGAAAGGAAAGGAACGCTTCAGAGACAAATTCAAGGTGCTTCACTTGGACATTCGAACAGACGTGAAATCGCAAATATGACTCCAATTCTGGTGGGTTAGAATGACTCCGCAGGTTCTCAAAGCAGCATGGGCAAATTTTGGTGGTGCATCACATCGCTGCTTTTATGGGTAGTCAGCCTCGTCCTCTTTTGAGCGTAACAATTAACATCATTTTTCGGATAGACGACGAGGAGACGAAGGGAATGTGTCACATCTATTTGACCCTCAAGATCTTGACTAGAGTATTGGGTTCTCATAATCTTAACCTCACATATCGACCCATGATTTGACGAAAGGTGATTAGGGGATGAAGAAGCTCGCCGAAGTATTTGTATCATCAGGGCCAAAGGTCTGTATACTACCTTTGCGCCCTCCTTCAGCGTATTTTAACAGTGTTCCGGAGACTTTGATTTGGACCTTCCTCTCCAATCTACTCAAGCGCCGCTTTGATCCATGCCAAGCGTGTTGGTCCCTGCTGAATGTCCGAACTGTTCGTTTATAAAGTACATAATCGTTGACTTCACAACGTCGAGAACAAGGCCCATCACTTGTCGTTGACAGCAGCAGCAACACTTGAGGGCACCTCGGGGAGACTTTTGCGCTTCTTTCCCTTCGCGATGCCCTCTTTGTTGAGGACTCGAACCACAGTGTCTTTGCCGATCGTCGTACCAGCATCGTGTAGTTCGCGAAGGAGTCTGGCGTATGACCAGTTCGGATTACTCCTGGCAAGACGTAGGACCTGTCGTTTGTCGCGAGGGCTGATCATCTCAGGTCTGCCGGAGCAGGGTCGTGATTCCTGGTCGACTCTTTAATCGGCCATTTTGATGGTGGTGCGCACCGTGGTGACCGGAAGGTCGAGTGCCTTTGCAATTTTCCCATACGAGGCGCCGACACTCCTCGCTCCGATGGTCTTTGCCCGAAGATAAGGAGTCAAGTCCTTTCCCCGGGGTCTCTTGGTTTCTTCCACCTCTCCCGAGGATGGTCGTTGTGTTGTCGTCATTGGTGTATTGAGAATTGCCGGAAGAGACGCGTCGCTATGTTGTGAGTGACGTGCGGGAAAGACAATTATCGCGGAGGTGAGGTTGATCCCCCGAGACGTGAGTTATCTGATGAGAAGATCCCATGAGCCTCATCTATTGCCTCGTCACAGCATCGAGGATATAGTCACAAATGTAATTGTTGGTGAGGTTGCATTATACTCGAAACGGAACAGATGTTATCCTAGTGTCTCCGATGGTTGTATTGCAGAAAATTCAACCGAAAAGCCATGCCCCATGAAAATCTTGCGTCTATGCTCGAGTCTATTGCGTCTAATATACTATGGTTGTCTCTTTACGACTGCTTCTTTTCCATCAAACCCAGCTTTTCCATCCTCAATTCCATTGCCCGTTTATGCGCATCGAGGCCTTCGCATCGAGCAAGCTCCACGACAGCGTATCCAACCTGGCCGACACCTTGTTCGCTAACTTCACTACTCGTGATGTTCTTCATGAAACTTCCCAAGTTGACACCACTATATTGTCGAGCATACCCATACGTGGGCAAGCTATGGTTGACGCCTGCAGAGTAATCACCTACAGATTCAGGTGTCCAGCCACCGATGAAGACAGAACCAGCATTCTGAACGAGCGGAAGAACAGATCGCGGGTTGGATATTTGCAGGATCAAATGCTCGGGTGCATAGTAATTCGACCACTTGAGCGCTTCTTCCAAGTCCGGAACTGAAATGGTAACACTATGCTCAATTGCACCTCGAACAATGTCGACCCGAGGAAGCTCATGCGCTTGTTTGTGGAGTTCATCCTCGATTGCTTGGAGCTCGTCTTGACTCAGGTCGATGGCGATAAGTACGACCTGGCTATCCGTTCCGTGCTCTGCTTGACTCAAAAGATCACTCGCAACAAATGCTGGATCTGCCGTCTTATCAGCAATCACGAGGACTTCAGATGGCCCAGCAGGCATGTCAATTGACACAGCGGCCGATGTGTCATTGCTGACGATCATCTTCGCAGCAGTGACGAATTGATTTCCAGGACCGAGGATCTTGTCGACCTTGGTGATGGATTGAGTACCATATGCCATTGCTGCAACCGCCTGAGCACCACCCGCAAGGACGATAGCTTCCGCCCCGACCTTGTGAGCAATGTATACAATCTCCGGTGTAATGGTACCATCTGATCGTGGAGGTGATGCTAAGACAATGTTCTTGCACCCTGCAGCCATAGCAGGAACACCCAGCATTAAGGCTGTAGACGGTAGCACTGCCGTTCCACCTGGAATGTAGAGACCAACCTTTTCGATCGGACGCGAGAACCGAGAACAAGTAACACCCGGCATTGTTTCGACCACCAAATCCGAGGTTGGTTTCTGGGCCGAGTGAAATTTGAGGATATTGTCATAAGAAGTGTTGATGGCCTTGATAGTCTCCTCAGGTAGTTGCATAAGTGAATCTGGGAACGGCGCTTTCAGCACGGGTGATTTGAGGGACGTGGCCTTTTCGAATTTATGGGTGTACTTTAAAACAGCGGCGTCGCCGTTGGAGCGGACATCAGCAATAATCGGATGGACAAGAGACATGATCTTCTCGTTTGACTTTTGAGACGGCCGCTGCAAGGCTGACTTGAGAACATCATCTGAGAATGCCTGCGAGGTTGAGTAGCGCTTGAGCTGTATCCGTCCCGACTCTGTCTTACCAGCAGGATCTGATGGTTGTTTTGGTATTGATACAGCTTCCTTCACCTCTTCATCTTGTTGGCCAGCAATACCATTAGAAGTGGCTTGTTTCGATTCATCTTGAACTGGCTTCTCTTCGACATACTGCGGTTTGGCATCACCCTTTCTTCGCTTGACCTTCAGATTCTTGAGGTCAAGGTTCCTCTCAATGTCTTCCAAAGTAACATCGGCAGCAATACACCGAGTCAGGGCAAAGTAGAGTAGGTCCGCTGCCTCCGACGCAATTTCTTCCTTCGTTGCGGCCTCGCACAATTCGTCCGCCTCTTCTTTGATCTTTGCGTTGACCAACTTGGGATCGTTGAATAGTCGTGCAGTGTACGAACCAGCTGGAGCGTCCACCTTTCTCTCTTGAAGAGTTCTCTGCAGTCGCGACAGACCCGAGGTCCTCCCCCAGCATGACATTGTACCGAGATGGCAGAACCCTCGGCCCTTCTGATGGACTCTGAAGATCAAGCAGTCTTTGTCGCAATCGAAACCGATACTGATGAGCTCTTGGGTGTCTCCGCTGGAGGCGCCCTTGTGCCACAGACCTCGCTTGCGGCTTTGATAGACACCCGTCCCAGTCTTGAGTGCTTCTGCAATACTCTCCTTGCTGCTCCAGACAAGACCTAACGCAACATCACGCTCGTCAACCACCACAGTTGCATACAGCCCTGTCTTTCGGTCCGGCGTAGCTCCTGCAAGGACGAGTTCAACCGCAGGAATGAGCTTCTCATCTTCCTTGGGCGGAGTAAACGTCAAAGCCTTGGATGAAATAATCAAGGCATTACCAGGGTATTCGTGAAGGACACTTGTGCCTTCGCTTTCACTGGTAACCCTGACATATATCGTTTGGTCCTGGCTCGGAGGATAATTGCCAACATCTTTCAAGACCTCGTCAAGATGTTCGTTGCCCTTGCCACCATCAAAAGCCCATTCAGTAGTCTTCCACTTGGGGTTCCCTTCGAGGAAAGCTTTCAGCTTGGTTAAGTCGGTTTGCGGGTTGACAAGAGAGATGGTAAGGATGAGGCGGTCGGGAGAGATAGTCTGTTCTTGCGACAGAACCTTGAGCTGTTCGAAGGTAACAAATATTTTAGAAGCCCCATTGTTGAGGACATCTATCACGCTGTCCCAGCTTTTCAATTTACGCACGTCGAAATATATGGCGAGCTTCGAGAAATTCTGCCGCAGGAAAGCGAGGTTCGGTTCGAGGTTCTCGGGGGTAATTTCGACCAGGCACTTGCCGAAGTAGGCGACTTGATCGAGAGTGAGACCTTGGGTATTAGACCCTGAGATCGCCTCTGGATCAACAGAAACCAAAAGACCTGCACCCATATTGATCTGGAGCACTACGTGGGATAGATTAAAGCCTTGATTGAGAGAAGACGCAGGGAATCATCCCATCATTGAGTCAGTGGCCAGAGCGCGGGGAGCCCAACGCAGAAAAATTTAGGCCCACAGCGATAAGGATAAGGTGGAAAGGGAAGTTGAGCCGAGCCCAGCCAATGCACTTGTATTACGCCTCTCATCACCTGTAAAAAATGCCTATCATGCCACCAACACATCCTATTTTTATTTCGCCGACCGGAAAATCTAGACAATTGTGAGCCTATCAGAGCATGTGCTTTCCCTTGATAGCAGTGCAATACTTTGAAGCATGAATATCGCGCAAAGCTCTCCTGAAGTGGCATACCTCCTCATTATTACATCTCGACCTTGCTACACAGTCAATTCCAAGCCTTCCAGACGTCTTTTGAAGTCAGAATCAGATAGAGACTATTGGAGCTAACATTTGTGTCGCCATGCATGCCCCTCGTAGGCATCTTGGCGTTTTCTGACTAGGAGTAACAGACTCGAAAGATCAGGGTCTGTATCAATTGAGTGATGGTCGAATCTTTCAGAAGAGATGTGGAATTTGGTCAAGCTCAAGCTCAAGGTCAGTGATTATAAGTGTGCGATGTGACAGAGTATAGCATCATGCCAAATTCGTCAACAGAACTCAGCCATTGGTCGATTTTTCGCTTCAAAGAGTCGGATGGCGGTTCATTGTGCGGCCAAAGATCGCTTATGAGAAGTTCCCCATCAGACCATTGACTCAACTGCTGATTATATGCGGCATTCCATGACTGCCGGGTTGTTGCGTCCCATAATCGCTTGCTTCCCGGAGCTGGTATGCTTGCAAGCTCTGTGGCAATGTATGATGGCGAACCAAGGTTGAAATTGACAAGGTTGTCAAACAAGTATGCTGCGAACATTGTTCGTCGCCTTGCGGAGGCAACGATCCATGACTCCCATCCTGGACGGGTGCCGTGTGCTTCCGCCCAGCATAAGGTACCTTTACTTGCCAGGTCAGCCGTCAGCGCTTGTAGTTTGATCATGGTATCTTGTTCGATATAATTTGAACCGGACCTTGGTGTGAAGTAGAGCATTATCGCGTATAGGAGGTACGACTGTACTGTCGCGAGAAGTTCCATGTGGTTGCAGTCGACCTGCTTATCACTCCTTTCAGAATAGGACAGTGTAAAAAGAGAGTTTAGATCCTACCTGTTCGATGAGTTTACGCATCTCCTGTTCAATGACACTGCAAACCATGCTCTCACTGCCAGGAGTCTGGGTTTTCCATGTGCGGGACAAGGTCATGCAACTGGAGAGTGACACAGGGACTGTCACGGCCACTTGTGTCCAATGTATGAAAGGGGGAAGAGCTTCGTTGAACAAGAAGATACCGGGCCACGACCTCATTATACTAGCCAAAAACGCCATGGTCGACGCTTGATATAATTTCGGAGTGTGTTCTGGTGAAGGCAGTACAGTTTCAAGCCATCGTGCCCGAATCCGGTCATCGTCCAAGGTGCGGATCAGGCTAACATTATCGAAATCGAGCGTCTCCGGCGGACAAGATGAGTCATTAATGAAGGGAATAGTCTTTTGAATAATAGTAGGTGCGACGCTTGATGGATCGTCTACACCTCTAGCGTAGACATATTCACAGCTGATATTTCTGTTTTTGCACCTGGTGCACTTTGGTTTCTTCAGATCGCAACGTACCTTGGCTTTAGAGCAGTGGTTGCATGCCTTTTTACGCGGGACAGTGTCCTTCTCAGTCATTCCTCGTTTTTATGGCCGATGGCGGTGCTCACTCCCAACACTATTGCAGATCTCGTGACATTTAGACGTGGTTCGTGGATTTGTTCTATGGCGCGAAGTACATGTTGTTGCTTACAATTGACTTCACGGCTAAAGATCGTACGTTGTTAAAGGAAGAATAGGGCTCACCCAGGGAACCAATTAGGGAGCGGGGCATTGGCGAACCCGCTATTTATAGGCAACTTTAGCGTACAGTACAAAATACTGGACCTTTTGCACCTCTCTAACTCCCTAATATGCATCATTCCTCTACTCAGTATACAGTTCCCAGCTATGATTCCGACCACGAACTTCGTCTTGAGATATGACAGGTCTTCTCTGAGGTCCTCATTCCTTCGATAGATGTTTCATTGGCCGTGACTGTACCTCCGCTCTTTTCGCATACCATCTCCACAAGGCAGTACAAGCTACGATAGTGGTATGTCGACCCATGACATGTAAACACTGTCGATCAAGCATCATGTCGATGACCAGTGGGTCTTGCCTATATGAATATAACTTGTAGCCCCAGCAAATCAATTATCTCCGCAGAAAAGCTGCACTCTCCTGTCTCAGGTGCTGTCGGACTTCTTCTCGGAGTTCCGAAGATCCTGGTCTCTTTGCCACGGATGGTGCATATATACGCATCTGTCTTCCACTTGATGCTTGACGAACTGTCTAACCTGACATTCTTGAAAACAAGATGTCACAGACTAAGAAAAATACCGAAAGCGTGACCCTAGAGCCATACACCATCTATACCAGAGGCCAAAAGACAATCATCGTTGCTATTGTTTCGACTGCCGCCACACTGTCCGGCTTTGCCTCAAACATTTATTTTCCCAGTCTTCCACAAATCGCAAAAGACCTATCTGTCACCACGAATCTGGTCAACCTTTCGGTGACGTGTTATATGGTCTTCCAGGGCTTGTCACCAGCCATATGGGGGGCCGTAGCCGATGCCTTGGGACGCCGTATAACGTACTGTTGTACGCTAATCGTTTTTCTCGGGGCGTGCATAGGATTGGCCGAGACACGAAACTTTGCGACGCTCATGGTACTTCGTTGCGTTCAGAGCACTGGGAGCGCTAGTACTATTGCCCTGGGTGCAGGTGTGATTGGTGACATCACGAAGAGAGACGAACGAGGAGGCTACATGGGCTTCTTTCAAGGTGGATTATTAATGCCAGTCGCAATCGGACCAGTCATTGGTGGAGTTCTGGCAGGAAAACTTGGATGGAATGCTGTATTCTGGTTCCTCACAATATATGGGGGTGTCTGTCTGACCATTGTGGCTCTCATCTTGCCTGAAACATTAAGGTCGATTGCAGGAAATGGGTCCCTCAAAGTCAAGGGCATTTCGCAGTCACTCCTCGGGGCGTACCAGCGTGCGAGATACCTACGGTCCCGGCCGCAGTCTTCAGAGCCACAGAAAGACGACGCTCCACGCAGAATCGTTGATCTGTGGGGTCCGGTACGAATTCTCTTCCACCTGAAGACATTCGCTGCAGTTTTACTCGTTGCAGTGCATTATACAGTATGGCAGAGTGTTCTCACTGCACTATCGACGATCGTGAGAGACAAGTACCATACCACTGAAACCCAGATTGGATTGATCTTTCTGGCGAACGGCATCGGATCGATCGTTGGTACACTCTCGATCGGCAGGCTCCTCGATCGTGACTACCAGAAGATGACACGAAAATATGCTGGGAATGAGGAAGATCTACCAATTGAAAAGGCTCGTCTGAGGACGGCTTGGATATGGAGTGCGCTGGAGTGTATCTCTGTGTTGGTCTTTGGATGGACAGTCGATCAAGGTGTTCACATCTCCGTTCCGATAATCAGTCTCTTCTTGCTGGGCTGGGCCGCAATTTCGATACAGAGCTCTGTCTCAACATACCTAGTAGACATTCACCACAGCCAAAGCGCATCTGCATCGGCGTCCCTCAACCTTTTGCGCTGTCTGATGGGGGCTGGAGGCTCAGCAGTCGTTGGTCCACTCATCGCCAAAATTCGTGTTGGCTGGACATTTACGCTGATGACAGGAGTGATGGTATTGTTAAGCGCTGGTATCCTGGTGCCAATGATGTTCGGCGTTGATTTTCGTCGGCGACGTCACACTGAAGCAGGGATTCAAGAACTTGTCGCTTGAAACCAAAGGTCTGTAGTTTGGGGCAGAAGAACAAGGGGACTGTAATTGAGTTCGACGCCGACCCGTAAGAGGTTGATGGTACATAGGTAGATTCACTATCTTTGAGTAACAAATCGGTGATTCATGAAATGGAAAACTTGCGAGTCATGCAATATTGATTCGGACCGGCCGAAGTTTTCTCCGAAACCATATTACGGCAACAATGATCATCGCCATTTCTACGGCGTTAACAAAACCTCCCATCACAAATTATTATGCCCTTCTCGTCGGCACAAGAACCCTAGACGACAACTAAAGCAATTCGCAGATCGCGGAATTATAAACACGATGAGCCCTACCGATGATCCAGGATCTCATAGCGCTGGTAGCGATGATAGTGATGATGGCGAACAGCAACACGAGACATCCCCGCAAAATGCCAAAAAACCGAGATCCAGTAGAGCCTGTGTGGCTTGTCGACGTATGAAAACACGATGCGAAATTGATGAGGCTCTGGGAACAGCATGTAAACTATGTATCCGAGCCCGAAGACAATGTATTATGCAAACTCTTCCTCGGCGAAGAAAGCGGAAGACCACAGAGAGGGTGGCTGATTTAGAGCGAAAAATCAACACTCTAACCGCACTCCTCGCTTCTAACGAATCTGTCCACTCTGGTGACCCATCTCCGGGCTCTGGCGGCGAGAGCATTTCTAGTCGCCACAAAAGCCAGGATCCAGAGCAGACAGCAGACAATTCCCAGACACTCATTGGAAAAGCTCTAAGTCGGGGACTATTGGATTGGCCAACTGCCTGCAAAGCATTCGATCGTTACCGAAAGGAAATGTGCCTTTATTTCCCTTTCGTAGTGTTCCCTGCTACGACTGATGCAAGCATGGTGAAAGAGCAACAGCCACTCCTGTTCTTCGCTATTTGTACCGTTGCAATGGCGACAATGCGTGGACCGGTCAATCCGGAACTGTGGGACATGCTCACCAGAGACCTAGCCTTACGCATCATGTACCGAGCCGAGAGATCCCTCGAACTAGTTCAAGTTCTTCTCATCCATATTTCATGGTACACGCGGGGCAAGGAAATGCGAGAACTGAACTTCAATCAGATGATACACATCGCTTGTGCAATGGGTTTGGACATTGGACTTGGGAGAAGATCGCACAAGTCTGTCCAGTCTGATGACCCTCACCGACTTGAGTCGCTGGCAGGAAGACGAGCGTGGCTGGGCTGTTATTATATGGGCACAAAGTAAAGTTTCTGATCCTGACCTTTGAAAATGCCCCTGCTAATTATCATGTAGCATTGCCATGTCTCTTCGTCATCCGGCCGCCATCCGTTGGTCTGTGTACATCGAAGAATGTCTCGACGTCCTCTCCTCCGCGCCTAGTGCATTACCGAGCGACCGATGGCTTTGCGATTTGATTAGAATCCAGCATATAGCGGAAGATGCATCAATGGTATTCTCTATGGACGATCCAGGATCAGTCATAAGCTTTAGGGATGTGAAGACTCAATATCATATCGGAGGCTTCCATCAACAACTGGAACAGTGGCGCCGACATGCTCATAGCAATCTCCATCAAGGTATGTCCTTTCGTCAATGTGAATCTGTTTACTAAAGTGCAAACCAGGCTTTGTGCGCCACATCGAAGCTACGACAACTTTGTATGTCAATGAGGTCGCCATCCATTCGGAACATAACATCGACGAATTACGATCACCTCTCCGGCCGCCGGCACAAAACGAAGCATTGAGTCATGATTATAATGCTACATCTTCGACTGAGTCGCAATTTGCTCCAGCTCGCATCGAGTGCCTATTTACCTGTCTCTCCGCTATTCATAACTGCTTTGATGCCTTGCTATCCATGGATATATCAACCTTGGCCACCTTACCCAATTTTTTCCTTGTTCGGACTGGTTACGCTGCTAGAGCGCTTCGGAAATTGCTCAGTATCTGTGAGAATCAAGCAGCCCTGACAGGCCAGTTCCAGATCAACGTGAAGGACTTAAAGTTCGAGGAATATATGACCTCACTCATTCATCTCCTCGCAAGGATTCATGAAGAGACAAACGCTCACGTGGCTCGCGCATTTTGCTTGGTTATTACGCAAATAAAACAACACGGCCTTAAGTCACTAAAGCCGTCAATATTTACTGATTGTACTGCAAAGCTACCCCAGATCGACGCACAACTCGAGAAAGAAGGGTTCCAGGGTTCAGGTTTCGGACCAAGCACCACAGGACCACCCAAAGTAGCAACTACGGCTAGCGCCATCTCTGGGAAGCAGATGCCTTCGATATCAGAGGTTTCTTATGGGGCCGTGAGTGCTCCTCCCCAGATGCCACTTGAGCTGCAAAGTTCAAGCTGGCTTGACAGCACTGCCACTGGAGGCAGTCTGCCCCTGTGGCAGGCCGGGTCTTTCGATGCTGGAATGACAGGGGACGACTTGCAATGGTTCGAACAGGACTTCCCATTTGATGACATCGAAATGTATCCCATTGAGGATCCAAACTATGCCGTCGAAAACTCCACGTTTCACCAGACATACCCATCTTGACGTGTTTCCCGGGCTACGGACCACGACTCCGCAGTTGAATGTACACTATCCTGGGATTTACTCGCCCTTTCATCCAAGACCAAAAAATTGCAGCCTACCACCATCAAGCAACTGCCGCGCTAGCGTAGTAACCTAAGAAGGCAATGTCGTACACTTGGGTGTTGACACAAGTAACCGGAGATACGACTGGCTGGTTCACCAAATTCTTTGCGACCTGCCTCCAGTGCATATGACGACAGGACAACTTAAGCATTACGGTGACTGTCCACCGCTTTCTGGCGAGAAAAGATTAATTGCTGAGAATTATGCCGCTCCAGGGGCATCTCAGCCACGTACAATCAAGTTGCAAGTGAATTGCTTCCAAGCGAAAATATCATTCACTCAAACTGGAAGCCAGTTGATGATGGCTGGAATGACCAATCTAGAATTGGGCTCAGAGAGCCCTTTGAACGCAGCATGAATGCCTAAGACACTAGGAGTCACTGACTGGTCATCCTCTCTTCACTTTACCTCTGTCACTTCACTTGAATTTTCATTTCTCCGTCCACCTTCGAGTCCTTTCTCTTCTTCTCAGACGACGCGTTCTCAAACAACGGATCTCCCAATCAGACCATCTTGAGCTTGTCTGCCCTTTACCTTGCTGAGGCTGAGTTGACCAGTATGGCTCCGCCGTCCTCGAGCCCTCTCCAAGACAGAGCGTCTGACGACGAAGAACTTGACACAAGTGATAATGATCCTTACACGCTGAAGAAAGGTCAAATATCATTAGGTCTGAGCACGAGGTACAGTCCCACGTGGACACCTGAACATGCATTCAGAGAGCTTTATCAAAACTGGTATACTCTAACACCTCTCTCATCATCATTTCCACTAATATCAATCAGGAAAGATGGTATCCTCTCTTCCTTCAAACTGGATATCAATCTCTTTAAACCTGTCATCACAGAGGATGATTTATCCATCGACATCACTGTTCATGCCCATCTACCAACAAGAGTCGCGCCAGCACGGAACCAACCTTCACAACTACTCGGGTATATCACATTCAAGAAAAAGACAGGACTTCTTGAAATGAGCAATTTCCAGGCGAAGCTAGAAAGAGAACATCTCGATCTTGGAGAAAGCAGTAAAAGGGACGATGAAAACCTTGCAGGCTTTCACGGTGAAGGCTTTAAACTCGCTGCATTGGTCATGGTCCGAAATGGCTATGGAATGAAATTCGAGTCGAATTCTTTCTACTGGAATTTCGTACTACGCGGACAGAATGGGCATGAAATCTTACACTGCAGTCTCAATCCGAGATCACTTGAAATGCTACGCAGAGAGAAAGCACGTTTTGCGACACTGAAAGGTTCATCATCTTCTTTCCGTCGTTCTCTATCGCCGAATATTTGGGAAGATACTACTGTGAAGGTGGGGGCTCTCAAGAATAATCGCTCCGCAATTAGTTTGACAGATTTTCGTAAGTGGTTGACAGTCACTCTTGACCTGCAGAAATTTGGGGAGAATGACATTCTACGCGTTCGGTCTGGAGACCTGATCCTCGCTGGAGCTTACATAGGTGCAATCTACCTGAAGGGCTTGAAAGTTGAGGAGAATCGGTCCAGTTCTGCATACTATCGATTTGGCTACAATTTCCACCATGGGAAAATAAACCGAGACCGAGAGAAAATGATGGATCGACACGAGGAAGCACAAATGGTTGCAGCAATCTGGCAAGAGGCTATGTGCCTGAACGGATGGAGCAACGCAGTCGCAGACCACTATTTCCATCTGTTACAAGATGATGGTAATCCGGGCGACACCTTTTCAGCCAGCAAAACCGTTTCGAGACTTACAATGGGCAAACTATGGGACTACATGAGAATAACGTTCCCCGACTCCTTTTTCTTCTCCTCGGATGAAGATAGCACTACCTCAAATGCTATGACCCAGGTATGGAATTTGCCCGTCAGTTTCGAACGATGCTTACCACTCGTGCAGGATGCTATCATCGAAAAAGACCTTGGCAAGCGCCCTTATAAACTCAAGAGTGTCTTTTGGAAGCTTCTCAAAAAGTACTCGCTGGTCCGCACGCCACATGAAGAACGAGTCTTCCTCTTCTCTCACTCACCACCAGTGTCGATCCCAAACCATACGTTCAGTATTCAGGTCGATAGAGCACTCAGATGTGCTTTGAAATCAAGCGTAGCTTTGGAGCACATCAATATCCAGGTTGTGAAAGGTAGGTCCTTGAATATTGATGTGCTATTTCAAAGTACCGGCAGTCTCCTCAGAATCCATGATAAATGGCTTGCATCTTCTGAAGTCCACCAGAACAGGCAATGTAGCCTTTTTGAAGCCAAAAATGGCTGCTTGTCCTCCGAGGACATCTTCTTATGCGATCATGCAATCAACGACCTAATTGAAATGGTTGCTGGGGAGGTTCAGGGTCCATTGAAGCTCGAACACGGAGAATGTCAAGCCCTAAGGAGCACTATAGCAAAGAAGCTCCAGGAGATGCCCCGAGCGGTTCGTATGAAAGGCACAGGAAATCCTGATGAGCTCCTTGTTTCGTGGGCGGGAGCCCAGAGCCGCGCGTTCTCAGACAACTACGGCGAATACATTGATTATTCCGTCATTTTGCACAAGACAAGTTCATGTGAGGCGAAGAAGAATGCTCTGATTAGCGATACTAGTGAGTTCTGTGATCATGACCAGGTTTGTGTACTGACCCTTCTTAGGAGCAGGACATATTGTTGACTTATTCTCTGGTGCTGCGCAACCTGCTGATCCCTGTGGATGCCCGCGTCAAACCATTCCTGGAAACATATTTCACGCCCTTTTTCGAGGACTTGACACTCGCGAGACTTATTTCCCGATGGTGTCCCGTCTGAATGCTATGGCATTCTACGCCTCTCCACCAGCAGCCATTCAACCTGCCCAGGCAGCCGTTCGATCCTCTCGAAAAGCTATTCAACCTACCCAAGCAACTGTTCAACCGGCCCAAGGAGCTGTTCAATCTGCCCCAGCAGTAGTTCAACCAGCCCACATGACAGTCCAATCTGCCCAAGTAGATAGGCATGCCGAAGATTGTCGGTCTTGGGAAACATGGAACACCGAGCACCTTCCTCAGCTTTACGGAACCTTCGTTGAATGCCGTGAGGCAAAAAACGTACGCCCTGTTCCTATAGAGCGATCAAAATCCAGAGCTAATCTGAAGCAGTTCGATGCGACAAGTCTTAATAGCCTTGAATGTGAGCACTTGGACTATACCTTTGAGAACAACGAAAACGCCCTGGTTCTCATTGAACAGCACGATTCTCGTCGCTACGTCCTTTTGATACATGACATTCTCAGATATGGAATCGACGACAATGCTGTGTACCGCCTTGTGGGCACCAAGTATTCCTTTCTCGCAGACATTGGTGTCTTCAATAAGATGAGAGGGTCTAGTGAAACAATTGGCAACAAGGAGCTCATTCTACATTTTGAAGATTTCAGTCTGATGGGAACGCCAATCGACGCCGAGATGATTGACGTTGCAGACATCGCCTTAGTCCATGCATCTGACGAAGCAGCCATCAAGTTTATCGCTCCTTCGCCCATGAATGAAGACAGTAAGTCTCGCTAATCGTGTTTCTCTGCAAAACTTCTAACACAATCGAAAGACTCTGGGTTCTTCTGCCGATATGCAATTCAAGCTTCACAAGACCCAAGTGGCACGTACCTTACATCTTTGGCGCCTCATCTCATCAGATGGAAAGGTCGCAAGTTCACAACTACGTCGCTATCACCGTTGGTTTTTGACTTATCGCCAAATGTCCTCGGGACCTCGGAGGGCTTCGCGCAAGCCAATTTCTCAATTCGAGCAGCTCTAGGCTTCGACAATGTCAAGGACGCCACATGGAAGGTATTTATATTGTTCAATTTACAGCAATCTCTCAAAATGCTAACTTTATCAGATTCGTCATAACAACAGTCAAGTCTTTGATGGCATACCTACTGATATTTTGAGAGATTTCCAAATGTCTCGACTGCAGGATATCACTTTGTCGCAGCCAGTCCCTCCTAAAGTTGCTCTCATTTCAAGCGGATCAGAATATTTCAGGTTGAACCGTCTGAATGAAGCTCTTCCCACGATCGAGGAGTTTTTGAAGCCTCTGACAGATATTAGAGGTGTCGCACACGCTCTCGAGCCTGATTTCTACGTTATGCTACTCTCACCAGCCGTTTTACATCGTAACGCTGTATCAACGTTCTCGGCCACGATTCTGGAGCTGTTGGAGAAGAGAATGTCTGTGCATCTCAGACTTTTCTCACTCAAAGACCTAGGTCTCCCCCAGTCCAGGAACATCTTGGTTGTTACAGCAGGTCCCTTTTCGAATGCCTTGTCAAATATCCGTTGGCGTTCGGAAGACGACGCTCGCTTGTCTATGGCTGACGTACTGCGAGATCTTTCTTTCGAAAATCCACGTAGCATCCACGGCGGTGATGTTGGTCTTGTGTGCTCTCGAATTGGGGAACCCGGGTACATCTTCAATCATAATACCGGACGACATCCATCCGGAGATGATCCGAGTGTTATTGAGCCCGACTCGGATATCGCTCTTCATCTTGGGCGTCAATCATGGATACATCCAGGTAAGTCGGATCCATCTTGATGTCTTTGTATGGAAGCTAATCATGACTTGATCAATACAGACCGCAGAGATCGTCTGACTGTCCGAGAACTTGCACGCATCCAAGGATTCCCCGACGACTTTGTGTTTTTCGGGTCAGAAGACTTGCAATATGAGACTGTGTGCCGAGCTGTACCACCAATCGTCGCGAAGAAGGTGGCTCAAACGATTCGTCGGGTCATTGAGAGATACACACAAGTGGGAAGGGTGAAGCTCGGACAGATGCCTCGAGGTAATAAACGGGCCAAGCTTAATGACGATCAAAAGGAGTGATGTGGACGTGGGACGTACAAAGACTACGATGCGTCGGCGAACGCGACTCGAGAATCGATCGGTGCCGAGAAAGGAGGCAGGGTGATATCAGTGTATGACTGGAACAAAAAAACATTACACCTCCCTTGTAGGAAGGCCTTGGTCCAGCTAAATAGCCTTGCGGGTATGATTTTTTGGAGGGCATCATGATGAAAAGCAAAAGCCACAGGATAGAAAGTCGGCTGGAAATCCAGTTACAGGACTCGAGTCACTCCACCTCATTGTAACAAATAGATCAATCACTTGCGGCTCTTGCCTCACGATTTCATCCCCTCAAAAGTTATTAATTTGCCGCACTGTTCTGTGTGATCCCGTTGTTTTTGAATCAGTGCTCGATCGAATACTTACCTACTTGGCTATCTAGGTATGGGGACAGTGTGGAGAAATCACACTTGATCACTGACAAAAGGGTCATCAACTCCTACTCTCTTCCCGCCCGAAGACGGCACGAAGTATAAGAGAATAAATCCCGATACCGCCAAAGTGTTCAGGGACACACCTTCTAGCTAGACAAGGGGGGTGATGAGTACGTGTCACGTCACACGGGCAAGACGCAGTGCCACTGGTAGTGTAGTGCAACTCGGCGTCTTACTTGGGTTGGTTATACCTGAAATAGTGGTGGCCTGTCTTTCAAGACGTCGCCGACCCGTCGCAACACCTGTGATATTTCCCCGTCCTTCTTCTTTTCTTCTTTTCTTCTTCTTCTTCATATCCTCCCAAAGTTTCATCTTCTCCTTTCTCGCACGCGACATTTTGTCAGTGTGACAATAAGCGTGACAGCACATATCGTTCAGCAAAGGGATCGGCTTTGAAAGGACAAATCTTTTACTGGACGAGTGTATCTGACCATGACCCCAAGGAACCCAAGGATCTTGTGTGGGGGGTCGTGAACTAGTTTTTCGCGGGGCCCGCGCGAATTGAATCCCCAGAGAGACCAGAAATGTCAGGACCTCGGGACATTTTATCGTTTCTTTGTGTGACAGGTCGAGGGACATTCCTCCGGTGCGGAGTTGGAGTGGTTGAATGATGTGACAGATGTGTACAATACACGCAAGAACCGCTTCAACAGGTTACTCGGGCACCTACAGAAGACAAAACATTTTGTGACCACATGAAATTCATTTGGGGGTGGGTTTACTCAGTAGGAACTTGACAAGTGCCATCTGACTGACCTTGCCGACTATTGTATGAGAACTATGAGACCGTCCCCCTTGTCTCTGCCCCCCCCCTCTCCCTCCTCCACAAAACAATCCAGGAGATACGTACTGAAGTACATGTGCTGGATCAAGAAACCCCCCACTTGATCCGACATTCATCTTCTTTGGTTTCCGTTTCCGTCTCCGTTTCCGTCTCCGCATGTCTCCAAGTCAGAAGAATAAGTCCGATCTCTTTCGCCTGATCTGCGACTTCGTCCCGAAAACCCCACATTCATGCATGCATGCATGCTTTCCCGTTCTCTAGCGCGTTTCCGTTCCTTGCTAGAGAGATAACGTTTCCATTTCCGTAGCACGTACGTTTCCCTTTTCCCATTGACCCGAGAACACTATGGGCTTTCCTTTCGTAGCTTTCCCGCTGCTGCCTGACATACACGCGTACCAACAAACTGGTGACAGAGTCCCGAGAAAAACAAAACGGTTGGCCATGGGCAAAACAAAAGAGACAGGAAAAACCTGGGCGGGCTGTGCTTGTTTTTTTGTCGTCAACATTTCGGACCACGAAAGCAATAAGGAATCCTCATTCCGCAAGGTCGACGACGTGTGTAGGTTTTGTGTGTGCTGGTAGCTGCCTCCGATCGGCAGTGGTGCAAATGGAAAAGAGACAAAAAAATTATCGCCATCAAGGAGGACCATCAAGGAAAATGGCTGGCGCTGGTATCCATCAAACTCGTTTCGTAGTCGTGCATGTAATAAGACATTGGTGGCGTGAATCGAAAAAAAACAACAAAAAATGACATCGACGACCCTACCATGAGCAGGTAGAGGGCACGTCCTTGTAAGGAAATTCGTAAAGATGGGATGCTGAAAGACAGATTCGTACGAATATCGTCATCTTTAATGACCCAATCTCAAAAATTCGGTGACCTTGACATCGTCAACGGGTGAGGCGACCGTGGTCTTATTGGTGACGGGGACGGTAGGCTCCTCGGCAGCATTGGAATCGGCGCTCGCGGTAGAGCTGGATCGGCGAGTCTTTTGCAGTGCGGGAATGATTGACTCGACCTCGGTGGTGGTCTCGAGAACGGCCGCGCGGTGGGCGATGGGAATGAGTTGGAGGAAGTTGTTATTGTTGACTGGGCTAGACATCTTGCTTGGTTGTAGTAGAGAAAATGTATTGCTTAGTAGATGATGGTCCGGATGGTTTTGGAAAGTGAGGGGCACAGAGAGGGTCGCCGAGGTTGAGTAGGTATATGTATGAGTTGGGAACGAGCTCGGACGTTTCTTCTTCCTTGTATATTGAATGACGCAAGGGCCAGGCGATTTATTGATGGGCTCTCGGTTGTACGGAGATCACGAGAGGTGTCTGTAAGCAGATATTTTGGTCTTGGTTTGTGCCCGGTTGTTTGAAGCCTATGAGTTGGTTCGGTGCTGCTGACCGAGGAGATTGGGAATGGAAGAGAGGAGTTTCAAAAAGGTCCGAGACGGAAATGGGGTGTAAGAAAACGGAGGATGGATTTGAATACGAGGACAGGCTGGAAAAGTCTCTCAGTGAAGGTTTGTGCAACATACTTATAGACCTTTTGACTTGTGAGCCTCTTGAGAAGCCGAGGGGGGAAACGCGATGGTTTAGTCTCGACTGGGCCCAAGTCAGCACGCCCCGTTGTCGTCAACTGGGATGTCGATGGTGCGACGGCGAATGGAATCCGTGTTGATCCCGGAGCAACCCGGTAATACGAGGCGTGAGTCTTGGACATGGTTCGGAAACATGGTCATGGCTGCCTCGAGATACTGGAGATATGGTCCGTCAGTGGAGAGAAGCTGGAATGCCCGTGTCAGGCCGCAGCTAACATCGGTTAGTGTGGCATGATTATCAAGACATCCCTGACATGTCTCTCATACGATGATGACGATGTTCGGTTCTTCCTGCAATTATAACTCGTATCAACTGCCTTGTAATCATGTGCTGAGAATATTGTTGCTTTCGAGGGCCTAGACCCTCAACTTGTGCAACTGTAGTGTTGTGGGACGTGGCCATCACTCAATGCGGGACAATAGAAGTCCGTAAAGAGGAGGACTGATAACGACGCTTGGTAATCGCCGGTGACGCCATGGCCCTGCCTGATGGACTGTACGAGTACTTCCTTGAGTAGTTGTAAATTAGTGCCCGTAGAGTACGGGGGTATCTAGACGGAGTGTTTTTCGGGTTGTTCTGGAATCTCCGTGATTTTGTCGTGTTTCGGAGGGTTGAACCACTTCGGACTCCCGGCCTCGGAGTTTGGATTATCGTTGCCTTGTCGTCGATATCTTCGCCATTGGTTCATTGCGCATTGCGAAAGGTAAAAGGCTAGAGCCATTTGTTACCCCTACAGCATCAAGGGACATTTGACATCTCGGTGCATGCTTTCGTATCTGACAGTGTTGTCGCATACAGATCGGCTATGGCTCATCCGTATCCACGATACTTGTGTTGATCGGGCTGTTGAATACCTCCAAACATTTCTGTTTGCAGAGTACCGCAGGCAATCTTCTCAAGCTGCTACCTTTTGGCGCCTTTCGCAGATTGTGACGAATTGAGAAGAGATGTATGAGACTGCCGAACAGTCTTTCTAACTTTGTGTAAACATCTTAACCAAATAAAGTCTTGGCAAGAGATATAAGAATAAATCTACCTGGTAATAACGAAGAGCCCTTATTTCCAAGTGCTATTACGATAATTCCATCGCTGATCTTGTGGACAGCTCGCAGTAGAGTAAGTACTTACATTCGTCTGCCCGTCTCCATTTTGCATAGGTGTGGTAGCCCTTTGATTCCGCACCACTACCTATTGGAAGGCATTTCACTGGTTTTCTACTTGAGGGTCGAATGAGAATGTTTGCCGGCGAAAAGTCGTATCAGGAGACGCAGATAAGCAGCGTTTCTGAAGCCACACGAATTCTCCTCATATGCCTCTTTGCGTGAGGGCGTCTCGACTATTAGCACTAACGGCAATGACGCATCACACTGGCTGTGACCCCTCTGCGCCCGATTTCTTCGGCATTTACTCGTGCCTCCTTCGACTGTCATCTAGTGTCAATTATACTTGTAGGTTACCTTACCATTTAGAGATAACTGGCGGAGAGTCATATTCTGAAGAAATTAACAACCGGTCGCAGGTAGGAACCGCATAGAGTGCTGCGCAATCCCGATTTGGATGGTTTAAGCTGGCATGAGCGAGAGTGTGACAGCCTGCATAACCGTTGACCATCGACTCGACAACAGCACGACATGTTATCGCCTTGAGGTTAGCAATGAGAAAGAGGGCCACTGCACAGAAAAGAGGAATGCACCACTTCGCCGACACGGGCCTCATCGGGAAGTCCGATAAGGATTCCAGCTGTCGTTATGAGCAGTTTTGTCAAAAGGGGTTAATTTGAGTGATACAGGGAGGGGTAAGGCACTGTTGCACGACGCAGCACCACATTCACTCGTGTACGCATATTTTCGTCGCCGTCGATACTGACCTTTAGGCGCAGCCTACTCGAAAGATGTATTGTTACCCAATTATCCTAGCTTAAGTCAACTGCCGACGGTTGCTTTTGGTACTTCTTGGAGCAAATGTATGCTCTGCGTAAGCCATCACCTTACGAATGACTGTTTTCCTAGACGCTAACTAGCTTATACCATTTCGATTCGCGATCCATCGGTATCGGCTAGCTTTTGGTCACTAGGATATACAGAACGGATAAGAGGTTAACAAGAGCTAAGTTTCGAAATGCTCCTAGTTACCCTGATTACCCTCCGTCTTTCTTGAGTTAAATTGAAGTTTGACTTAATCTCGTCGTGTCACTCCGTCAAATCAGCCTGGTCAACGAAGTAAAACACATCTTGGAGATTCGACAATCTATAGCATTACAGAGATCTCGGGTTCCTTAATCTATTGGAAGGACTCTCCTCGAACTGCAAAGCCTCTATTTCAAAGCAGGCCCATGGTGGGTAGAATTGATGGTAATGTTCATAACCGGCTTTTTTATGTTTTTACGAGGACTTGGAGGATGCTCCCTCCGTACGGTCACTCAGGATACCAGGCTCGACTTGTGGACTGTTCCAAGATACTCGGCGCTACCCAAAGTCAGAAAAACTCCGAGTGGACAAGCGAATATCAAAATGCCCCTCTCAGCCACGTTGAGTACCGAGTCCATCTATTTGGACCAGCATTATTATGGCGTCAATGAAATTATGCTGCCTCTTGATCTGTGAAGAATCAAACTTTGATAAGCGCGATGGTTCGCGCGTTTCATCAACAAACCCCTGCAGGGCCAAGTCTATCCTCGAACAACTTACAAGAGACACACTGGTGCACAAAGGATGCTCACCACGAGTTTACGCAGGAATACTCAATGGGTCTCCCAACAATATTCAAAGGTCCTATATCGTCTCTTCTTTTTACAAGTAAAGGATTTATACGGATCAATCTGCACTCGGGGTATCTTGCTAGTAGGGTCCAGCTTCTTACCCATTGCCAAACCCCCCGCTCCACATGAGATCGGCTTGTTCCTTGAAACTCAATATAAACACCAAGTGGGATAGCGAGATTCGGTTCTTGGGCACTTCGGCTCACGGAACTGCAGAAAAGATGCGAGTGTTTGCCACGAGGCTTTCCCTCGAGAACCCCTGCTTTCGCTGCGACCTCGCATCGGACAACTGCGTCAGATATGGCTTCCGGCTCGCTTTCATGGAACCCTGTCATTAAGCCGTCGAGAACGCAACATGGAGCGCTAACCTCATGGCGGAAAGCGAGGACCAGGTGAACAACAAGGACATGTACCCCGTTTCTGCCCCTTGATAATTTGTTACTTGTCTCCTATGCACCTGTCGCCCTTCAACAAATTTGGCAGTCCAAAAGCCCACAACATGGCAACTCTGAGCCGCAGGGTACTGGGATGCCGGAGATGTAGTTCTTGTCTTGTCCTGAAACAACGAATGCGGACCTAGCATGGGCAAGCCATCTGGTCAACTTGCAAAGGAGAACTCGGACTGCCCGACGACTCGTACGGCTGGGACTATCCTATAAAAGCAGACGTTTCATCAGACATGGTGAACTTTGTGGGATCAATCAAATTTGACATCCTTTATTTGCTGGCACTTTTCTTCCTTCTGTCATTCGTTTTTAAAGCGCACCCAGAGACTCCCTTTTACGTTCTTTTTCAACAGAAGCGGGTTCTTTAGAGAAGCAAGGAGGAGGGGGAAACTGAAGAAAGACAAAGCAAGCCGCGAAATTTGGACAATGTTGTTTTCATTCTTGACGGTTTTGGGCCTTGCGGCCTCGACGCTGGCCGACGATTCTTGCTTGGCACCCAGTCATGGACTGCCTCCTGTCCTGTACTGGAAGTGGGAGCCAACCCCAATCTTTTCCTCGACACCAAACGGGCTCTCTGGAGCTTCTACCGTCACTTTGATTGAGTGGAAGACTTCAACCATCACCGCTGTGGTGTCTGAGACCGTGTCGACGTCCGTGTCTTCGGTCTCGGTCCAGGCTGCTGGTGAGACCAGCACGCCTGCCACGCCTGCCTCACCTAGCTGGGCTGAGTGGGAGCCATCTTCTATCGGGGTGCCCAACAACCCCAAGGGTCCATCCTCGGTGAGCTCCTCGATCTCCACCGCTGGCTCCTCGGATTCATCGATCCGCCCTATCGCAGCAGCTTCTGGTAGCTCTACGACGCTTCGCTGGCCACTCTCTGCATCCACCACACTTGTCTCCCACTACCTCGACTTGAGCAGCTTTTCGACTTGGACTGCCAGTTTCTCAAGCAACCAGCCGGTCGCAGCCGTCTCTGGAAAGCCTCAGGCATCTACCACATCTGTTTCAGCCACGTCGACGACCGTGGCCGAAGCGACATCTGCCGCTTCTTCCTCTTCTCCTTCTTCCGCCTCCGAAGTCTTCATCGGCCTGGGCACACGCTACGGCGGTTCCTGCTCGGAGGAAGACTGCTGGCAGAACGGCGCCTGCAGCTTCGTCGACTACACCCTCCCTGCCGGGATTGACGGGTCCACCTGCATTTCGGAAGAGATTTGGAACAATGGCGCCAACTGTGGCGGCTGTATCTCTGTCACTTACAAGGGCAAGACCATCACGGTCATGGTACGTACGAAGAAATGCGATCGATCGATCGCGCCCTTCCATTGTTGGGTCCCAGAGGGCCAATGGCTGACGCGATCATGGTTACTTTGCACCGTTGTAGGTTACGAATCTGACTGGAGGCAACGCCACGCATCTGGACATGACCCCCGACACTTGGGCCAAACTCACCGACGCATACTCTGGGGGTGGAGTCGACGGCATCGAGTGGGAGTGGGTCACTTGTCCCATGGCCGAGACGGAGCCCCTGTGGATTCGGATGCACGGCGGAGCGTCCAAGTTCTGGTTCGCCGCGACGGTCGAAAACGCCCGGTATCGAACCTCCAAGTTGGAGGTGAGCGGCGACGGGGGGAGGACGTGGCAAGACACCACCCTCGACAACTACAACATTTTTGTCCTCGACGGGACCCTCCCCGGCGACACCGCCACCGTCCGAGTCACCAGCGTCACAGGCAGTCAGGTCGTTGTCGACAATGTGGCGCTCGAGTCCAGCACCGACACGAAAGCCGCGGAGAACTACTCTTGATTTTCCGAGCACTGTTGTCTCTGGGAGACCAAACACGGAAGAAATAGAGGACAAAACTCTGCGCGCGCGCCGCATTGATTCGGTCATTTCTCTTCTTGTACATAGTCATTTTTCTTCTTCAGACTTCATCGTCTTGGGGAAATTGTTATTGCGCACACGCATTCAGAGGGGCCGGGGCAACTTCTCCTCTTTTGTCACGACAAGTCTCTTTTCTCGGCAGTTTGTCATGACCTTTGGCTATTCAGTACGGTTTACTGTTCAATAAAGGCAAAATGAGGCTTGTCTGTGTTTTTCTTCCTTTCCATTGCAAGAATGACTCCTTTTGGAGGGAGAATGTTTTGTATAGTACAATTGATCACCACTTTTCAGAAATACCGGACAAACTCCTGGCAAATGTATACGAGGTACTCCGTAGTAATTATTTCATCAAAGCACGCGGACGTCGTCAGACACAGAAAATCTTTGCTGGACTACTTGTCAGGAACACACAAGGGCAGTCGACATGTCAGGTCAGACAACGTTCCCTATTTGACCGACGGATTCCAGGTACATCTTTTCTACAAGGGCCGGCTCGCGTTTGTGTTACATAACGGGGCTAAATGCTGTACCACTAGTCCAACACTCCCTTCATGTTCTTGGCCCACTGACTGAAAATTGCCGCCATGTCTTCCGTCGAGCCGCCACAATTCGCATGCTCCTTGACAACTCCGAACACCTCGTCCGCGGCCTGGGCCTCTTCAATCATCTCGCCGAGCCTGACCTCGTCTTCAAAGTCGACGTTCTCCTCCGTCACCAACAGGCAGAACTCTGGCGTCTTCCCCGGCCAGGTGGTGGGTTTCTTGATCAGGATCCCGGGACTCTTGAACCTCAACGCGTCGGCTTCCCGCCTCGCCAGATTGTCCATCTCGTGGTCGGTTGGGAGGATGTGCAACGTCGATTCCGCCTCGACGTAGGGTGCCAACACGGGCGCCACCGTAGGGTGTCGCTTCCTGCCGAAGAAAGTGCTTGCAATGACACTTGCAAGTTTTCGCGTGGTTTTTATTGTCCCGACGTTGGTGGCTGATGACTGGTGGGAAAATGCAAACCACTCCAGCTCTTCGAATCCATCAGACACCTTGTGAGTCGCCCGCAGGCATAATTGACGCCGGAACATGGCCAGCCCCGCCGACTTTTGTCCGCTACAGAGCTTGAGCTTGTCGATGGCTTGCAGCACCTGTTGGCAATTGATGCCGCTGCCAATTTCATCGTCCACGAGGCCGGTAGGTGGTAAGACCACGTGTGCAATTTCAGCCAGTTGCTGTAGTGCTCTCTGGCTGCATAAAATGCACGATAGTCTCCGAGTGATGCGCCAATTCTCAGGTTTCAGTGCACATTGAGCATATACTAAAGCTCTGACCAGGATCTCCACCCCAGGCGACTCACCTGGGGGCATCTGTTTTGCATCAAACTTCCACCGGGTCTTCACAGTCATGTTTGTATCGCACATTGTGTTTACAAGTTGTCTAGCCGCCTCTTCAGCTGATATCTTGGGAAAGACGACCTCTAGACAATTCTCGAGGACCTTTTTGTCCACGGGCAGAATCAGTTGCCAGTAACTATATTGCACGACGTTTGAATGACGAATTGTAGCATGAGCCGCCCAGGGATGCTCGTCGGGATCTGCTTCTTCCCACTTGCGCCACTGGTGGGTGTCGAGTGCGTTTTCTGTTGCCGAAGACGAAGCCGGATCTGGCTGCCGGTGTCTCTGCAATATCGTCTCCTTGTCGGCATCGAGATCTCCGACCAGTTCAGCGTGTGCTTGCTCCGGCGCAGTCGATGACCTCAAGGGAAGTGAAATGTCTGGAAAATTGGATATCCCTATTTCGGACATCTGTGACGAGGCCTCGGTGCCGCTCGGAGAGAGGCGAACCTGCCTGAGGTTTGTTCGTCCGCCTGCGAGGCAAGCAAGTATGCTTGGGCGATAAACATCACTAGCCCAGTCACAGAGATAGTCAAGGATCAGGAGCAGTTGAAATGCCCCATCTTCGTGTAAAATTGATCCGTGCCACAGGTCAAACAGTTGCTTTGGAATTGTAAGAACTCGGTAAACTCATATGGACCATGATTTGTTTTTAACAAAAGACTCACCACTCCATCTCCGTCTGGGACAGCAGCATACAATCTCCAATCCTCTCCCAAGATGACGAAGTTCCAGACCAAACATTGATGGTCTAGGCCGGTTTCATCCTTCAAATTCTGCTGTAGGCGCATACACGTTCGCACGGCAAACGCCGTCTGTCGAAGCATGCTTCCGAAACTTGCATTGCTGGTATTTTCGGCAGCCTTTGCTTCAATGACTATGAATGGATAGAGGACGTGTCTCTTGTTGAAGGCGGAACATCTCTTCCTCAGTGATGGGAGTAGGTGCTTGAACGTACGAGTTCGAGCAAGGCCAATGACTCGGTCCGGCCTCTGCGTCCTCAGCCGCCTTCTCATTTGTGATGACATGTCTTCGTGGAAAATAGGTCTGTCAATCTCTCGCGTGAAGATTCGGGGATACTCATTGCTGCCGGTGCTGTGTACCACCATTCATCAGTCATCAATCAGTATTGTGTATCTTGACCTGGGGCCCAAAACTAACGTCATGAATACTGCCCGCTGAAGAGGTGTGCACTCACACAATCTTCTCCGCAGTCTTCTACGTCGAAGATCTTCCGCTGCGCCGGGGTCGATGGGCCTGGCTTCGAATTTCACTTTCGAAAGCCGCTTGAGACAGACATGACTAGAGGAAACAATCAATTGGTCAGTTCAGACTACCTTCGCTTAAGGGAGCAACGAATCACCGGACACACTTACCACGCGACTTCCGAGTCAAAGCATTCAAATGCTCTGAACTCAACCTCCTTCCTCCATCCGAACTCATTGTCCCGTCGCTTGAAGCAACTCCACGCTTTCTCCACGAGTCCATTTGCCTGGATCCTTTTAGCCACGACGTACGGATCGTGCGGCTCAAATTTGCGGATGAAGTTTTCCTTGTTGGTTCGGCCTATCTCACGAACGTCGTTGAATATGGAGGAATAAGCGCCCCAGAGATGTGGCACTGTCCGTCCTTCAACATTGTAACCAACACTCTCCATGAGTTCCAGGTATTCTTCAGTTGTGAGTTTCGTGGTGTTGTCTTCCATGCCGCCCTGGTCCTCCATTTTGCCATGGATGCAGGTTTAGACGAGAAAGAAGGTTTTGCACCGTGTCCTGGATGAGAAGGATGCTTCAGCATTTACCATGTCGTTCTCCCCGTCACCACGGCTCATCTTCTCAGCCGAACAACGCGGCCAAACGAACGAACAGAAAGTCGCAGGATTGAAAGCCGGTCAGGCACCAGCTCCTGCTCTTGTACATTGCACTTCTGTACCTAGCAGTCCTCCCTGCCGTGTAGGAGCCCTTCTGCCTGATGAAGCGTCGGCAGGGGAAACCAACACTGCAGCTAACGCAAGGCAGCCATTGACTATCGCTGCGGCCAGTTTCGCGGCCAGCAACGATGTGACATACCCCTGCATTTCTAGAGGATGCACAAACCAAGGAGGGGTGATGTGATCCGGAAAGTGGACCGTTACAGTGACCGTCAGTGACCGTAATCACAATGACCAAACAGAGACTATGCGAGTAGGCACAATCTCCCCCCGGGTAGACGGATGCACGTACAAGTTGACCTGGAAATTGTGTCGGCGGCTAATATCGATGCTGTGGCGTGCAAGTTGCAGGTAGTGAGTGTTGGGTATATTTCTTATTATAGTGACTGGAATCGACAGGACCAATCAAACATCGTGACCATGCACCCTTAACGCTTCCGCGAAAGAACAATCTTTTGTCGGATGTTCACGCTCACGCAGCTTGCTCGTCATATACTAATTAAGTCTACAATTTTAGATAAGGACCCTAGCTCGTATCCAAACTTCCGGCTTTATCTCCCTGGTCAACCGAGCATTCGGCAAGAAGCGGTCGTATGTAAAGCCTTCATGTGCTGCCATGTATTTCAACAATGCCGGCAAGATCGTAATCCCTGTCACCGGTTTTTGTCCAGGGCTGGAATTCAATGAACCATGGCCAAGTCCAATCCGCATGATTTTATCTTTCACTTCCGTCCCCGGTACAGGAAAGACGCATCTGTACAGGTCAGGCGTCAGCAAAAGTCGAACTTTGGCATCCAATGCTAATTTGAAAATGCTTGTCAAGCCGTCCTCTTGCTCACACCATTCCGGGACAGTGGCTTCATACTGTTGCGCAAAACCGTGGTGTGCCTCCACAAGTGGGCGGACACAGGCTATCAGCCGCCTGGACAGGACGCGGGCTCTTTGAGAGACCACCAGCCCACAAATGGGGCGGTCATCGACAAATTCCATGTGGGCAGCAAATTCGAGGCTGTCGGCCATTCTACTATCTAAGGATGGTAAGCGCCGGAGCAGAAATTCATCAAAAATTAATTCTTACCTTGAACCGCTAAGAGTGCTCGAAGCTTCGGATAGATGAGCTGGTTCTCTTGGAACAAGCCTTCCGCATTGGGCTCAAGAACCCAGGAGCAAATAGCTGCTCCCACCAGAGAGAGCAGCACCTCCGTTAATCCCCGATAACGAAGTAGTTCGGCAATCGCAGAATCGATGGCAGATTCACCCGGTCTGCCAAAAGCCCTTTCCAAAAGCCTCAGGAGCTCCGACGGACCAGCAACTTTCGTCACATCGATTCCCAAAGCTGCGTTGTATCGGGCCGACACCCTGCTTAGTATCTCGTTCATCTTGTTAAAATCGTCCACAATTTTGCCAGCGTTCTTTGCCTGAAACTCCCCAGGGAAAGTTGCTTTGAAGCGAGTGACACACGCGTAGCTAGCGACGGATGCCTTGAGAAACTCGATCTGATCTCGGAGATCTGCTTCAACCTGGCTCGCGACAGGCTGACCACCATGTTTAATTAGTTCTGTCTGCAGCAACTGTTTTTCTCGCCTCAGTTTTCTTCGACGACGATGCTCTTTCAAATAAAGGTCTCTCCATTTTTGTGTTTCGTCAACTTTCTCAATACGCTGTGCCTCCAGGTCGAGTCTCAGCATTGCAATCACGGATTCTGGGTCAGGTGAAGTGAGAAATTGGGACTGTGATGCATCTTGGGCAGGCCTTGGCACAGGCTCGGCTTTGGTGTCGTAATTGGGACGAGCATGGCGCGGTTCCTCCGTCTCGTGAACTGCAGACTGGGCGGGTCTAATCAGCAGAGGCCTGTTGAACGACTCCTCGATCGAGGATGCCGGATCGTGGCTGTCTCTGAGTTCCTCTCTTCTGGTCAACGTATCCACAGGTGTCGTCAATTCCAAATGTCGAATAGGCTGCAGAAACATGATTCATCAGTATCTCAGGGTCTTCTCAGATCTCACGTCCAGACACTTACTCCGGATATTCTCCGCTTCTTCTTGCGCGTTATCGTCCATGGATCTCGCCGCTTCCTTCCTCTCCGATGGCGTCGATCTTCCGCGTCGGCACGAGAAGCGCTAGAGGGCTGCAATGTGCGTCTTGAATCCCTCAAATCATGCTCGCGAGCTTGGACTGCCTCCAATTCTCGAGCTCTTGAGAGCACGCGGTATTTTTTATCTTCCGGCAAATTCGGCAGTGCACTGATGCCTTTCTTGCAGATTTCAAACCAGTCTGACTGCCGACTGCTTGAGGGAAACCCATGAGCCCGAAATACCTTGAGCTTCTCTTCAATCTGCTTCTCCGAAAGAGAGAGTTGGAGGTGATCATTGAAATGAGATATGAGCTTGGGTATTCGTTTCTTGACTGGCACTTTGTGAATAAACGCATTCTGAATGAAGGCCAAAATCTCAAGGTTGCTGCCACTGTAGAAGTATTCATGTTCCTCGCAAGAGTCTCTGATGATTCCGGAGCCGTCATGCACTGGTCTACGACATCTCTGCGGCTTCATTGTGTAGCGCAGTGGGAAGTCAAGAGCAGACCTTGCCTCTGAGATGGGAGACAACTGATATATGAGAGAGAGAGCGCGGACTGGCGCCCCTCAAGAACTCATAGACTAGCGTTTCAGCCCAAAAATCAGGTTATTTTTCGAAGCCGATGTATCCGTACTCTGTCCATCTACTCGTAATGACGGGTGTGCTATACGGGTACAGTACAGTACACATACGGCCCCGGCCGCACACTGTCCACAAGTACTCCCCGGCACAGCCCTGTTTTTATTGGGTGAGAACCATCAGGGCGGTTCCGGCAAATGGGGCCGCTTCCTAGCGCCGAATCGAAAGTCCCAGGGATGCTTTAGATGCCCAGTCGTACTTCGACTAGTGCTGTTTGAAAGGCAGAAAGGTGACTCTGTCGTCCTGATCACAGAGATGGGTGCCTTGGCTGCTGTGATGGCCAGTGTGATGGCTGTCGAGAATGCGTATTTAAATGTTGGGTCACTCCCTCAGCAGTTCTTCGGCTCGCAGTAAGCACACGATGCAAGGCTTGTCTGACAGTCCACTATCCCGCATGGAAGAGTACTCGGAGGCAGAGTTCGGCAGAATCATTCCATTGGAGCTCGGGGAGGATCAGGACATGCAAGATGTACTGGGGGCAGAGCCATGTGTCGCCCGCTCAAGGCGAGCAAGCCAACCCAGCGCGATGAGGCATTGTGCAGGTCGTCAGCCCGAGCCGGGCATTGAATCACAACACCACGACATTGCATATCCGAGATACATCATCGCCGTTGATTTTGGCACAACCTACTCGTCAGTAGCGTTCGTACGCATTGACCATGACACGCAGCCACAGCACATCAGAGCCGAGTTCGTCGAGTGCATCGACAAATATCCCAACATGCCGCCAATCACCGATGCCAATATTTTGGCTAAATCAACGACAGTGCCAACAGAACTTCTGTATGATATTCTGGAGAACAGAACGAATCATACATCACAGCCCAGCACGGATTCATGGGACCTTGAAACTAGCTCGACTGTTTCTTTAGATGAGCTTTGGGAAGAGTCGTCTACCACCAGCTTGGAACAAGAAGTGGACCAGATTTCTCCCGTTGCAAACAACGATGGAAGACCTCCACGTCGGAAGCCTGCTACCTGGGGATGGGGCGTGTATTCGAGATTGCTCAAGCCCGACAGCACTTCAGACTGGTACCACCTTACCAACTTCAAACTTCATCTGGATCCAGATAGAGAAAGATCGGCAGCGCTGCTGAGGGAGAGCGTTGCTGTCATGAAAGCACTGAAAGGGTTGAATACTGAAGACATTATCGCCACGTATTTGGAGAACCTGTTAAGACATGCAAAGTCCAAACTCTCAAACGCATATGGCTTTCATGAGAACAGTACCGTCGAGTTCGTCCTCTCTGTCCCTGCCGCCTGGGATGGGCGAGCCGGGGAGACCATGCAAAAAGCCCTGGACCGCGCTGTCAGGTCTTCAGGTATCATCAAGCTCAAGAAAAACGAAACTCCTGATCTGTTCATGGTCGCTGAGCCTGAGGCCGCCCTTGCGTACGTTCTGGACAATGACAAGCGGCTATCCGACGTGGTACGGGATGAGTCTTTGATGATCATTGACGCTGGTGGAGGCACAGTAGACTTCACAGTCTGCACACTCACCAGAACAAACCCACCGCGCTACAAGGAGGCGGTCAGGCCAGATGGCGTCTCCTGTGGATCTTGCTTCTTGAATAGAAGATTCCGTGCCCTCTTAAAAGATCGGCTCGCCGACGCAATCATCATTGATAACGGTGTGCCACTGGAAAGTATCATTGATGCTAAGGTCATCGATTTTGAGACTTTGAAGAGGAGTATAGATGTCTTGGACAAGAACTTCAGATTCGAAGTGTATATTCCTGGGCTTCAAGAGGATGGCGCAAAGGGCTTCGGTCAGAACAAAATGGACATCACACGGACTGAAATGTACCGTGTTTTCAGCGACTCCCTTCACGATGTTGCCGGGATGATGAGCGACCAGTTGAATGCGGCGCGGGAAAAAGGTGTCAATGTCCAAAAAGTGGTCTTGATTGGCGGCTTTGGACAATCACCATCCCTGTACAAGCATCTCAAAAAGGCGCTTCGGAGAGAGAGGAATTTCTTAGGCCTAGGGATCGAACTTCTTCGCCCAGAGCTTGTCGAATCAGCAGTGGCTCGAGGCGCTGTTCTGAGGGCTTTGAGGAAGGAAGATGGACCGGAGAGAATATCTAGATGGAGTTATGGTCTCTTGTGGACTGTCGTGTATGACCCCAAAAATGACTACCATCGGAGATCTGCCACCTGGAGAGACCCGTCGGATGGTCAAATATGCATCAAGGACACGATACAGTGGTTCGTGGACAAGGTATGAGAGCTATCTCCCCACAAGAGTTGAGATTGTCCTTTTGACTCACATATCTAGGACACACGGCTGAATGCAAGGCATGAGTTTCCAATTGATGCTGCCGTCCATATATTCAAAGCAGATGCACCCAAACTCTTGTGCGAGGAAAGATTATATGTGTCGGGACAAAAGCACCCTTCAGGCTATAAGGTTACACATCAACGTAATCGTGGTAAGACCATCGCTCCACTGCCTTTTCTGCAAGACACTAAGCATCATCTGCAAATAGGCAGTAAGATTGCAGGTACCATCATGGCAGATATGACACGTCTGAGGGACGAGAATCGTATCCAACCAATAACGGTGATCAATGACCAGGGGAAGGAGTTCACGTACTACGAGATCATCTTTGATCTGTACATCATCATCGAGGGGCGCACTCTGCGCTTTGAGGCACGGTCTAAGCAGGGACAAAACGAATTGGTGGGTTCGGGCGCGTTTTGCATCGCTGCAGGTTTCAAGCCAGGCACAGCGTAGAGTCGAGGTTGAGCGACGTACAGTACATGTTTGTATGGAAAGAGGAAGATGTTTAGAAAATTCGGACTTCGGCGTAGACAGCCGACAACAAGAGCGGCAACTTCCTGTTTCCCGATGCGGAACCTCCAACCAGAACAAACCTGCGACTGCAAAATACCACCAACTCACATACGGTACTATATGGACTTGTGGAGGCCATTTCGTATGTTGCATCGCTCCAAGGTGCCGAGCACTTGTTACGCACTCAGGAAGCCAGTCAAGCATCAAGGCCACTACCGATATCGAGCAACCATTTGCTGTTCCTTGGTCTCCCTGATCACTTCCAGCATGTCCGTTCGACCTCTTCCACCACACTCTCACTCCTTGAAATGACCTCGGAATACTCCTGCACACGTGAGACTTGTCCTTCGAGGTGTGGTTGAGGAACAAGAGGGGGTGGCCGACGAAAAATACACAGATGAGAGCTGGGCCAGCTTTACTGATGACTTACCCTGCGGAGGAGCTGTCGGGCGATCACAACCACACTTTTTGGTGAAGAAACATCGACGACCTGTCTAAAGTTGAATAAACTTCAAGTTTGAGACGGTTCAGTCGCCTGATTGGAGACCAGGACAACCTTCGCAGATTGGCAACCCTTCTTGATCTGCGTTTTTCTGCATATGATGTTGTTTAAAGGTTCATGCGAGCTCATAGGTAAAGGGAAATAATTTTCAATGCACTGCATGCCTCACTAATGACCACCCTTTTCTGTTCCAGTGTTTCTCCTTGACTGGCTCTCATGTAATATATTGCTCGGGTTTGTGGCTTATTTCAAAGCAGAGAGCTATTCTAATCGTACTAGGCGTTGTGACGAGTGCACCAGCCGGCCCTCTCCCCCGTGATCTCTTTGATGTGCTATGACCAGGGTGCGAAATTCATGCTGTTTCGCGGCAGGTCTTGGATCGTCGCCGTAATTGCTTAAGAGGTGTTTGCTCCAACAGCAGTTGAGATAGTCCTCGATCTAACAGAGGACCGAATATCCTCCTCGGGAGACATTCTAGAATCTGTTTTCTTGATCTATGAATTGTTTTGACGATTAGCCGTGTGTAGATCCCTGGGTAGTACTGTCAATGTGCCCTGGACAGCGATATCAGATGCCAAGACTGCTATCCGTAAAATGAGCGGAAATCAACTTCAACGCCAACTCGTTCGCTCGGCCAAAACATTCTTCCAGGTGATATCTACTTAATCTGCCGCGCTACTGCTTTCCCAGACATAGCATATGGCACATCATGTCTGTAGATATCAAATGGGAGACAATCACTTCCGGCGAGGACGGGGCTGTCCTGGCGGAGAAGATTCGAGCCTTCGTCCATCAAAAATTCCAACAGATTACCTTGCCTCGCTTTATCAACGCCGTTCACGTTCAGGCGTTTGAGTTCGGCTCAAAATGCCCAGAAATTGAGATCAAAGACATATGTGACCCCCTTCCGGACTTTTACGAAGACGAGGACGAAAGTGACGGAGGTGATGCCCACGAACCGAATGCTGATTTACGTCTAGGCGAGGATATCCATGCAACGGATCATCACCACGCAGGCGCTACTCTCGCACATCAGTCACAGCCTAAGCCTCGTCTTGCAGACATATCTACTGCTACAAACCAGTTTGATCTCCAGCATCAACTCACGTCCAGAGATCTCCTCCTGGCAAACATCGACCACCTAGGCGGTCCTTTTCCTCGGAGCACCACCCCTGGCATACCTGGAGGCACCTCTAATCTCAGCTACTTTCATTTTCCCGGCGCTGCTCTGTCTGGAACTCAGACGCCCCTAGCAGCAGTGGCGAGTGGCACTCCTTTCAGTCCCCGGCCATGGTCTCACGACCTACCCCGGGCGTCTTCAATACCCCAAGACAGTGCCCTGCATGTTTCAGGCCACGGTCTGCGCAGCCAAAAAGACGTGCAAGTTCATGGGGATCCCTCCACACGACCCTCCACTGCGAACAGTATTTCATCGCCTCGTGAATCCGAATCCGGACTCTCCTCTCCACTGCAACACGCAAACTATCCCGAAGGAGAACATGATGAGTCGGCATTAGATGCAGTAGCACCCTTGTCTCCAATGCGAATACAAAGCAGAAACCCGTCCGATCTGCAGGTAGTGGCAAGGGTGAAATACTCTGGAGACATCCGTATGACTTTAACCGCCGAGATATTATTGGACTATCCAATGCCTAGTTTCGTTGGCATCCCTCTGAAACTGGTCATTACTGGCATGACCTTTGACGGCGTTGCAATAGTTGCAATGATCAAGAGGAAGATGCACTTTTGTTTCCTGGACGCCGATGATGCGGCAGCTCTTGTTGGGGAAACAGTGGCACCTGATCGGCACAAGACCACCCATGGTAGGGAAGACTCAAAGTCGCATCCATCTGGCCCTTTGCGAGAAATCCTTGTGGAGAGCGAGATCGGTCGTCAAGAAGATGGCAAGCAAGTGCTCAAGAATGTGGGCAAGGTCGAAAAGTTCGTTCTTGAGCAGGTGAGAAAGATTTTTGAAGAGGAATTCGTCTTTCCGAGTTACTGGACGTTCCTCGTGTGAAGGTCGGGTGTACATACACCTGAATAGCAGGGATAAACACCCTGATCACCGGGTAGTCCTAAAGCATTCCAAGACGACATTCACAAAACCTTGCTACAAACGCGCGGTGTCGGATGGACGCACTCTCTACAAAGAAGCAAGCTCAATCTCCGTGAGCCTCCAATGTCACCGGATGAACACGTCACAAATTACGTGATGAAGTTCCAGTGTCGACAATCTCTCGAGTTCATAAGGGATATCCAACTTTCGACCAAGAATCAGGCGACTAAACTTGGTCAGTTGCCACGGTCTCATTCGCTTGCTGATTCAGGTACGTGGCGAATAGGAAGCTTCTTGACCCCTGGTAAGCGGGAGGCGCCAAAACTGGGGTCTGTGCCACTTTCCTTTCCTTCTGTCGTGCAACTAGGATGAAAGGGTCCCAGAAGACCTTGTCCCGAAACACCATTAGCGATATCGTGGACTTTATTGGTGAAATGGCATCAGAAGACGCGACGGCATGATGGAGTTCTTTATTGCCAGCTCATCAAAGATGAAACGAGGACGAGGCAGATGAGAAGCAACAGATGGAGATGACGTCGACCCGCTTAGGCGGGGATTTTACCTAAAATACCTGGAACGGTCGCATTCCCAGCTGCAACTTCATGAGCTTTGCATCTCCAACTCAGTTCAGACCGCCGTGGCAGCAATTTGGTCATTGTGTATAGCATACAAACAAACATGAAGCGATTTTCTTCGATGTTTCGACGAGCGAGAGGAAGAAAGCCCTCTCCTCCGAACTCAATGGATCCGAAACCCGCAGCTCCCGCTCCCGCTCCCGCAGAGACTCCGGCGCCAGCTCCAGCTCCAGGTCCGCCACCAGCACAACAGTTGAATACCCAGGCAACCGGTGCTACTCTCAATATTGCCTTGCAGAATCAAACTACATCGTCCACGGTATACGCGTACGTGACTGGGACTGCAATCGACAACAACAATGCTCTTTTCCTGCTGTCGTCTGATGGGAACACACCGTACTATCCGACATCTCCTGGAGGGACCGGCTCAGCCCTTGCACAGGACTGCGCCATCGGGCTGGGTGCTCCAGGCAACACGGTAAACGTGACGATCCCACACATCGCCGGCGGTCGTATCTGGTTCTCCGTCGGGTCACCATTGACGTTTCTCCTGAACCCAGGCCCGGCGCTGGTCGAACCGTCGGTCACCAACCCCTCGGACCCCAACATCAACATCAACTGGGGCTTCGCCGAGTTCACGTTCAACAGTGACCAACTCTACGCGAACATCAGCTACGTCGACTTTGTGGGTCTCCCGATCGCCCTGACCCTGACCACGGCCAACAGTGGAACCCAACACGTGTCAGGCATGCCGGCCAACGGCCTGGACCAAGTCTGCAGTGGCCTGCTGGCGCAACACGCGACCGACGGCCAGGGCTGGGACCAGCTGGTCGTCACGACGCAAGACGGGCAGAACCTGCGCGCCCTCTCGCCCAACCAGGGCATGGTGATGAAGTCGGACCTCTTCACCGGGTACTACGACGACTACGTGAACCGCGCCTGGGCCAAGTTCTCCGGCCAGCCGATGTCCGTCGACACGCAGGCCTCGTACGGCACCGTGTCCGCACAGGTGTCGGACGGCGAGTTGTCGCTTGGCGGCTCCGAATTCTCCCAGCCGTCGACCCGCGACGTCTTCACGTGCTCGACGGGACCCTTCGCCACGGGCGCCGACGCCGAGGCGAACGCCATCATCCCCCGGCTCGCCGCGGCCTTCAACCGGTCGACACTCCTGGTCAGCGACGTCTTCCCGGCGGACCAGAGCTTGTACTACCAGGACCCCGTGACCAATCACTATAGTCGCATCGTGCACGGCGCCAACCTCGACGGTAAAGGGTACGCCTTTCCGTATGACGACGTCCAGCCCACCAATGGGAAAGACCAGAGTGGCGAGGTACACGCGGGGGATCCGACGTTGTTCACCGTCACGGTGGGTGGGCAGAATGCTAGCGTCGATGTCCCCAAGCATAAGGATGAGCTTTAGTTTCAAGACAACAATCATACACTCATGATGATGACGACGACGACGATGATGCATCGAGATTTGGCTGGAATATGGGAATGAGAATTCCGTAGATGGGTATGTTTGTTTGGTTTTTGGTTAGATTAGGTAGTAATGAACTTTGTGATCAAAAGCCATTTGTTTTGGTAACAAGTAATTCATTTATTTTTTATATGCGTTTAGTTGATTGTTTCTTGTTTTTTTCTTCTCTCGCTAAAAGAATAAAATAAAAACCTTTGACTTAGTTGTTGTTGTATGAGTTTTTTCTTTTCTTCAAAAGAAAACGAAAAAAAAAGTCTTTAATCTTTGGTCTTTGGTCTTTGCTCTCGAGTTTCTGATCTACCTCACAAAAAGAGGGCTTCCCATGTTGATAATCCGGTAAGAAGAAAAAAAAATTTGATTGAATCCTTTTGGTTCTTCTTTTTAGTTCTTTCCACCGTGGACAAAGACACGTTCCTCGATGGGACCGAATGACTTTTCCATCGGAGAACCTGCGGGTTTACCAAACACCAACTGAGCCTTGAGGCTCCAAGTTGCAGGTACGTTCCAGGTCGCCGAGATTTTCTCGTCGATCAAGGGGTTGTAATGTTGTAGGTTTGCACCAAGACCTTCTTGTTCAAGAGCAGTCCAGACTGAGGGAAAGTTTTGTGTCAGTACGTGAATAAAAGAGAGAGAAGAAGAAGAAGAAGAAGAAGGGAAAGAAAAAAAGAAGTCTCGTCACTTACTGGCAAATTGATGCATGGCGTTGGTATGTTCACTCCACTGTGGGAACTTTTCGGCGTAGAGCGGCAACTTTTCCTGTAGACCGGCGACGACCTTTGGTTCCTCGTAGAACAAGACGGTACCGTAACCGGCCTGGAAACCCGACAGTCTCTGTTCGGAGGCCGGCCACGCCTCGGCCGGGGCGACGGCCTTGACGGCAGGCTTGACGATGTCACCCCACAACTTCTTGTGTTCCTCCCCCAAGAGGACGACACACCGGGTCGATTGGGAGTTGAAACTCGACGGGACGTGTAGGACCGCCTGTTGAACGATCTCCTTGATGCGAGAGTCCGGGATGGTCGACTCACCGGTGAGTTGGTAAATGGTACGGCGGGACTTGATGGAATCCAAAAAGGAGGAAGACATTTTGTCGGTGGTATTTGAAAAGTGACGGGTTGACCGGACAGAGGAGGATGTCGATGGTGGTGGTGTAGGAAGTATTCGAGAGTGGTGTGAGGATGGACGAAGAGAGGAAAGAGAAGTTGTCAAGCAGGTATGGGTACGAGGTGGTGGTCCTTGTATTTGTACTCGTAGTCGAACGGCCAGAGAACGGAATGAAGTGGGGGAGACCATGGTCGGAAGAAGAAGTAATAGGGTAAAGGTGGTTTTTTTGGATGTACGAGTTAGTATTGCAATATTTTCCAGAAGAATCTATTTGTACAAAGTGGTACGGAGTATTGACGACCAAACAAGAGAAAGGGAAAAAAAAAAGAGGGACCACAATTGTGACAAGGTCGAAAAGTGATATCAGTTTGTTGGTCGAATGTTCGGCAATTGGGGACAAACAAAAGACTTGATCACGAATGAGGACAGACAATCTTTAATGGGGGAAAAAACTAGGTACGTAGACCGAATAGACCGGTATGCTTGAGAGGGGGGAAAGCTTTCAAATCATTACGAGCACCGATACCTGAGGTATTACCCGTTACCTTACGCAGGGACCTACTGCAAAAAGGGTTCTGTTGTGTACAGTAAGTCTTACGGTCTAATGGACCAATATCATTTTTCCGGAGGGGATTACGAGTTCCATGCCTACGAGTAAGTACTCCGTAATAATGTTGATATCAAATGTTTGTAAGAAAGCAACGGCAATGATTCCGCAAGGCTTGATAATAATCACGTAAGCGGAAGAGAGACGAAACCAACAACAACCGCCCCGTCTCACCGTCTCACCGTCTCACGTGATTACATTCCGGAATCTTAGACAAAAATTCCAACAAATTCCGTACTCCGAACTCCGAGAATCTCCTCCCATGCTTTGTCGTGGGAACGTTGCGACGCCCAGACGAGACATACGGAGAGAAGAGAGAGAACTAGTTTCTGTCCGTTTCGTTCCAAGAGAAAGAAAGAAACAGGTACAGTAACAAGTGTTTATATCCTAAACGTACTCTACCGGAGTACGGCAGGACCTTGTACTGAAGAGCCTACCTGGGTACGGCGCGCACCTAGGTAACCCCTCGACGAGAAAGAAAAAGGTATCCACGAGACCAAAACCACATACAAGGTGCTCCGTACCTCATCAGGGAAAACGGTAGGTATTCCACACTCGTACGTACTCCAGCTACCAAGGACAGATCAATTATCCAAATCTCGACCACCTTTTAAAGATTCAACATCCGAACTGACAACCCCCCCTACATGAAGTATATCTCCAAAATACCTAGATATAGGGTGACCATCCATCCCGTGCCGTCAAAGTCGACCTTTTAATCATCATAATCAAAAGTGACTTTGAACATGTTGAAGTAACTGTTGGGACCCATGGAGAAATACCACGACTTGTCACTTCCGTCGCCGTCGGGGGAGTACTCGGTGTGGATCATCTGTCCATAACTCCCCCCCGCTATACCACCGTTCATCAACAGGTACTGTTCACTCCACGGGCCCCAGGGGGTGTCGGAGGTGTAAATGTAGACGGCCACCAGCCACTGACCGCACAGGATCATGTACTTGTTGAGGTAATTGTTGAACACGACCGAACCGTACACGCCGCACGCGAAATGTCCTTGACGGCTGGCCGTCGTCATGCCCACCGCTTGGGTGTCTTTGGAGGGGATCCCGGGGACCCATGTGTCGTTGGTGCCGAATTGAAGAAACTCGTAATTGTCGGCGTCGAACACGTCGTCCGAAGCGGCCACCCGACCGACGATGGTGTTGGAGGGACCACCTTCCGAATATATATAAACATAGTCACCGTCACGGAGGATGGCCAAAAGTCCCAGCTGGATGGCGTCGGGCCCCGTGAGTAAGGGTCCGACCCGAGTCGCAATGGGTCGGTCGTCACCGAGGGTCACAGAAGCCACGGCGTTGCCCCGATTTTCGAAGCTGCCGTCGGGGCCGTTGCGCCAGATTTCAAACGCATACGCAACCCCATGGGTCTCGTTGATGGCGACGACGTTGGAGGTGTCCATGCCCCAGATCTTGAAGGGTGGTTGGATCCCTTCGTCCCCCGACCACGGTCGGACGAATTCATTGTCAGAGACCGAGTTGATGCCCGTGGTGTTGACCGTCATCACGTCGTCCGTGCCGTAGAAGGCCGGACCCATGGAGAACCCACAAGGTTGCGCACCACCTTTGCAGAACATGTCACCGCAGTTCCAGATGACCTTGTCACCAATCTTGCCGGTTCGACACTTGTCGCCGATGAGATGGTTTTCTCCTAGCTTGCCGGTAAATTGAAGCTGACCGACGAGTTCGACGTTCCACTTTGTCCCTTGGTCCACCTTGAACTGTGCATAGGGAGGCAGGGATCCTGACGGCAAAGGACCTCTTATCGACGTAGTCGATGATGCGCTCTGGGATGCACCGTAGGACTGCTGAGTGTTACTGGATGAAGTCGATGAGCTGGATGATGAACTGGATGGCATCAGAATGCCCACTGATGGTGTCGACATCGACACTATGGAAGCAGGGGAAGCGGTTGATGTGAATGAGAGAGTAAGACTGGAGGTGGACGTCGACATCGATGAGGTAAGACTGGATGATGTAGAGACTGCGTCTACACCGGTTGAGGACGACGATGTCGACGGTTCGGAACTAGTTGTGGAGGGTAGCGTGAAGGGATTTTGGTTGTTGGAAGTAGTTGATGCCACGGCAGCTGATGTAGAAGAACTGGCATTGTCCGTCGTCGACGATGCACTAGTCGAAACATCGGTCGAAGTGGATGTCGCATCAACAGCCGCAGCACTGGTGGTGGTGGTGGTGGTGGAATGGAATTGTTGTTCGCTCGGAACGGTCGTCCAAGTGAAATCGTCCAACAAGCATCGTATATCTTGCTCACAGACCTGATAGCAAAGATCCGGCACCCCGTTTCCGTCGAAATCGTAATAGCGCTTAATGAGTGGCGTTCCCCAGGCACCTGTGCTCAGACACACCGCCACGAGTAAAACTGTAGAAATATACATACTGCCAGAGTTTTGTCAAGAAGGAATGGACGGGTGAGGGACTGGCCTCTACCCAAAGGGAAAAGAATGAGCGAAGGTTGAAAACAAAAGAGCGATAGGGTTGACAGCAAAGCAATTCGTCGGCCATCTCGGTCGATAAACTCATCGTCATGGTTATATATGTATATGGACAACAGCTCGCCCAGCTAATTCTTCACATGCCCATTGACAAGGGGTGATACGTGGCGCTCTGATAGGGCCCAGCGAGATATACAATCGGACTAAACACACGCGCAAAATGTCAGTTCTGGGGGAACGATGCCTGTTCCAGTGGAAACTCCCAATAAGGGGTTCCGAAACTGACGCATGCCACCAAATCAACCGTTAGAAAAGGCCCTCGATGGTACGGGCTACCATGCTTGTGAGGTAAGTGATCGGCCAAGATTAATCCAGGCGCGGTGCATGTCCCATTTCAGCAAGCCACATGTTTCCAATGGACGGCCACACAGGTAAGCCGTGCCATGACCAGGGCATATCAAGATTGCAGGATTGGGGACTTTTTCCTAGGGACAACGAAAAACAAAGGACAAGTAGGGGAATCCCAGTTTTGCGGGAACCATTCCCTCTAAGGGGCCTGGCTGACTGCTGCCAGAGATGGGTTGAAGGTCACTGGCTCTCCGGTCTCCGGTTTGAAGGCTCCGGGTGTCCCTTATCGTAATAGAGAAAGTGCAGATCGGAGCCAGACCTAGGCCCTAGACTGTGATGGAGAATTAATGATGAAAGAGAGGGTCCTTCAGATTGCCGAGGAAGAGATAATTGTACTGTACAGTAGTGTTTAGTACTCTCCCTCTCCCTGTGTCCTCCCGGTCCGGGGCAACTTGGTCCATACCTAGACCTATCTTAGATTAGGTGGGCGTAAAGCACCAAAAGGGCGGGAAAAATAAACATTATAAGCCGTGTCCAGGCGAGTTCGGCTTTGTTTCAGCAGGGGTACGTTCGAAACACGATATGCCGCCCTGGGAGATTTTGAGATAAAGATGGTCCTTTGATCTTGATCGAATCTCTTCGTACTCTGTATGAGTACTGAGCATCTTCTTATCTGATCTTCGCGAGGGGCCAAGGATGATGCAAAGAAGAAAATGAGATAACCTCCGTTGACGTTGATACCACGTGTTGTCATTTGCCTCATGAACTCGAACTCTGGAGCTGTCACCGGCTGTCACTCATTTTCTTCACGCGTATCGCGTCTTTTTCACGGAGCACAGGTCACCCTTTCTGTCATTCTGTTCGAGTCCTGGCAGCTTTTGAAATGCAGGAACCCGGTCCCTCTCTCGTCTGGTTCGAAATGGGTGGGGGAACACAAGAGTTCAAAGCTTCTTGTGTCGTCCAACTTTTACTGTATGACCACATCGTCGACCTTTCTAAATGCAGGGTTATATCACATCATCCTATCTCAAAATTGTCCTTTCCGGGGGGAGAAGATCCGAGAGGTTGACTTTCTCTTTCTCTACTTCCTCGATGAAATGTTGCTGCTGACATCGCTGCCCACTTCAAGTTTTATGCACCTAACAAACACACTCCCCAAGGCCAATTCCATCATGTATCCTTTTCGATAGGTAAGTCAATAAATGATAACTAAACAGCAAACCAAAAAAAAGATACATGCATGGCATGCATTTTGCTATTGCACTGCCGAAGTGTCTCCGAAGATGCACTTCGTTATGATTTGAGCCACGTAGTTCGATATCAGGCTACTGTTGTGTCGATTGCAATCTCATCCGTCCTTCTTCGTCGTCCCAACGATGAGGCTCATCAATACCCATACGTGGGCATTGGAAGAATTCTACGCTCGCGTCCCACGATATGCCATACTCTCGCACACGTGGGGCGAAGGTGAGGTTTCCTTCCGAGACATGCGTTCGCCGGAGAGACAACGCATGAAGGGATTCGCCAAAATCCTCCAGACCTGCAAACTGGCGAGAGCCGACAAGATCGACTACGCCTGGGTCGACACCTGTTGCATCGACAAATCTTCGAGTGCGGAGCTGACCGAGGCCATCAATTCCATGTTCCAATGGTACATGCACGCCGCCAAGTGTTACGTCTTCATGGAGGACCTCCAGAGACTGGACGAAAACGCCATCCTGCCCCAGTGCCGGTGGTTCACCCGGGGTTGGACCTTGCAGGAGCTGCTCGCCCCGAAGGTGCTCGAGATTTTCAACATGCACTGGGAATTCGTGGGCACCAAGGCCGACTACGCTCGTGCCATATCCGTGGCCACCGAGATCCCCGAGGCCGTCATCGTCGGTGAAGCGGCCTTGGGCAACTGTTCCGTCGCGGCGAAGATGTCCTGGGCCGCCCGTCGTGAGACCACCCGCGTCGAAGACATGGCCTACTGCCTCTTGGGCATCTTCGACGTGAACATGCCCATGCTGTACGGCGAGGGCTGGAAAGCTTTTCGGCGACTGCAAGAGGAAGTCATCAAACGTTCCAACGACCTGACCATTTTCGCCTGGAGTTCGTCGGCGGGACAGGAACAGAGTTCCCTCCCGCTGCTCGCGGAGTCCCCCGCCGCCTTCGCCGGCAGTTCCTCCATCTGCCCCTTCTCCGACGACTTTGAGGACTTTTCCGTGACCAACAAGGGACTCTTGATCTCGGGCGACGCCCCCTTGAGGGTCGTGGCGCCCGTGGCGGGGGGCCCCGAGCGGTCGACGGAGCGTTACGTCCTGCACCTGGGTTCCGACGAGGCCACGGGCGCCGACGGGGGGGTCTACCTGAGGAAGATCGGCCCCAAGATCTACTGTCGCGACGGCGGTTCCCCCCTGGCGGGTTTCGGCCGGAACAAGTACGTCGTACGCCACCTCCTCGACGCGACCGACTACTACATCCTGATCGACCCTCTCACGGCCACCACCATTTCACGCCTCACCTTCCGGTCGCGGGCCATCCACGTCCCCACGACGGGCATGTTCCGACTGACCGTCCAGGCCCCGGAGCTCCTGTGGGACCGCACCGACCGTGTCTTTCTGCGGCCGAAGGCGTACAAGGGCACCCACACGCGGTCGGTCTTGTTTTTGGGCTTCAAGGGGAACTTGTCGGTGGGGAGGGCCGTCCGGTTCTACGTGTTTTGCGACTACCGTGGCGCCTCGCCGTCGTGCAAGATGTTGCTGTGGGACGAGGATGATTCTCACCCTTCAAACTCTTCTTCTCCCTCTTCGCACGTGCCGTTTGCGGACAAGTACCGAATGGAAACAGCACATTGGACCGACATCGCCACACAAATTCCCGAACTGGAAAGGGCGGGGAGTAGCATCGACGTCAAGGTTGGGAGTCAAGTGTATAGGATCGCCTCTTCCTTCAGGAAAGGTGTCGTCGAGAGTCTGTCCAAAGAAGTGGAATTGTTTATTCTCGAGTTCAACGTGGAAAGAAGACCGTACAATTCAAAGATTGATGTACGTGTAAAGTCATTATGAGATGGATAGTATATACATACCCAAGGTTAAAAAAGTAATGAACCAGACTATAAGTAGTTTCAAAGATGAAGTACTTGGTAATTGATTTATTCGTTAATGTCTCGAGTTGAAGATCAAGGAGTAAGCACCCGAGGTGGGCTTAAGAAAAATATACCTAGATATTCTACGGAGCATGGGGAAATACTAAAAAAAATAATCTCCAACTCAAAACATTTGCATAGTAAATATTAACATCCTCAGCCTTGTCTTTACTACAACAGCTTCCTACGGGATAATCAAATGGCTCATCGAGTCAATAATGACAGTGATTCTTCTCACTCACCAGCCGCATCCATCCTATTGAAACTCATTGAAGATTATCACTCTTTCAATCCGAGTAGAGAAGTTCCCGTTTTACCTTACCCTACACCTTTGGAATTCAGTAAACAAGTCGGGAGAGGTAGACCATGTGTTTATCGTCTTGATCCGAATGATCAGCCTCCACCGACCGGGAATGATGAGATCGATGAGGATGAGGAGGATGAAAAGGTACGAAATCGGCTAACAAAGGATGAGATGAAGAATATTCTGTCTTGTTCTGCATTCTCTTGGACTCGACAAAGTATGTGTGAAAAAGTCAAAGAGGATGTAGAAGTTGCCGTGACTCCGGATGGTAGAGCGGATTCTTTGTATCGTTTACCTCGACCTCAATCTCGACGGGGATTTTACAACGAAGAAAAGGATGAGGATGAGGATGAGGATGAAGAAGCAGAAGAAGTATTTGTTCAACCCGCAACGATCAAAATGTCATTATCAACGTTATTTGATAAACTACTCATCCCACAAGATGACGACGAGGAAGAGGATGATGACGAATACGAGGAAGAGTCGACAACAACAACAACTACCTCCATTGGTACGAATTCTACCAATGTCAATCGACGACGACACGAAAAGCGACAAAAAGATACAAAGCAATATTACCTTCAATCTCAAAACAGTAACCTGACGACGACGTCGTCCTCCTTGTCACCTTTGTTGGAAGATTTACCTCGACGGCATCTACCCTTTGCCGGGCCGGTTCTGGGCCAACCTGAAGCCGTCAACATTTGGATAGGTGGGAGTGGGAGTGTGACGAGTACTCACCGTGACCCGTACGAGAATTTATATCTAGTTCTCAAGGGATGTAAAACTTTCACACTCTATCCACCGGTCGAGGAATTGTGTTTACACGCCAAAAGAGTCAGGACCGGTCGTCACGTTCTTGTAGACAGTGGTGACAACAAACGGGAAAAAGAATTTGAGATTGTACTGGACGATGATATTCAACAACAAGAACAAGAAAAGAGTGCTCCAGAAACTGAAACCGACACCGATACCGACACCGAATATGACAACAAAATACCTTGGATACCAATCGACCCAGATACAATCAATTTTTCATCTTCTGACACATCAGCAAAAACAAAATATCATTATTACAAATATTCAAACCCTATCAAGGTCAAAGTATGGGAAAATGAAATCCTCTACTTACCTTCTGGTTGGTTTCATCATGTTCGTCAAGAGTGTGGCGTTTGGGACGACGACGGACAAATCGCCCCTTGTATCGCGGTCAATTACTGGTACGATATGGACTATGAAGGGGAAAAGTATGCCACACGAGAAATGATGACAAGATTGGTCGAAACGGTGAGAAGAGAAGAACAACGTTGACAGTGACAAGTCAAGAACAGACAAACAGAATCTGTAAAAGTGATGGAAGAAATCATTCTCTATTCTTCACTTCTCGTGAATCTTCTTTCTTTCATGCCGTATGAAATTCTAGTGTCTGCGTCCATGTCTGTCTCAATGAAAGGATCGTCATTTCTCTGCTCAACCCACAGACCTGGGGGAGCATATTCGTCTTCTTAGTTGGTTCGTGTCAAGATCATTCCGAAAATTCCTTCGTCTCTCTCGTAATCACCACGTTCAGAGTCGTGCTTTATGGTCGGGTAGTCACGCAGCCTCCATCTTCTTGAGGATCTCCGGGAACTCCTTCCAATCATACATGATGTGAGCGGCCTTGCATTGCTCAGTCAGAATCTTGGCCATCTGGTCCATCTTCTCTTTGCCCTCCTCGATACCATAGACTCCGACGTAGCCAATCAATGGGATACCGGCACGCATGGCAGCAGTGGCACCACTCTTGCTGTCCTCGACCGTGATGCATTCTTCCGGCTTGACACCGAGTTGCTCACAAGCGTAGAGGTAGATCTTGGGGTCGGGCTTGCTGGACGGTGGGTTGAGGGAGGTGGCGGCACTGTAGACATGGGCATTGGGGAAGTAGTGGTCAATGCCGACCTTCTCGAGGGAAGCGACGACACGGGGTTTGGCCGAGGTCGACACGACAGACATGGGGTATCCAGCCTTGTGTAGACGTTCCAACTCTTCTGGGGCACCGGGGCAAGGAGTGGCTTTGGCGCTGAGCTTCTTGATGACCTCTCCCAATTCACGGTTGACGTACTCCTCGAGCTGGTCGGGTGGCATCTGGAAGTTGTGCTTCTTCTGGAGTCCGACCATCATGCCACGGAAGTTCTGACCGACAAAGTCTTCGAGGAGAGAGTCGACGGTGTAGCGTTCGGGGACGTCATACTTGGCGAGGAGCTCATTGGTGAGATCGGCACAAGCTTCGAAGGCGAGACGTTCAGACAAGACGAGAGTGTTGTCGCAGTCGAGGAGGATGTATTTGACCTAGAGCAAAGTAAGGAGTTAATTCAAAATGACACACGCAAGTGAGGTTTGATTCAATTTTTGTGAGGAGGCGGTCAAGGGGTGCGCAAGAGTATCTGGGGGAGGGTGGAGGTAAATACCTTTGGCATTTTGGCGGTTGATGGTTTGTGATTGTTGTTGGAGAAGGAAGAAAGGTGGTCTGAGAGAAATTGTTCTATTGAGAAGAGGTACGAGTAGTGGGAGCAAAGAAGAAAAAAAAAGAAGAAATTGTGATTGTTTTCTTTTTGAAGGAGTGGGATGTATGAATGGTCAAGTGTGAGCTGGACAAATGGGTGTTTTAAAATGGAAGCAGCGACGCCCAACGACTTTTTTGTGGCGGAGGGCGGTTTAAGCGATCAACAGTGAATGCGGATTGGAAAACATGGGGAAGACAAATACTCCGTAGTACTCCGTACATAGAACCAATTCTAGGGAGTACAAGTATGAGTACATACGGTGAAAGGGAGAAACTACTCCATACTTGTCCATGTACTGTAGATGCTCTAATACGTCATGCCACCAAGTTACTGAACAGAAGTACTCCGTACGAGTACCTTATTGAGGTGACCTCCTCTATGCTTTATATCACCACATATACACCATCATACAGAACACTCTGTGTATCACTAGATTGATACAGATGAATAGAAATGAACTTCACATTCATATTCATGTTTATCAAGTATGTACATTTCATGATCAACATAACCAGACACCCCTTGTCCTCCTCTAACCCCGAAACGCCACAAAATCCACCAAAATTCTTTAGCACCCGCGAAAACGATCATCAGCCACCGACGCCCAACAAGCAAAATGACGTCGACGTTTGCCCTTGCAATCTTCACAAGCCTTCATGATTGACATTTCCATTCCATGTTTTTTGTAGCCAACCATGCAATGATCTCGACATTCATACCTCGTTCAAAAGTGAGAACGTAGTCGAGTCCCTGCATACAGAGTACCCTGTACATCTTACCGCTACGAGTAATGAGCAATCAGTGGCTTACCCTGTATTGCCCTTGCAGATTAAAAAGCCACCGCCATCACCTGCAAGGTATGGGCACCAGTATGTACAGTAGAACGTCGTCAATCATACAAATATCCTTGGTTACCATCCTTCAGACACAAATTTGTCTCATGTTTTGCTCGCTCACCCCACTGAATAACAAAGTACTCCCTACAAAACTGCCCATTTTGTCTGTTTTCTTTTTTGGTGTTGTCGGGCAGAATGAGAATCCCACTCTTCAAACGTTTGGTCATCACCACCTTCAACATCTTCTTCCCACCTCTGGCCGTCCTTCTCATCACCGGTCCGAATGAAGACTTTGTCTTCAACTGCGTCATGTTTTTACTAGCCGTGATCCCTTCCCACGTCCACGGCTTCTACATCTCGTTGACCTACTTCAATCGGAAACGAAAGATCCGCAACGGTGTCTACCCGGGCAAACCGAAATCCCTGATCTGGAGCGAACGTGTGAACAACGGTGGTGCGGGCTGGAAGGAGGTGGAGAGACTGAGGCGGCAGCAGAAGGAAGGCGGTCGCTTGAGCAGGAGGATCAGTCGTCACAAGGTCACCACCAATGACGGCTACAAAGAGTACGCCGTGAGCCCTCAGTTGAGCAGGACAGACACGGGGAGAAGTAGCAGGAGGAGGGCCAATGGTAGGGGACAACGATGAGAAAGGAAAAGACGAATGTTGTGGTTTCCTTCTTCACAAGATGGCGTTGTGGCTACCTACGACCATACTCTGGTTCCTTTCGCGTGCGATAAGCCATGGGTTTTGCTGGTGGGGATGGGACAATTGTCCCCTGTTTTGCCCAAACCCTTCCTATCCTGCTTTACGAGATCAATGATGAGAATTGGAATATCCGCTGCCTTCTGGGAGCGCACCGCATTACAATGTCTCGGTGTGTCCCAACAGCCACTGCAAATGACGATATGACGACCTGGGTTGGAATTGAGGCTGCATATGACCACACAAAAATGTCCTGTGTATAAACAGATATTGTCAGCATTGCATTCCACACATAACGGTCTCATTCTTCAATAAGTATGGACGACTTACTCTGCCCACATCAACCCTCGCTCGAAATGTTGCACGCCCATCGTACCCTGCGGATCATCCACATCGTCAAACCCGCTAGACGCAAAGATGGCCTCGTACTGGAGGTCGGGCTCCGTTATGGTGATGGGCTTGACCGGCTTGTTCTGAAACCCCAACAGGCCGCCCCAGGTCATGTTCTGGATCGCGAGGAGCGTTCCCGTCGTGGGAGTCTCGAAGTCGAGGTCGCTGTTGGCCACGAGAACCCTCCGAGTCGCCTCGATCACCCGCGGGAGGACGCGTTGGATGGGATCGGCAGACATGTCACCCAGGTTCTGTGGTCCACCTTGGCCTTCGACGAAAGGGTTGCCATTGCACAGTGACCATTCACGATCGACGGGGGCGTGCATGGCCTTTTTGACGTCCTCGCGGTCAAAATATACGGGCGTGTTGGGATAACTGTAGATCAGATCACTGGGAAACCCCAGAGGGTCGCCTTGCAGAGGACATTGGAGGGTTATCAGGTACGGATTGAAACATGGATTTGCACCGTACGCGGCAAAGTACGCGGCGTGCCATATGTCGCAGTCCGCGTCGACGGTGGAATTGAAGTACTTGGGGGGCTGGACTTGGGACGGCGGGAACTTGTCGACGTGGGTATCGCGATAATCCACATAACCACACGTCTGGTCGATCGAGGCCAGCTTGGCCATGAAAGAACTGTTGTAGCCCAAGACATTGTTGTACTTTTCGATGAGAGGGTATATGACAGCTTGCGTCTGGACCCATCCGAATTCTCCGATCGTAGGGTTGTAGGTCAATGCGCCTGAGGCAGTTAGGGTTGGGAATCTGGACAGTCAGAAAAAACAAAAAACCTAACATACCGGAAAGATTGAAGTGGTTGGAATCATTCCTGTCGAGCATACCAGACGCGATGTAGGGAACGTATCGTCCTGCATAGCTCTCGCCCGTGACATAGATTTTGAACTTGGAGATAGCAAAAATCTTTTGGAAATTGAAAAAAAAGTCGTTGAACTCCTCTGCGATTCCTTCCTCGGTCCTCGCACGGGACTCACCAATGGAGAAGCCAACGCCGACGGGATATTCGACCCTAGACCAAAACCAAAAACCAAAAAGTATTCAGTTGTCGCATTGGAATGGGGCGAAAGGACAGCTAAAAGAGCCGCAAAACATGCCAGAGCACATTTGTGAGGTTAACCCAGGAATACTTATTGATAGTTGGACTGAATTGACCCCAGGCCCATTGGAACTTGCCGTTCTCCTGTAAAAATCCCTCGAGTGAGCTACAACCTGCATGTATTGGATCAGTGACCGCACAGGATGCTGCTGGTGCTGCTGTCTATCATGACTTGCTCACCAGGACCACCGTTCAGCCAAATGGTAATTTCGTCGACGGGCTCTCCCACACGAGGCTGAAAGACAAAGAACAAACCCCTAGAGGCGTTGTTCATGTCGATCGGTACAACACCAGAGTATAACTCCCCGAGGTCAAAGTCCATCTCCGGCAAAGACTCGACCAAGTATTCTGTCGGCGACTCGTGAGTGGTTGATCGGCATTGGCGACATGGAGCGACGACCACTCACTCTTCGTATTGTTTTTGTAGAACCGGAAGGGAGCAGCACGTTCCTCGAGACCCTGCGAGGGACCTGAAGGAAGCATGACTCGCGTCACTTGATCTCGTCGCACAGCTTCTGATAGTAAGCCGCCGGGTCTCATGCTGCTCACCCTCAAAGTAGACAATGCGACGACCAACAATACCGTAGTCCAGATATATGAAAGCATGTCGTGCATCTTTCTTCGATTCCTGTCTGCAAGAGATCCAGAAGATACCGATATCTGGAATGCCAACTTTGCAGTGTGAACCCTTGAATATATAGAGGCTCGGGAAGAGACTCCTCGCGATCCGGCCCTTTCCACCACAGGATATTGACTCGACGTCCTTTACCAGGCATGAGAGCCGTGGCTATGGAAGAAAAGAGTAATGTATGACATGACCTGATGGCAAGTAGTCGGCCTAGTGACGGATTAGGAAACCGTTCTGCATCTAGAGTGAGATGATTGGTCAGATCGGAGAGCTTGGAATGGGTTGGACTTCAGGCACGGCTTGGAAGTCTGGAATTGAAGATGAGGAGGACGACAGGACTTACTTGGAACGGATTCTCAGCGAGCCACCATCTACGCTAACAAGATCTTAGCTTTTCTGCTCTCAGCAAGCCCGGTCTAAGCCACAATACGATAATTCAATGGCCAAGCGAGGTCAGCTGTTGAGGAGTAGGAAACCAACTGGTACTTTTCATAGAAACAATAGCATGGCTGCAGGAAGATGATCTTGGAGGGACAAGATGGCGTCAGGGGCTGAGGCAAGGTAATCGTTTGGTACGAGGGTGATTGAAACACAAGTGATGGACGAGAGGGAGATTGATAAAACTCGGGGAGACTGCCAGGCCAGAACAATGGATCGAACAACACACTAACAAAAGTCCACAAGGACAAAATATTCAGATGTCCATATAAGCCAGGGACAACAATATTGTAATTGTAAGAAGTATCTGCATCCCTATGGCCTTCAGGATCTTCGTAAATGCTCCTCAGAAGTGTCATGGTCCTCAAGGGGATATCTTCCGTGTCGGTCATTGATCGTACAAGACATTAAAGAATACATCGAGGTAATATTCTAGTGTGGAGCAGGTGTCTTTCCAGCCCCGAGACACACGGGTCAGCTTGTGTCTGGTATTTCCTCATGCTTCGGCTTGGGTGGCCTGGGTCGGAGTACTTTCTTCGTTCTTTCCCGGTAAAGGATATGGGCTGAAGTCTCGACTGCTGGTGCTAAAGTTGGACTGGATGGGAGGATGTTTTGCACCTGCGGAACCACCATTCGTCGATTTGTCGGCCGCTTTTTCGGTCGGAAAGTTATGGTTATTCGGTACTGGTGTGTTCATGGCGCTCGGGTCTGTTGAGACAGGGCTCGTCACATCTTCGGTGTCGTCCAATGTCACGGAGTTCAAGCCGTGCAAACCACCTTCAATGTCTCTCACAAGTCTCACGAACTCCTCAGGCACGAGACCACTCTCCCCAGTTCGAGGATCTTCAGCGACCAGCCATCCTTGGCCATGACGATATGATACTAGAATGATCTGGCCTTCCTTCAGCGGCAGCTCATTTTGGTGTTCGCTCTCAAAATCAAACAGTGCGACAGCTTTCCCGTGCATTTCTTCGTCGGGGCTGGCGATTGTAAATGAGTAATCTTTGGAAAAGCACGTGTCATCTTCAGCTTCGGAAAAGTCATCCTCGGACATGGGCTCTTGAAGTCGAATTGGTGATTGCTTTCTTTGCAATGGTTTGGCAAAGTTTGAATCTCGGTGCTGCGGCGGCTGCGGCTGGCCCGGAAATCGCAGCACATTATTGTCGTAAGTATCTACAGCCTCACCCGGCCCGTCCACCTCATCTGGAAGGGTGGGATCGACCAAATATCCACGATGAGGCCCTGCATCGCCTGGGGACCTCCCTCGATCGTTGGACTTGTGCTTTTTATGTCTGCTCGTGGTGACAATGGGTGACTGGATGTCATCGTCTTCGCTGTATGGAGGCCCATCGTCTTTGAACGCCAGTGCGGGTAGTCTGTCACGATTCCATGAGGAAGGCGGCGTCTCTGACATCCAAGGCGGTGTTGCTGACCAGTGCCCTCTTCCGTCTTCCCAAGTGGAAACAGCGGGATCTGACAGTCTCCGTGACTCGCTCACTGGCGTCGATAGCCCCGACTGGTTCGGCGGCGGACCGTAGTGTAGGGGATGTGTCGATAAGTATGCAAAATCTCGTACAAGGGTATAGGGAAGGCTCGAATGGAAAGCAGGAAAAACGTGTGACGATGGTCTAGATTGCGGCTGATGTGAGGCCTTGGAATGGTTGGAAAATGAGGACATTCGCCTTTCGACGTATGATGTCGGTCTTTGTGAACTCGCCCTTCGCAACATAGGTGTAGTTGTTATTAAAGGAGGAAGAGCGGGAGGACTCGTGGTGGCTGCGCCCAAAGGCGGTGACATGGTAGGAGGTGAGGCTGTGATGGTGGCCATTATCGAAAGGGTGAAAGAGGACCGGCCGCCCACGGCCACGAGGAAGAAAAGAGTATTCGAGAAAAGAAATAAACGAAGTTCAATTCGGCATGCGCGCTTGCAGGCACGAGAATTCAATCGGCGGCTAACAAGGATGCTCGAGTCGCTTAGAGAAAGGCGAGAAGGCGTAAAAGGGCGAAGACGGCGAGCGCTTAAGGATTATTGGGCCAGAGACCTATAGAGGGACTTTATTCGAGGATGCTTGAGATGTTCATGTAGAGTCGGTTATGGTGTGAGAAAAGGACGTTCAGCTGGAACCGGTGGAAGTTGTGTTGTTGAGATCGAGGCCAGGACAGAATGCGCCGGAGCTATTTTTGGATACACAGCAGACGAGGCGGAAGCGTGAGAGGTCAGAGCGAAGGAGAACGGTAGTTGTAGAAGGACATGGTTGTTGTCAACGGTCAGCAAAGAGAAAAGAGAAGTTCTTGGATATAGCGAGAGGGTAGCGAAGATCTAGCCATGACCATGAGTCGAGTGGTATGCAGATCAAACAGTCCATCGCTGTGGCCGCCGTCGATATGCTGGGTGGCCACTGTACGGAGACTTTGGTTGCCCTGCCCACTGGGTCAAATTAAATAGGGACCGTCTGACTAAACTAGCCGCCTGGGGAGCCTCTTACGGAGTATTGCCTACGGAGATACTACCTACCTGGATAGTAACGTTCCCAAGCACTATGAACTGTGTCTTAGAGTCCAGCCAGAAGTCTCAATATGCATCTAGTTGCCTGAATAACGAGTCCTTGCCTAGGTCTGCCTCTTTGTGGTGCACTCATCATTCGTAGTTTGTGGACGGCCTGATCCCGTTGACGCTCCATACTAAACTTCCCTACTGTCTGACGGTCGTAATATCCCAATGGCTTTTTGTAGTAGCTCGTTTCAGACAATCTGGTCTAAGCCTTTTTTGGATTGGAAGACAGCATTCCACTCATCGAACATTTTCCACCAGATCTAAATGTACAAGTGTTGTAGCGAGTATGACCATTCGACATCAACATATTCATTTTCACAGCGGTAAGTCATGCGTGCCCATTGTCCTTGTTCCTGACTTTAATTCAATGATGATCACCAATATTGGAGCTGTCCTAGTCCAACGATGAGGACAACTTACTTTTACGCAACTTTGCTGAACGCAAACACCTACCATCTTTCCTTTGCATATACTGATTTATGAAGTCAACACTAACATCCTCGACCCAAGACTTCACACCATGATAATATCATAGTAACATTCTATTTCCTCCTTCCTACCATGTCGACCGATCCTCGATTGGCCCGCCTCCAGGGCCGCACTAACACTCCACAACCTCCCAAACCGCAGACACCACCAGCTCCTGCTACAGTCGCGGTAGAGTCCCCTTCACAAGCAACACCTCCACAGGTTGACGGAAGCGTTGATACGCCAGCACCAGTGGCAGCACCTGCAGAACAACCTGACACGTCGTTCAAGCTCAAATTCTGCACAGTATGCGCCTCGAATAACAACAGAAGCATGGAAGCGCATTTGCGACTGTCGACCTCAGATCATAAATACCCCGTAATTTCTTTCGGTACGGGTTCGTACGTACGACTGCCTGGCCCTTCAATCTCCCAACCTCAAGTCTACAATTTCAACACGACGTCCTACACGAAAATGTACGACGAATTAAACGCTCAAGATTCCAGACTATACCGTAATAACGGCATTCTGAACATGCTGGATAGAAATAGGAACATCAAGTGGGGACCGGAAAGATTTCACGACTGGGTTGTCGGCGCGGCGAGAATGGAGGCTCTGAATCGGGGAGACAAGGGCGCCGCCGGTGCCGAAGGAGGTGTGGTCGACGTCATTTTCACCTGCGAAGAGCGATGCTGGGATGCTGTAGTGGACAATTTGCTAGATAGAGGAGCGCCCCTCAATCGGCCAGTGCATGTGTTCAACATTGATATTAAGGACAATCACGAAGAGGCACTTGTTGGTGGCGGAGCAATCCTCGAGTTGGCAGATGCTCTCAATGAAGCTGCAGTACAAGAGAGGCAACTCAATGGTTCGACTGGTTGGGAAAATGGAACCGGAGTTGCACGGCAGAGTTTCGATGAGAGAGTGCCCGATATCCTGGCTAGTTGGCAGGAAAGGTGGCCCAACCTTCCTGCATTATGGACTCTTTCTTGGTTCTGAATAGGAAAAGGAACAAACCAGATTTGCTATTTAGCGAGGCGTTGGGGGGGTTGTTATCCCAGTGGAACGCAATGAATATTATGATGAGATGCTATACACCTTAGAGAGTGTCAAACGATTGCATGAATTGAACTGGTTAATGAAATTTGTCCCACACAATCCTATATCTTTAAAAATGGAATCTGAACCGACTTATGAATTCGAGTACGAGTACGGAGTATTAGCAATAACTATTCTTCGTACTTAGATATTGAGGTACTGTACGGAGTATGCACGAGTATTGTGCCTTTGTAAAGCCGAGCGTGGACCTCGGTAATGTCTGTCCCCACGTCAACATCTGGTTGTTCTTTTGTGAGTGAGACGTACTTGTCGGTCAATGCTAGGCTTTGGGTGTGTGCCATGTTCTCACAGTCTATTACGTTCCTTTTACTTTCGGTGTACAAATGCAAGTTTCCTCCTCGGTTGCAGCGTGTACTTGCATGTCCGGGTTCGGTCCTTTTATTAGAAGAAGTTCGATTTCTGTCACATCACGCTTCCTAGACGACATTATCAGCATTCGACCTCGCACGACACCACCGCCGATACAATCCTATAGACGGAGTACAACAACGGCGAGACTTCCACATAGACGCTCATTCTGCTTCCGCAGCCTCGGCAAGTTTCCGAGACAGTCCTCTTGCATGGGTGCTCCCAAACCGGGAGACAGGCCTCACGTTTCTGGCCGACGTACGGGCGCAGGCACGGCGACCATGGCGCCGCCTTCCAAGTTCGAAGTCCGAGGTTACTCTGAGCACAAGTCCCCCAAGCCGGCCTCGCCGTCGGCCAGCATAGTCCTGATCTCCCCTTCGAACGAAATCCTCCTCCTCCACCGCGTACGGACGTCCTCGGCCTTTCCCTCTGCTCACGTTTTTCCCGGGGGTAACCTGGAAGCCTCGGACGGCCCGTTGCCGTCTGACCCGCAGGATGTGAACCGACACATAGACAGTGTCGCTTACCGCACGGGAGCGATACGGGAATTGTTCGAGGAGACGGGCATCCTCCTGGCGCGGTCGTCGCGCGAGGCCGGGTCACTTCTGGCGGTGTCGAAGGAGCAGAGGAAGGGCGGGCGCGAGGCAGTACACCAAGGCAAACTCACGCTGGCGGACTGGTTGAAGAGCGTGTCCCCCTCGGCCGTGCTCGACACGAACCGACTCATCCCCTTTACGCACTGGGTCACACCCCCAAACGTGCCCAAACGCTTCACCACGCAGATGTACTTGTACTTTGTCGACCGGGCCGAGAGCGGGAACCCCAGCGTCCACGCCACGGGGGACGAGGTCGAGACCATGGCCCCCGAGTGGCGGAGGGCGAGTGACTGGCTGGACCGCGCGCGGTCCGGAGAGGTCATTCTGTTCCCGCCGCAGTTTTTGCTGTTGTATTTAATATCTGGCATTCTGGATCGGGGTCTGGTGGGACAAGGGCGGCAGGAGGAGGACGAGACGGCGGTGGTCGCGAAACGGGACGAATTGAGAAGGAAGATCGAGGGCGAAGGGTGGACCAACAAGTTCATCAGTCCGATCGGACTCCAGTTCGGTCGGGAGGATGGCAGGACGGTGTTGGCGCTGGACAAGCCAGGCCCGGAACTCAAGGGGAGCGGTCTGAAGGGCGATTCAGAGTACGTCGTGCTGGTCAAATTTAGAAAAGAAGGTCCCCGGCAATTGGACGTCGCACTCAGAAAAGATGTGCTTAGAGACGAGAGGGAACTCAAGGCGCAGAAACAGAAGGGCAAACTTTGAAAACATCTACTTGGCTCTTTGATAGAGTCAGTAAATCTTCATGATGGTTAGATGTGTGTTTAAAACGATGCATAACAACTGTAGATGAGCAACGAAAGATGTTAGACAGTTAAAAGTTCTTGCGAATTTTGTCTTGTGTGTATTTACGGGGCCATGAAACTCGTACAGTCATATATCAAGCAGCAAAATCTGAGTCCGTATCTCAATCTCTCCATCAACGCCACTTCGCCTTGCCGATGCAGCGACTACTACGATCAAGAGTAGAGCTTCTTGTCGAAGCTGTCCAGACCGTGGACATTGCCTTCAGCCTGAGCGCTGACGCTGCGGAGTTCGAATCGAACCTTCCCTCTGCCGACGTCCTCGCGTAGCTCAACAAGACTCTTGCTGCCGATGTCCTGCAGTGAGTGCTGTAGACCAGCGATCAGGTATGGCACGAATTTGGTAACTGAGCCTCGGTCGAGGACAGAACCTGACACACCCTGGGCGACCAGCAACCTATCACCCTCCGAGAAATATCTAGCTGTGCCGGCGTTGCTAGCCTTGGAGTCCTTGCCCCCACCGCCAGCTTTCTTGTCCTCCATGGCATCGATGCTGCCCATGCCTCGATAAGCCTTGACGAGCTTACCTTCACGGTTGACGAAGGAAGTTCCAGGAGACTCGGTGGTACCAGCAAGGAGACCACCCATCATCACGGTCGAAGCTCCCATAGCGAGACCTTTGACAATGTGGCCTACGTTCTGGATGCCACCATCAGCAATACAAGGAACTCCAAACCTTGCCGCGAACGACGACACGGAGAAGACTGCCGCAGCCTGAGGACGGCCCACAGCCATGACTTCCTGCGTGATGCAGGCGCTGCCACTACCCATACCGATTCTCAGGCCATCGGCACCTGCAGCAATCAGGTTTGCGGCTTGTTCTCGAGTCACTACGTTTCCAGCAATAACGTCGAGATCAGGGTATGTTTGCTTGATGTATTTGACCATTTCAATCTGATATAGGCTGTTACCCTGGCTGCTGTCGAGGATGACAATGTCTAGACCAGCTTCAACCAACTTCTGGAGTCTGTTCTTATCGTCTGGTCGGGTACCGATAGCAGCGGCAGCAATCAATTGTTTCGAGTGGGGTAGTTTTGAGGCAAGAGGATAGTTGAGGTTCTTCAGAAGATCGGATCGCGAGAGCAGAGACACCAGATTACCATCCTTGTCAACAATTGGCAACTTGCCCTTTCGGGATTTGCGCAGGACTTCGTTGGCCTCTAGAAGAGTGGTTCCTGCTGGTGCGGTGATCAGGTCTTTCGACATGACCTCCGTCACCAAATCTTCTGGCTGAGGGTGGAACTGGATGTCTCGAGTTGTGACAATGCCAATCAACTTGGACTTGAGCTGGCCGGTTTCTATCAAGTCTTTCAGTCAGTCGACGCAAGACAAAAGAAGATTGTGAACAAGGTAAAAACGTAGTTGACTCAGACAGAAATCTCCAAAGAATCCCCATTGCAAATTCATGCTTCGGATGAACGAAAGTTTAAAAGGGTAAAATGGTTGAACATCATCGAAATGAGCAGAACGAGCTGTGTGCAGACATACCGGTGACTGGAAATCCGCCAAACCCCCATTTGTCCTTCAGTTCTTTGGCCTCAGCGACAGTGGTCTTTTGGGAGAGGACGAGAGGCTCAGAGATGAAGCCATTCTCGTATCTCTTGACTTTGCGGACCATATCTGCCTGATCTTCCGCAGAACAATTGTGATGAATGACACCTAGGCCACCCAACAGAGCCATATGAATAGCCATATTCTCTTCTGTGACAGTGTCCATAGGAGAGGAGAGGAGCGGTGTCTTGAGGGAGATGCGTTTGGTGATCGGGGAGTCGAGTGCAACTTCAGAAGCGGCAAAACCTAACCACGTCAGGATGGCAGAGATCACCGCGTCAAAGAGGCCTACCGATATATCCCGGCTGGATGAGGAAGTCGTTGTATGTCAAGGCACCATTTTTCTTCGAGTCGAGCAAGTCGTGGACATCAAGACCATCGCGGGACTTGTACTCCTTGAGTACTTCGAGGGCATTTCGCCAGTCCAACTTCTCGAGGTCTCGGTTGAGAGGGACGCCATTGCTGGCAACATCTCCATTAGTGATGGGCATTTTGCGACTGGTGGAAGAACAGCACACGTCTATGAAACAGTGATACTGGGGGACAGGAAGGGGTTTCCCGAGAAAAAGAGAACGAGTAGAAAATTCGCGGTGTGAAACTTTTTTCAAGGGAGGGCGAGATGCGCTAAAACCAAAATGGAATGGCTCGTCCCCGCCCAAGAAAAGACACTGGCTACGATCAGTGATCGGTGTACGGAGAACAGACAGTCAGTCACTGCCAGACCATCATGACGGCACATCGCTGACCTGTTGATAAAGGAGGGTGTCAACTCGGGAGCAATGTAATTACTACCTGGAAACGCCTGAGGCTTCATGTATCGACGAGTCACTGATGGCCTTCTCTTCACAGGTAAGGTTTGTGGCAAACATGGCACAGTTGAATTTCCCTTAGCCAAAAGCCGTCATCGGTAACAGCTCAGATATATATTGTCGATGCCAACAGAAGCTGTGAAGTTTCGTAGAGGAGGGTTGGGGGATTGTTGACAGGATCAGTGGCGGCACCTGACAGAACTAAACACCTCGCTTCGAGATGCGAAGCAAGCGGCACCGTATCAAGCAAGACCCAGTAGAATAGTCTACCGCTCAGACAAGACCATCATGTGTATTAGATGTATCGGAAATAAAGAGTGCCTTTCCAGCTGACACCTAACTTGTATTCTGGGATGAATATCGCTGCCTAAGGCGTAGACTGAAATACTGTACGTACAATGGGTAGACACTGCGACATGGAATGCGTCAGACAGAATTATCCAGGTGAACCATTGGTATGGTCAGCCTTGGAAAACCATCGTCTGACTAAAGAGATTCCTCTTGCGTGCCAGCCAACCGCTTTCCTCCACCCCCGCTTGCTTGGACTATTCCAGATTCAGTACTGTCAACAAAAGATTCACAAGATGCCTGCTTCTTCTACCAGCTTGACCTTGAAGTGTCTTCATCACATTGTCCTTACAACCCGCAGGCGCAACGATTGTTGATCTTCCAAAAGTACCAGTTCATTTAATGCAGGATTATTGATTCAGATTCAGCCGCATCTGAGGATGCAATCGCCGTGTCAAACATTCTACGCATCCGAGCTTCTCGCACCTAACCTTTTATCGCGCTTTTCGGAATGTCCCAATACGCCCTGCGGCGAACGCAGACAGACATCTACTCTGGGAATCCCCAGCGGCAACCCTCGGTAGCCTCAACAGTATCGTCAGCCTATTCTGCCGCATCGAGTGCATTCCCTCCGAGTCGAACGAGCACGGTGACGTCGACCAATTCCAGCCTTTATTCGAGGGCGTCTCCAAATCACAAACGGGGAATCAGTGAAGCTGGAGAAATGACCCCAACGCGGTCATATAAAGGCCACAGCAGCGTTGAAAATAGTCCCGACCACGTCTACCGAAATGTCCGCCAAACATTGCGACCTCTGCCGCAAGCACCGTCGCCCAACGCAACTCCACGACGCCCGAGCGGTAACCACGTTCGGGCGCAGACGCTCGATCGATTCCCCCAAAACCATACTGAAGACATCTTTGTCGACAAGCACTTGCACGAACATCACTTTGAATCGCATCATTCAAGGCCACACCTCCACCATGCCGCTACCTCTCCGCATGGCAATACATTCAAAGCGCCTGATATACAAGAATTGCAAAAGTCATCGACGTCACATCTCAGAGCCTTGTCTAGATTTGCACAAGATGGAGACGCGGAAGAGTTTGGGATCACAGCCGCGGGCCACTCGGTCGTCGGCTTACACAATCGGAGGCAACTCAAACGAACTGATTCTATCGCTCCTGGTTCACGAGCAAAAGCTAAGAGCTATGGCTGGGGAGACAGAAACTGGATGGACAAACAGCGACAATTTCTCCAGGCCTATGAATACCTCTGTCACATAGGCGAAGCAAAGGAATGGATCGAGGACATTATTCACAAACCAATCCCTCCGATCGTGGAGCTAGAAGAGGGTCTGCGCAACGGTGTGACCCTCGCGGAGGTTGTCCAAGCATTCCATCCTGACCATAATCTCAAGATCTTTCGGAACCCCAAGCTACAATACAAACACTCGGACAATATCGTCATGTTCTTCCGCTTTCTCGAAGAGGTCGGCTTGCCAGATCTCTTCCGGTTTGAGCTTATTGATTTATACGAGAAGAAAAACATCCCGAAAGTCATTTACTGTATACACGCTCTGTCATGGCTTCTTTACAGGAAAGGCATGGTAGATTTCCGTATCGGCAACCTGGTTGGTCAACTCGAATTTGAGCATCACGAATTGGAACAGACACAGCGTGGCTTGGATAAAGCAGGCATTAGTATGCCGAGCTTCTCAGGTATGGGTGCCAGTTTTGGTGCCGAACCAGAGCCAGAGCCGGTTGAGACGGAAGATGAGCGCATCGAACGCGAGTTGCAGGAGCAGGAAGCTGCCGTGGTTGAATTTCAAGCCCAACTGAAAGGTGCACTGGTACGTCTACGGCTTGGGGATATGATGCAGCAGCTGTGGGATGCAGAAGAGGCTCTTGTCGACCTTCAGTCTCGTGTTCGTGGCGACTGGGCGAGACAAATTGCAGGCTATCGTTTGGACATGCAGCGTTTCGCAATAAATCTTCAGGCCTCCTGCCGTGGGTATCTAGCTCGGACCAGTCAACAGAAAAAGGAACAGCTTTGGAAGGCCCGCGAAAAGGATGTGTTGAAACTGCAGAGTCTTTTCAGGGCTTCACGAGTCAGAGCAGAGGCGAGCCAGACAAAATCTCAAACTCGCAAACATGACGCAGGCATACGCAGCCTTCAAGCCGCTATTCGTGGTGCTCTCTCCAGAAGAGATGTAATTGATCAATATGAAGAAACCAGGTCTTCTGAGAGGGAAGTCTTGCGGCTGCAAGCTGGAATTAGGGGCATGATGCAACGACAACAAATGAAGAGGAATCAACACGCACTCGATTTGCAGGCTCTTGCCATCACAGAATTACAAGCAAACGCAAGATCAATGATCACCCGGCTTACACAGTCCAGGATGCATGAGTCTTTGCAAGAGTGGTCTATCAACTGGACAACCCTGCAAGCCAATGCTCGCGCCGGTCGAGTACGGGGACATATCGCACAGATGAAGCAGAGGCTACGTGCGGAAAGTGCGTCTATCAGCCGATTCCAAGCTGCACTGAGGGGAGCCAATGCCAGAGAATCATATAGCTCATTGCAACTTGCTCTGCTTCGACAATCTCAAGCAGTCATACCCCTGCAGGCTACGATGCGCGGATTCACCTTGCGTCATCAGCTCCAGCAGCAGCGTGCGAACCTGGAACGACATGTTCCCAAGCTGGTCCACTTGCAATCAATGGCTCGAGGAGCAATTTCACGTTCACAGGTAGCTGATCTCCTCAACTCACTGGAAGACACTGCCGAAAGTGTTATTGAGCTACAATCTTCTATTCGCGCCATGCTCTGTCGCATTGGTGTGGCTAGTTTGCTAGGCGATCTTGATGTCCATGACGGAGCAATCACAGACTTGCAAGCCATCATCCGAGCAAGTGCTATCCGTTCCAGATTCCGAGAGAAACAACGCTTTTTCAAAGAGAACATGGAAAAGGTCGTCAAGATTCAGAGTGTTGTACGAGCAAAGATACAAGGCAAAGCTTATAAAAGCCTGACTTCCGGCAAGAATCCCCCAGTAGGGACACTCAAAGGTTTCGTCCACCTTCTAAACGATAGTGATTTTGACTTCGAAGAGGAGGTAGAGTTTGAACGACTCCGCAAAACTGTTGTGCAGCATGTCCGACAAAACGAGTTGGCCGACCAATATATTACACAGCTGGACATCAAGATTGCTCTCCTCGTCAAGAACAAAATCACTCTGGATGAGGTTGTGAAGCACCAGAGACACTTCGGTGGTCATGTTGGTGCACTACTTCCCAATTCTGATATTGCATCGAAAGACCCATTCGATTTGAAAGCACTCAACAAGACTTCTCGACGAAAGCTGGAACATTATCAAGAACTCTTCTTCCTGCTTCAGACTCAACCCCAGTATTTGGCACGGCTCTTTAGACGCATAAGAGAGCAGGCAACCGCTGAAAAAGAATGCGATCGCATCAAACATCTTGTGATGGGGCTATTCGGCTATGCTCAAAAGCGAAGAGAGGAATATTACCTTGTCAAGCTAATCGTGCGTTCCATCAAAGAAGAGGTCGATTGCTCGATGTCACTTCAGGATTACCTGAGGACAAATTCCTTTTCCAACAAACTCTTCAGTGGATACAGCAAATCGCCAAGAGACCGCAAGTTTTTGAGAGATATCTTGGGCCCCTTAGTGAAAGAGAACATCATCGACAACGCATCTCTCGATCTGGAGAGTGACCCATTGCAGATATACTTGTCAGCCATTAACAATGAGGAACTAAGAACAGGCCGACGAAGCCAGAGAGATCCAAATGTTCCACGGGAAGTTGCCATTCGCGATCCAGAAACCCGAGCAACATTCATTGCCCATATGCAGGATCTTAGGGACATTACTGACCAGTTCTTCCTCTGTATCGAAGACTGTCTGCACCGTATGCCTTTTGGAGTCCGCTTTGTTGTCCAGCAAACACACGAACACCTCCATGCTCGATTCCCTGGCGAAGACCACGAATTCGTGCTTCAACTCGTGGGACAATGGCTATGGCGTACATATTTACAACCTGCTCTTCTCGAGCCAGAAAAATTTGGTGTTGCAGATCGTGCAATGACCCAAGAACAAAAGCGTAACCTCGGGGAAATAGCCAAGGTATTGAACCAGGCGGCGTCAGGTCGTGAGTTTGGAGGGGACAATGTGTATCTCCAGCCATTGAACAATTACATCCGCGAATCCATTGATCGATTTGCGACGATCTGGCGACATGGTGAGTCTCTCTCTTTCCTGGTGCTATCTGAAGCCTTAACTGATCGGTCCCTCACAGTCATATCCATCCCGTCCGCAGAAGAACACTACGACATCGACGAGTTCAACGACCTCTATGCTAAGACGAAGCCTACACTGTACATCAAGATGGCCGACATATTTTCAATTCACAAATTGCTCACCCAGGAGATCAGTCTCATCTGCCCCAACCAAGATGATGTCCTTCGTGACACTCTTCGAGAGCTGGGTAGTGTCCAAAGCAGTGAAAGCGAATTGAAGGGTGTCAGTTCCAGTGAAATCAGTCTGACATTGAATCCTAAATTCCTCAACGCTGAAGATCCTGATGCAGATGTCAAGGCCCTCTTCACCGAAACGAAGCGATGTGTTCTCTACATTATTCGTATTCAGTCCGGCTCGAGTCTGCTTGAGATTCTGGTGAAACCTATCAGCCCCGGAAATGAGGAGAAATGGGAGGCCCTTGTTCGAGATGAACTTCAATCTGGGAACGGGCGACGGGGTGCTTATGCTGACGCCAGCACGCACCTGGATATATCCACCTTGACATATCCGGACCTCAAACGCATTGCTCTGGAAAATGTTCTCCAACTCGAATCAATAGGCCGGCTGACTCGAGCCAACCAGTACCAGGATCTGCTCAATACTATTGCTGTTGACATCCGGACCAAACACCGCCGCAGGTTGCAACGGCAAAGGGAACTCGAAAATGTGAAAACCACTTTGGCACGGCTTAACGAGCAAGCAGTGTATCTTGAGCAACAGCTCAAGACGTACAATGACTATATCGAACAGGCCATGGTGACACTACAGAACAAGAAAGGGAAGAAACGTTTCGTCATGCCCTTCACGAAGCAATGGGATCACGAAAGAGAGTTGCAACGATCCGGGCGCTCTTTTAAATTCGGTTCATACAAGTACTCGGCACGAACGTTACACAACAAAGGAGTGTTGGTCGAGTGGCGAGGATATCACGAGTCTCAATGGGACCGGGTTGATCTCACTGTCTCTTCCAACGAGGTCGGTGTCTTCACCATTGACGGCAGTTCAGGTAACATGATGATCCCTGGAGCAAACGCGCAAGTACCGCTGGACGATCTCTTGCAAGCACAATTCAACAACACACAGTTTATGGAGTTTTTTGAGGGGGCGCTCCGGGTTAATGTCAACTTATTCCTGCATTTAATTATGAAGAAATTTTATAATGAATGAGCCACGAACCACAATGAAGGCATTTGGAGCAGGGAAGCCAGTTGGAGAGGTGCGACGACTAGGACAGGATGATAGTTGCCTCGCTCGAAAGCTAGGAGATTGAATAGAAGTTCCTCTCGATGACTGATAGAGGCATAAGGTGCATACCAGGCTCTTCCCACTGGTGTTTCTTTCTTGCAATATACACATCTTCCTAGGCCACAAATGTTTCGCTTATTCCCTTACATAAATTATCTCCGTGTCAGTGGGATACAATAATGTATCGAACCATTATTTGGGGCCTCCGCACATGAACACCAGCGCAGACATGATATTTTCTTTCCGCACGGACACGTCGCTGCTGTCAAAATGATAAGAGAGCCAGCCTCCTGTCTCAGCGGCGTCACGGAATGCACCAATGCTCACTTACAAACTTAATAATGGCCCGCCAGGCACGGCAAGTTCGACAGATGCATTCCAGACCTTTCCAAGGCGCCCATCTTGCACGTTAGGTTGGTCTTGCATACCTGACCCCAAGGCCGTCTTGTTAGACCACGCACTACGGAACACCACATGACCGTCGTGAGGTAGCGTCCTCTACAGCTGTCACCTCTTGGTCTTTGACCGAATCCTTCGTCTTGATTGGGACGCCAAATCCACAACCACTTCCTGGTACTGTATAGATGGTCAACTGACTCGGGAGCACGAGCATACGAGGCTGTCGTCCCTCGGGACTTTGCGGTGCCACACACGCTCGTTACCAACCTTTCTGGAACTTCCTTCCGGCCCCCTGAAAGGAGGACAAAGTCACGAGGAACAACTTCTTGCGACGACCCTTGAGAATTCCAACCCAAAAGGTCTTGACGCAATGCATTCTAGTCTTGTTGCCAATCTATGCTGGAATGTCTCCATGCACATTCCTGAATTGCGGGCGCCAAACTCTCCGGCATGTGGGCAATCTGTGCACGCAGAAGGCGTATGACACAGTCACTTCAGGTACGAGCAAGGAAGATTCTGGGAAAATGGATTTCATACAGAACTACCAAACAGGTCGCTTACGCAGCGCGAAAACATTCCATTGGGGTTCAGACGGAAGGAGTTCTTGAGCAGCGTAGTTGGTGTGACACTTGGTGAACATGTTGCGCTCGTAACATTATTGGCCAACGAACGCGACAAGAGCGCAAGGACACATGCGACACATGTGCCATGGCTGGTTCACCGCTATTCCTGAGGTTGCATGCCGGAGAAAAATATCCACTAAACATTCAAACATGTCAGCCAGTTGACTGTAGTCCAGAGATCTGGTAAAGAGAGACACATCGTCTTTTCGGCCGTTGCTATACCTCTTCGGTGCGGCATCAAGACCAATGGCCATAGAAACAACCTAACGCGTGTGCCGCAAAGGTTTCAGGTGAAGCGTCCACGCGCTCGGGCCAAGGGAGGCTTTTCCTGGCGCATCCAGGCCAGCAAAACCAACCAAGCAGAGTCTTCCGACAAAGGGCACGGACGCGAATCCTGAATAACCTAGAAAGGCGAAGGCAGGAATGTGCCGTGTTCACCACTCGTACAAGATGCTGCGTGGACTATTCCAGATAGGCTGGCTTTTTGACAGCAGTCAGCAGCCAGCCACCGACTGATCGAACGATGAAATCAAAGAAGTATTCCATTCGCGGCTGCATTCCCTTTTCAACAAGTCATGAGGCGCCGGGTGAAGGTGGGTGGGCAACCCCTTTTTTTCTCTCCCTTTGTTCCTCATGGTTTTGATTTCACCCTAGCACGAGGCTGGGCGCAAGAAATATGCAGAGACGGCAAGAGGTAGCACTGGCAAGGATGTACAATACTCGTACAGTCTTTGTGGCGTGCACTTTGCCATTAAATATGGAGTCCGGAACGGCAAGGTACCAAAGCTTCACCTGCATGGCTCTTGGTTTCAGCTTTGAATACGAAGTTGATGTGGAAGATCGGGCGATCAGTTTCAGTGGATCGCCAACGGCAGGATATACTGGGATTCGTACTCGAACCTGAGATCGTGAGTATGTTGGGGGATCGAGAAGTCGTCATCATTGGCGCTGTCGCGTGCGGTTGGGGATGGCTTGTTGACAGGACGCGACTTCATGGCAGACTCGACACCATTAGGCATGCACTTTATACGAGGGAGTCGTAGGCCTCCGAGAATAGACACGGGAATGGTGTGTCTGGTCGCATCATCGATACAGCAAAGTCTTTGACACGATCAGTATCGAGGAAAGGGGGTTTCGGTGCGAAGGGACGTGAATTCGGTCGCAAACATGACCTTGTCTGTACGTGAACACAAGGCGACTACAAGTTACGAGTTGAGAGACCAGTTATTTTCGTGGATACGAATATGAGACCTGGCAAACTGCTGTTCACAGGCGAGAGGCTTCCCATGAGGTTGACGGAACTGTGGATTTCGGGGGGCCTTGTCAGTCAGTGCGAGTACGAGACGATGGGAAACTTGATGGACTTTGATATGGCAATCCGGGTCTCCAGTGACGTCTTTCGAATACTTGTACCAGGGTGGAACAAGGAAAATACTGGGTCTCTGTATAATGTTCAGTATGATCGTCGGTGGCTCAAGGGGCACACACCAAGGCATCAACCCGGTTCACTGACAGGTGTCTGTGCTGAGACTGATCAACTGCTGAGTATCGGGCTTGATGAGAATTCACCAGCCGATCGCAAGATGGAATGGCATGGGTTGAAATGAACCTGATGGTTTAGAAAGGAGGCTCTACTGTATAGAAACCAAATGTTCTGCTCATCCTTCGTCGTGTCTCAATAAGTGACCGGCAAACATCACACCATCATTTCCTCATTCGACACACTCCTTAAATTGGTGTTGCGTAGATCGTACACCAGCCGAGCTGCCCACGAAGCACGAAGCTGTTTCTTCATTCCTTTCCCATCCCCTGGGTAGCTACGAAGACGAAGACCAGGACCAGGACCAGGACCAATTGAACCATTTATACAAGCAGCTGCTTTGCTGCCACGATCTCTACTGTCATCGTAACGACGATTCTCTACCGCATCTCCTTGACACCACTATTGGCGCTTCAGCGGACCACTGCATCATATTTCGATCTTCTCACCCAGAGGATCCGTCACCATGGCTCGATTTGGATGGCGAGTGCCGACGCCGACGCCCACACCCACTGACGCTTGGTCATCATACTTTGACTCGTGGAAGACCGAGGACAAGGAGGTACCAACGACATTGGGGTATGAGCCGATGATCCTCGACGACGACCTTTACCTGGACAGCATCAATGTCAAATTCAACATCGATTTCGAGTTGGACTGGGAGATGGATTTCCAAGACACAAATCTCTACGAGTACGAGTATTCCACGACCAAGTTACGGGGTGTGAGCAACAGTAGGCGGTGCAATAAGGGCGGCCATGACGTCAATAGACACGCGCGGGTGGCTCGATTCCAGGGTCCAACAGGAGGCGCCAGGAACGAACTTAGGAGGGACCGAGAACGAGCGCGCATCAGCCACGAGTATCCCGGTTACCACGCCTATCACGACGCCTATAGGGGACGCTACGGGGGACGCTATGAGGACGTCGATGGGGATCATCCCCCCGAATCTCTCAACGACCACGCCTATCCCTGCGCCTATAGGGCCCAGCACAACAACCGAGTAAGTGCAGTGACCACTCGTCCCAGATCTCTCATCCTTTGCTTTCCCCCCCCACCAAACTACGTCAACGGCTACGTCGTCTGGCTCCATTTCTGGCCTTGCATCATCACTTTACCCAGTTGATTTCGCCCTTTCATTCACAGTTGATTCCCTACGAGTACTTCCGTCTTCCCTATTACAGTGCGGGCAATCAATTCCTACTCTGTAGTTACTCCTCCACCTCCATTCGATTCCATCTCATCCCAAATCTCATCTGCCTGCCCTCATTCCCCTCTCCCACAACTCTCTCAATTTCACCCTCTCCTGCATTTCTCCCCAACTCGACTAAATCTCGCTGCAACAATCCTCTCGCACTAGTCAAGACTTGTGCGAGATATCACTCCATACTTGCTGCACACTCATCCGGCCTCCACCTGCACCGTCGCTTATTCATCATCGCCTCGCGAGATCTGGACCACTCGACAGTCCCTGCGTTCCCGCGCCTTCCCAGAAACTGCAGTCCAACTTGAACCTTTGTCTGCACTTTTTCTACCGTCCGACCATCTCTTCTCACCAGCGTCCCTCCTCTTTCCTCTTTCATTTGTCATCCCCCAACTTCTCCTTCTCTTGCGACGCTTCAGGGTGTCTTCTTCATCGTCGACACTGCTTGACATTCTCTCTGAACGTCGCTAAACATGAGCACCATTCAGAACCTCAAAAACTTCATACGTCATGGCAAGCAAGCCCGCGTGGCTGAGCCTCCCCGCGATCAACCGACCACCAACGTCTCAAATGTCCACGCTCAACCCCAGAAATATCACCATGGCATAACGGAGCCTGCTGGCGTCCAGAGGCAACAACACAATCACCACCAAGTCCAGCCGCATCCCGGCGAGTACTCGGTAGCCGCCGTTGACAATCGGAATGTCGCCGCGCAGGCTGGAGCTGCGGCTGCCAACCAACAAGGCAAACAACAAAAAATCCACCAGTCCGATATCGAAGCTATCGTCGCCGAAGAGAGGGAGAAAGCCGGGCAGATGCCCAGGTATCCGGGCTTAGAAAGATACATCCTGATCGAAAAGATGGGCGACGGCGCCTTCAGTAACGTCTACAAGGCCAGAGATACGCAGACACATGATGAAGTCGCCATCAAGGTGGTGCGAAAGTTTGAGATGAACTCGAATCAGGTATGCTCGGAGTCCAGGCACCTCCAGACCAACCCATTTCCTTATTTTTTCACCCCCCCTTTTCTGCACTTCATTCCGCATTCTCACGTCCTCCAATGTTCTGTCCCAGAAACACAACCAACTTTCTGACCCCTAGGGCGACGCACACCTGCATCCGAACTTCAAGAAGCAGCCAAAGGGCGTGGAGGTGCGCTTCTCCACTCCTACCTTTGAACCCTTCGAACTCCTCGTCGAATTTTACTCCTCCCTGCCTCTGCGAACCATACATCCTCTCCATATACAGGTACTGACTTTTGTTATAGCGAGCAAACATTCTGAAAGAGGTCCAGATCATGCGACAACTTGATCATCCCAATATCGTCCGACTGATTGACTTTTCCGAATCGAGGCAATATTACTATATCGTGCTTGAGCTGTGCCCTGGAGGCGAATTGTTCCATCAAATCGTTCGTTTGACCTATTTCAGCGAAGACCTGAGTCGTCATGTCATTACTCAAGTCGCAAAAGCATTGCTGTATTTGCATGAAGAATGTGGCGTCGTCCATCGGTACGTGTGGCTCGTTTCGACGTCAAAAAGGACATGTACTAACCTCCGCATAGCGATATTAAACCAGAAAACTTACTCTTCTACCCTGTTCCATTTGTTCCTACTCGGAACCCAAAGCCCAGAGGCCCGGACGACGAAGACAAGGCCGACGAAGGTGAATTCATTCATGGCGTTGGTGCCGGTGGCATTGGTCGGATCAAAATTGCCGATTTTGGTCTTTCCAAGGTCATCTGGGACTCTCAAACCATGACGCCTTGTGGAACGGTCGGTTATACCGCTCCAGAAATCGTCAAAGACGAACGATACAGCAAATCAGTCGACATGTGGGCCCTTGGCTGTGTCCTTTATACGCTGCTTTGCGGCTTTCCTCCTTTCTACGATGAGTCGATCCAAGTATTGACCGAAAAGGTCGCACGAGGTCAATATACCTTCCTCTCCCCATGGTGGGACGACATTTCCAAGTCAGCACAAGACCTAGTGTCTCATCTGCTCACCGTCAACCCCGATAAACGATTTACTATCGAACAATTCTTGGCACACCCTTGGATTAGAAACGTTCAAGAGCCAACCTACGCTGCAGCCGATGCGCCACCCCTGGCAACCCCTCTTGCCGTGAGACAAAAGGAATGGGCTCAGGCCGGCAATCTGCCCGCAGATATCTATGGCATCGGAACCCCGGGTACCCCTGGCAAACGAGCCGATTTCCGATCCCCAGGAGCCGTTAATTTGCGAGAAGTGTTTGATGTCGGTTATGCTGTGCATAGACAGGAGGAAGAAGCCAAGAGAAGAAAGAACTTTAAGCAAGGGTACCGCGGTGCTGGTATGCCAGGAGGTCTGAATCCGCTGAACGAGGACGACTTTGACGAAGATGATGACTATGAAGAGGAAGTTTCGAGCAAGGTTCCCAAAGCACAACAGCCATCGGATGTGTCAAGTATGGAAGCGAAGATGCGAACGACGAATTTGGGCAACCAACCGTCTGCAGCTGCTCAAGCCCGGGCTGCCGCGGCGCCCCCTGCACGGAGTCAACAACAACAACAACAACCCCAGGAGAGAGGTTATGGCCAGCACAGTGCTGCCGTTGCCGCTGCAGCCAAGAGGGACGTTGGTCGGAGAAATAAGCAGCCGTTCGAATTGAGTCTGGATAATTCCACCTTGCTGGGCAGGAGGAACAAGATGGGTGGTAATGCTGCTGCTGCTCCTTCAAAGTTGAGAGAACAAATTAGCGCGAGATAGCAGTGAGTGAGCGGGCCGTTTGGCCAACGGAGCTATGGTTGCACACTCGATTGGTCGGCACTTGTTGGAGTGAGTCCCAGATTGAGCTGAAGAATCGGCTGGACATCATGAGCGCTTTTCCTTTTAATCATATGTTTGTACACAGCGCACGGTAGTACTACGCCTTTCCAGGCTGGGTTTTGATGAATTTAGAAACATGACATGAACGACCTTTTCGAGGCATGACTTTTCGTTTGTCCTTCATCCTGGCTACTTGTTTCCATTGCTTTAGCTCATTCTGACGCACTGTAGATTGTTCGATGGACGAGGTTCTTTTGGTAAACGCAACGATGGTGACGTATGGTAAGCCATTGCGGTGACATGGACGTTTATGTTATCAAGTGTGCGATGCAACGGCTTAGTCCATTCGGCAGCAAGGGACTGTTGGAGGAGCGAGTGCACTTTGGATGTTGTTCTAGGATTGGTGGTTTTGGTACCTCGTTCCGAGCAAGAAGTCGGAATTCAAAACTGGACAGCACCTACTTGTAGTTAGGTACTTCTTCGCGGCCCGCATGTCATTTTGGGTGATATTGTAAATGTACTTTTAGATAGGCGATATGTAGTACTACTATTACGGAGTACTATGGAGTGACCTTCATATTTTAGTGCTGAACGAGTACGCTCTGTCGAATTGAAAGAGATCAAAGCAAGACCTCATTCGGTACGAGTAATGGATACTATGGGAGGGAAAGAGGAAAAAATCTCACCCAACTGTCGCGTGTCTGGAGTTCACGGTCATTGACACTCCGTATGATTAAATCTCACATCCATGTTCGGGTTCGAACATGGATCTAATCAAAGTCAATATTGATAGATCTACTCTACTGGACTCGTATCTATCTTCTATGTGGGCAAAAATGTGGGAGTGAAAGCTCGAGTTTACTTGGTACATCTACTCCATACCTTTTAGTTGCTCCCACATCACCTCGTACACCCCCCAATTGCCTCTTTTTTCTGCTACAGTAAAAGCGGACTTGGACGGACTTGGCCGCCCTGGAGACCTCCATGTCTAGGGTCCGCGGTGTATTGGTAATATCGATCCCACCTTTTCTGTTGATGTAAGTACGATACGCTTTGTACGGAGACTGACTGTATCTTTCTTTTTCTCTTTCTCTTTTTTCGATGACTGCATAGACTTGTTTCTTCTTGCGACCCTCCGACACAAACTACTACTTGGAAGTTGTACATACCTCAGTATATAATACCCGACAAAGACCAGATTTCAAACGCTTCACAACCACACGGATATCACCATCGGAGCAAACGGCAAACAAAATTCTTACTTGCAACAACCTGGGTGGGGATCGGATAAAAAGTAAAGGTCCATGACTTTTGAGCCGACGGAGAAGGAAACATCCCACGGAACTCCCCTGCGCGAAGAAGTCCAGGACGAAAGCCGACACGCGACGACTCGGTCTCATTCAGGACGGGCTTCTGCATGGTTCGAGGACAACGAGGGCGTTCGTCCTCAAGAAGGTCGAGGGCTTGTCGGTGACGAGAAGAAACCTTCATGGCACGAAAACGAAAAGGCCATTGTCTGCAACGAGCGGGACGACGACTGTCAGGATGATTATGGCGCCACGGATAGTTCCCATGAGACGTCGGAACTTCGAGATCTTCGACGACATCGATCCAGTCTAGAATGTCGAGAGAACACGGCCTTGTCTTCGGTCGCCGCGGCCCCATTCACGCCTTACAGTCTCTGCGACGGCGACCAGGCCAAAATCCATTATCATGGCTCGGGGGGCTCGTCGACACACCGTCGACGTCATTCGTCGGGAAGCTGCACATCCACACTGCGAGAAGTGCCGAGTAACCTTGCAAATGCGAGTCGGCAGACGACAGATGGCTATGGAAACACATATCCCGAAGGTGGGAGAGAGGCGTGGCTTTGTGTGTTTGGTTCGTTCTGTGGGTTGGTGGCTTCTCTTGGGTAAGTACTGAATTCACATCGCCACTCCAAGTACAACGAACGTACCAAAAGAAACTATAAACGTACAAAGGCACCAAGTCAACCAAACTTACTGACGACTTGAACCAGGATGATAAATACTATCGGTATATACCAGGCGTATCTCTCGACCCATCAACTCAAAGACTACTCCGAGAGTACTGTCGGGTGGATTTTCGGCATCTACGCCTTCCTGTCCTTCTTCTTCGGCATCCAGATCGGACCCATCTTCGACGCCAAGGGTCCGCGCTACCTCATACTCTCAGGCTCGGTGCTGCTCACAGCCGCCATGTTGATCCTGGGCGTGTGCCGCGAGTACTGGCACTTCTTGGTCACCATCGGCGTCATGTGTGGCATGGGGACTTCGCTCATCTTCACCCCGGCCATCGCGGCCGTGGGGCATTTCTTCCTGCACAAGAGGGGACAGGCCACGGGGCTGGCCGCCACCGGGGGGTCCCTGGGCGGCATCATCTTCCCGCTCATGTTGCAGTCCCTCTTCCCCAGGATCGGATGGGCGTGGTCGACCCGGGTCGTCGCCCTGATCGATCTGGTCCTCTTCGTTTTTGCCAACTTATTCATCAAGTCTCGGCTACCCCCCCGCAAGGCCACCAAGGAGAACATCCTCCCGGACTTCCGCATCTTCCGAGACCCCGTCTTCGCCCTGACGACGGCGGGCACCTTCTTCATCGAGTGGGGCATCTTCGTGCCCCTGACCTACCTCAGCAGTTACATGTTGAGTTACGGCACCTCGACCGACTTCTCCTACCAGATGCTCGCCATCCTGAACGTCGGGTCCTGCTTCGGCCGGTACTTCCCGGGCTTCGCGGCCGACAAGATCGGCAGGTTCAACTCCATGATCGTCACCATCGGTCTGTGCCTCGTCACGACGCTGGCCCTCTGGCTGCCGGCCGACGGGTCCGTCCCCCTCGTCGTCGTCTACGCCTTGCTGTTTGGCTTCGCGTCGGGGTCCGGTATCTCGTTGACCCCGGTATGCGTCGGCCAGCTCTGCAGGGTGGAAAACTACGGCCGGTACTACGCGACCTGCTACACCGTGGTGTCGTTTGGGTCGTTGACCGGCATCCCGATCGCCGGCCAGTTGGTGACGAAAGCCCATGGCAAATACTGGGGTCTGATCGCGTTCAACGGATGCGCCTACACCGCGTCCCTGGCGATGTTCATCGCCGCCAGAGTGGTGGGCGCAGGGTGGAAGGTCAAAAAGGTATATTGATATCGGTCGATCCGGATTAGTAGTACGTAAGTCACGAGCATTATACATACGAGGCGTCGAGCGATCTTTGTAAATAGCATCATGTACATACGCATAATTTTTTCAAAAATGCGACACACATGGAATTATTCATAAGTGAATTTATCGTACAACTTCAGTGCCATCTCCGCCTCCTTATGAATACTGGGAATCGACCAAAACCCCCCCGCAAAATGTTGCACGATAATACGAGAATGTCCCTTGTTAATTTGGGGGCCAGAGTCTTGAAGCTTCCCGTCTAAAACATGGTCCAACATCAGCTGAAGAGCTATTGGAAATTTTCGACATTATTGTTCGAGTCTTGAAACATTTACAATTCAGTTTCAAGGGGTTTGTATTTTCGCCTGATCTCAATGCTCTCTGCAAAACATCAGCAGCCCCCGGGGCACTGATGGCGACCAAACATTGAAAACCTTCGACGACTCCGGAACTTGATGACGAAGCAAGATGGATGACCGAGGTTTCATTCTCGACAGCGACGCATCTCCCCAAGACGTTTACAGTACCTTGCAGTCCGACGAGATTCGCACGTTACTCGTTGAGCCTGGATCCAAGGGAAGTCCCATCGTCTGCGAGCTGCAAGTGATTCCTTCACCGCGGAGCAATCAGTATGAGGCTTTGTCTTATGTGTGGGGGGACACGGCCAAGTCGACCTCCATCTCTTGCAATGGGTTCAAGTTTCCAGTCACGGAATCGCTACATTCGGCTCTCCTCCACCTACGCTACGCGGACTCTTGGAGGCGACTGTGGGTGGATCAGCTCGGTATAAATCAAGCATCCCAAAGTGAAGTCATGAAGCAGGTCAGCTTGATGGGCACGATTTACTCTTCCGCCAGTCGTGTCATCGTCTGGCTGGGGAGGCACGACAGGAAGATGGCGAGGGCGTGGAATGTCCTACAGGAAACCACCCTGACCTCGAGTCTGGTCCGTTCCGACTTTTTGTCACCCTCCTCCTCGGCGTCGTCGCCGCCGTCGCGGTCGTCAGTGACTACTCCTCAAAAGAGGCCTTCTGGATCTCGGTGGTCAAGCAGCAGCAACTCCTCAATCTCCAAATACTCCTCCAACAAACGGGCGTCATCGTCACGAGAAAGTCTTCCTTACTCCAAACGGGCATCGTCTTCACGAGAAAGTCTTGCTTCTTCTGCTTCCAGTCTCAATAGCCTGACGCCAAAACGACCGCCGAATAGACGCCACGATACGCCTCCTGGCCTGAGGAGTGTCCTCTCAATATTTCAACATGTCTGGTTCCACCGCAAATGGACCTTTCAAGAGATTATTCTCGCAAAAGCGGCAATCATATGCTCTGGTGATATGGAGATGGCGTGGAGTGATCTTACCATGTGGTATTTTCATTACGCATCAAAACTCCGCAGCACGAGCATCCTGTATGACTCGCAGGGCTTCTTCGAGAATATCATGGATGTCCGAAGTGAATTGGGCAAAGGAAGCTTGAGACTGAGTAACTTGCTCATGGTGACGAGGCCCAGGTTGAGCACCAAACCCGAAGACGCAGTCTACGCCCTTTTGGGATTGATGCCAGACTTGGTGGACTCGTTGGACATGGGTTTGTCGACAGGTTGTGGGGATGTGGTTTCGTCCCATCGGGATCACCTCTATCAACTCTACCTGGCTGCTCTGCGATATTGCCTCGGGAGGGAGAACGACCTTGCCATCTTGAGCGCCGCAGGGGTGTACAAAGGGAATACGCATCCAAATGACTGGCCATCATGGTTGCCCGACTGGAGACAGCAGCTGCCACTGCGGCCGTTGATACTGACCGAACAACATGAGCTCGGGCCGGAAGCAGCATTTGACGAAGAGACTTTCGGGGGTGTCGTACCCAAGGATTCTTCGCAGCAAGAACCGGTGTACGAGTTCAAATGCCGTCCTCCTCCCAACGATTCTGCTTCCGTGTTGCGCCAACACCTGGCTGTTCGCGGGGTTCGTTTAGGCTGCGTTGTAACTCGTACAGCGTCTTGGCCGAGTACGTTCTTCGTGGCTGATCCTGTAGCATTGGGATCTTTGGATAAGGCAGGCGAACAAGCAGGGGGAGGCGAGTTCGCTCGAGCACTATCATCTCTGACATCACGGACTCAGGAGTCTCGTCTTCTTCACAAGTCTGCGGCAGAAACTTCACAGACGTATTCCCAGAACCTCATTACACAGTCTCTCAAGAATGATTCTCGATGTCAACCCATCCGAACTTCATCAATGGCAGAGACGGGAGACTGGATTTGCGCTCTGAAGGGCGGACGTGTGCTGTACATCCTCCGCCCAGCCAACGATCCTGGGTCTCCAGATCAGCGACACCCTCAACACCGTGGCAGGTTGTCGAATGTGCTCCGGACCTCTATGCCCGTGACTACGGCGTCGGCCCCCGAGAAAGAATCATCGGATCATCGATGCAATTTCATTGGCGAATGTGCCATCCACGGTATCAGACCAGGTGATATCCTGGACCCAGAACCACGATTGATGTCGTTTGAACTGGTGTGAGTATCCTGCTACGGTTCTTTTGCTGCCAATGAAAGTGACCAGATCGAGGCCGGAACATTCCGGCCTCGACCAATCAAGTCTGTCCGAGTCCAGATACGCCAATCACGTGTCAGGCTCCAGGTTCGCGCTGATATTCCGGCCAGAGCAATCACAATGAAGCGACTGTTGTGTCTTTGCGTTTCAGAAAAGATACCATTACTCAACAATAAAACGGTTGAGGAGGGGCATGGTGGGCTTCTCCATTTCGACTCACACAATTTTCCCTGCTCGACTGCTGAGTAAATTGCACATGAGCGGTCATCCTGGGGACCAACATCACTGCTGCAAGAAGTATTTTCTTGGATCAAGACAACCACGCCTTACAATCGAGGGTGTAAAACCTTGACGACCATCATGATACTCTTGAGGATATTTGAAACGCCAGTCATCCTCATACAATCTGCTGAAATTTGTATGGGAATAGCGCAGTGTCGAATCACGTGCCAAGACAAGGCTGTACGCTCCTTGAGAACAAACACAATTCGAGAAACAACAATTTGGATTCGTCTACCAGCGTCGCTTGACATGACGGTAGGAGAAAAAGTCTTTTGTTGGATTGTTGATGACCCAAAACCCCGCTGACAACGTCGCTTTTCTCCTATCTGACGGACCCATTTGATGAGGGATTGTGGCCGGAATTAGAACCGGCCACGATGTATATATGAGTGCCTGTGCCCGGTTTCCTGTTTGCGAGATTCGCCCTCTGGTCTGAACACACCGCCTCATACTTGAAAAGGCAAAATCAGCGAATTCATCAAAATTTCCTCAATTTAACCAGACCATTACGAGTGGTGGACAGAATCCGTGTCTTTTCCTTTCACTCATCATGTCTTACCTTGCAGACGCACCGCCGTTGCCTCCATTGTCGACCTTGTTCCCTCATCTTCATTCCGATGCAAAGAACATTCCTCCATCCACCGACCCTTTTACGATCACGACGACAACTGGGTTCCTACCATGTCGTACTCCATTACGTCGACTGCCGGCACAGTTCGATGCAATGTCCGACATCCTCGACGAGATGCCCATCATGAAGGCCGACGGCACTCCTGGTCTAGTGGCCAAGTTCCAGCTCGGTCCTCTGATAGAATCTGGGAAACTACCCGACCTCACGTCGTGTATCGACGATTTACGAGTGTCCAAGGACGAGTACGACCTTGAAGCCATTACAGCTCTCTTCCGCGACTACAGTTTCTTGGCCAGTGCATACCTGCTGGAACCCTGCTGGGAGAGTTGGTCCAAGGACAACAACGCTGGATACGGTCTGGGTAGACCTGTTTTGCCTCGATGCATTGCTTCACCTCTCGTGAAAGCCGCCGACATGTGAGTCCTTTTTTTACCTCGAACATGATTGCTGTTTTCCGTTTCTTTTTTATTATCGTCTCGTTTTGTAATTGTAATTGTGCCCGTTAAGGCGTTGACAATTTGTCTTCTTCAGTCTCGACATCCCACCGTTCATGTCTTACGCCGCGTCGTACGCCTTGTACAATTACCACCTCGTCGATTCCGGGTTGGGTGCCGGCGTGTATGAGAACCTAAGACTCATCCGGGCCTTTGAACATGGCCTGGACCCGAAGAGTTCCGAGGCCGGATTCATCTTGACTCACGTCCACATGGTTCAGGAGACGGGACCGTTGATTCAAGGCGCCACCGACCTTTTGAGTACCATCGAAAAGTCCCCGGCGGACACCGACGCCGCCGTTTCCGCTTTCCGGACCATGTTGACCGCCATGAAGCGCATCGAAGAACACATGGAACAAATGTGGTCTCACTCTCTACCAAAGGACTACATCTCTTACCGCACCTTCATCTTCGGCATCACCTCGCAGTCCATGTTCCCCGACGGTGTCATCTACGAGGGTACGAGGTACGGCGACGACAAACCTCTGTACTTTCGAGGCGAGTCCGGGGCCAACGACAGCATCATACCGTTGTTGGATCATCTCTTGGAGATCCCCATGCCCAGCAACCCACTCACGGACATCCTCAAGGACTTTAGACAGTACCGACCGAAACCGCACCGGGAATTTTTGGCCTGGGTCATGAGTAAGAGTGGTGAGGTCGGGGTGAAAGAGTATTGTACTGGCACGAAAACAAAAGAGAAAGATGATAATTCTTCTTCGTCTTCTGAATCCTCGGCTCTACTTCTCACGACACTATATCTCAAACTTTTGGAACACGTCCGAAGTTTCCGTTGGCGTCATTGGATGTTTGCCAGGGAGTACATCATCAAACGTACCCCCCATCCTACCGCGACGGGTGGAAGTCCCATCGTCACCTGGTTGCCCAATCAACTCTTCGCCGTCATGGATCTGATGGAGTCGGTCTACATCGAAAGTGGGTTGAAGGGTATCGTCGAGAGTCGAGAAGTCGGTGGTACCGGTCAAAGTCCCGAATTCAAGGCGGTCAAGGAAATCATGGACAACGCCATCATGCAGAGAGAGAAGTTGGACAAGGAGGTCAAGAAGTTTTGTTCAGAGAGGGGTGCATGATTTTGACACTGATCGAGTGAGAGATTGGAGATTTAGGGTGATTTTGGTTCTTTCGAGCAAGCAAGGAAGTAGACAAGGATGGAGTAAAGGATGCCAGGAATGTCAATTTTTGTAGTTCCATTTCCTCGTCGCGCCTTTTCCAAGCCACAACAATTCCCCGTGCCAATTCATTTCCAACATCAAGATCCAATCTGGCCAAACTTCAGTGCAGGCCAGAACAAGGAGTCTTATGAGAACGCTGGCTTCAGTAATTTCTTCTTTTTCAAAACCAAAAGAAGAATCAATCGTGTTCGGATGGTTTTTGTTCATTTCACCAATTCTCCTTGATCAGTCTCCAGGCCGCACAAGTACCGATTGTGACCATCATGGCGTGAGACCAGAATGGTTTGTTTCCGATGATGCCGCCTCCACCACCCGTTGAGGGAGTCCTAGCAGAAAGTGTCGTCCCTATCAAACCCATCGGGGTAGAACAAGCTATGACCACACTCACCGCCTTCCAATCGCCCAAAAACACCAACACGGCCACGGAAAGACCGATCATCAATTGACTACCGGCCAACAAATAAACGTAGACGTTCAAGGGTCTGTCTCGCGGTTGTGGGAAGCCTGCTCGTTCGGCTACGTGATGAGCGGCGGGTGTAAAGGTGGCCAAGGCGATGGATAGGAGCATGAACGAATAGACGTATGCCCAGACGTATGGCCATGCGGAGATGATGGTGGCGGCTGTTGTTGTTGAGGATATTTTGTCCATGGAAATCATGGTTGACGATGATGACGACGGTATAGTACTGGTAATGGTGGTTGTGAGACGATGATACTCTTATGGTGCGTTGTCGCTTGCTTTGTTTTTCTCTCGTTCGACAAGAAAAATGACCGCTCCGATGGTCAAGTAGAAGATCTTGGTACGGATGGATTTTGATCATAGTTTGAAGTTCCAGACTGGAACATCTACGGAAGCCCTTGATGAGTGAATAATTCGTATCTCGGTTATGTGCTTACATTTGATCAACGTCAGGCCTTCCAACCCAGATAAATCATCAACTCGTGCAGTATCCACCGAACCACATTCTCTAGTTCAGGTAAAATAGTCAGATGTTGTACTCCGTACTGAGTCGTACTTTATGAACCGAGTATGTCGGACCGAAAATGATATCCGTACTCCGTAGATTGTTGAGATAGGTAACTCGATAATACTTCCATCCCAAATGCAGTAGTTGAGGCCCCTGGATCTTTCAGCCAGTAGTAGATTCTCACAACATACTCGTAATGCATTGTCCTCTCTCTCTCTCCCCCCCCCCCTTTCTCTCTCACTTTGCCGTCATCTCATTATCCAATTTTCATGCTCAATCACACAACGATTGAACAAACCTCACACATTCACATTCAGTATTATCTCACGGTGGTTTGTGTGCATTCAGTGTCCTGCGCCTCTCTGATCTTTTCCTCATGGATATTGCCTGGTAGAGATGCTTCTCCTCACCTTGATTGACGGCTCACTCATTCTCCGTGTGGTGTCGGGCGGTGTCTTTTTCGCTCACCAATTGATCGACAATACAGCAACCTCGCCCTCCGTGATGTGGACTCGTTCGTACTTTCATCTCACTTGCCTGTTCAAACTTGTCACTGTTGCGACTGACTGTACAAGTGAAGTGCCCATTATCGCTAAGCCAAATTCCATCACTGCAGCACTCCATTGTAGCTTCACTGTCGTAGACAATGTCAGCCTAGAGAGTCGCGACTCACGCTGCCTCCTTGTTAGGAAGGCGGTGCGAATTGAATTTTCCCTCTCACGGTCGTCACGGTCGATCTCGCCGCAGCCATCGTCGCAATGAAAAAACATATAAATATTTGTTTCTTTCTCTCACATATCGCTCTCTCTTCTTCTCTTTTCATAACATCATAAAATATATATATCAAAGTCAATCGTCACAACAAAACACCACAAGGTGTGTTCCTTCGTGTCTGGCTGTGAACAGAAGGAACACACCTTGTGGTGTTATCTTGTCTGAGAACCGACACAGGCGACGCTGGTCTGGAACCTCTTTTTCTCGTCGCGTCATTTCAACGTCACACTGACACCGACTAGACACAGTTCAGTGCCAATCGGGTGCACTTCTCAGCCTGACTGTGGTTCGCTTTCAAGGAACAAAAGTGGCGGTGGTCGCTGCTGTTTTCGTGTCATCTGTGAGTCGTCATCCCATCGGATCTCTCACTTTACCTGTACCCAGACCAAAGCTAACACATCATGGTTTTGCAGCAGATCGAAGTAGTGAGCCCTTTGCTGCTCTGGCCCCTCCGTGTTTGCTGGTACTGAGAGGCTGCGTTCGAGGATGGCTACGCTCAATTGCAATTCCTATTCAGCGCCATCCATGAAGAACCCTCTCTAGCCAGCAAATGATGGAGCAATACATGGTCCTCCAGAGGATGGTGTTCTCAGAAAAGAGCCGACCTTTGTGGCATACCTTTCAAGCCGATAGACCATCTCTGCTTCCACATGAAAGCTCTCATTTTTGTGGCCAATTTAACGAGCCAGCGGACAATCGAACAATTCGAGATTGGGCCTGAGATCTCGTCCACAGTACAGAGCCGATCACTCGTCGCCAATTTATCTAGCCAGAAGACTGTCGCAGCTGGGACGGCTCCTTCAAGAAAACTCTGCGATCGAGGTCGATATGATCATTCCATTGGAATCACCGCAAGTTGACGATCGAGACGATCAGAGCTCCGGCGACCTAAGTCAGCCACCTTTTTTGCATGATTGCGGTAAATATATAAATTTCATTTGGTGGAGAGGTCAACCACAACGACTAGTATGTTGATCCTTTCTGCCGGAATCACTGTGTTGCTGACATTTCCCAGCTGGCAAAATCAATGTTCAGTTGCGTCTGCATCGACAAAGCTCCCTTGCCAGCCTTGAGCTATCAGTTCGCCAAGTTTGGGTATGAGTGTCGAGTGGTGACAATTTTGAATCTAACCATACACTTTGTTCAAGGTTGATTACATTGCAATCCCTCGGTTGATTGAACGCTCATATTGACTGATACTGGCTTTGGTCAAGTCATTGCAGCTTGTGTTGTGGTCTTGATATTGGTTTTGGTCAAGTCATTGCGACGTGTGGTGGCCTCGATACAGCTTGACTGTCCGCTCGTCACCGGAATCTTCTTGAACCCTTTGAGGATTTCGCCTGCCATGATGGCTGGAGATCTCGCGTCCCCTTGTGAATGAGAATCAGCAATTGACAATGGTGAATATCACGCAAATGCTATCATCAAACTTTTCATCTCACAAAAGAGACCGCCAATTCACTGTCGTTGATTGAGATTTCACCCCGATCAAAATTGAGAATAGACTCACCAAAGTCAGCCTCAACAAAAGATCATTTTCAATCCATTCGACTCCTGGTGAAGTGACAATTTTCAAGGACAGATTAAAAAGTGATCATCAAGGTCACTGTCGTTCCAAAATCTCATCGTCAACCATCGAGATCCATCAAAGCGAAAAGATCAATCTGAGGTCGACTCAACAAAATGTCAAGCCAAGAAAGCGAGCCCAACCACAAGAGGCGTCGGACCAATGCTGCAGCGCCACATGGCCAGAGACAGGGTCGAGATACTCCTCAGGAGCGTCAGCAAGAGAGTGGAAGTGGTGACGGTCAACAACAGGTTCTGGGAAGAGAGCAGCCGGCAGGTACGTCAGCCACTCCTGCGCCTGTCCAGCGTCCTCTAGCAGGGACCTTTGCAGGGCCGGCCGGTCGATGGAGACAATACACCCAGAGAGAAGTTGACGCGTATCACGGTTTGCTGATGCTTCGATACGGACCGATCGTCGATTTCCAGAGAAGGGGAAATCCGACGCAACTCACCATGTCTTCTCCCTCTCACCTGCCGGTGGCGGTGGGTTCGGGGATCACGAGTGAGAATCGAGCCTCGAGGAGTACCGATGACGGAACCGTGGTCACTACCGCCACTAGCAGCAACACCAACGCCGCCACTACCACCACGATGGGACCACCTCCACGGCCTACCACAGTTCACCCACAGCAAGGAGGTTTGACAAAAACAACACAGCCCAATCACGAAAGCCAGGGCAAGGGCAAGGGCAAGGGCAAAAGAAAGCCCAAACCGCCAGCGAAGAGATACTCCTGCTACCACTGCCACTACACTGCGCTCGGAGTGACGTACGTGTGTCGACACCTACAGAACAAGCATGGCGTGGCGCCAGACCAGGTGGACGTTGCCCGTATTCGAGCCTCGGAGGTGCAGTGTTTGTGGTAGGACACGAACAGTTGAATAAGTGAATGAATTAATGATACCTGGTGGGGGGGTGTGCTTGTTGGTCGAATTTATTCTTCAAGCAACCATCGAAATGGGAGAGTTTGGGGGAGTCCCTTCTTCGTCGAGTAAGCTTCAATACAGGTGACCTTGGGATCAGTAGGCCATATGGCCGAACAACCAGGCGAGTCCTTGAGGGCGAACCCGGCAAGTTGGCTCTCTCTCTCTCTCTTTCTCTGCCCTGGAGGTTTGGTTTGTGGCTAAGAAAGGAAGAAGAGGACGAGGCAGACATGGTGGAGCGGTGTTGATTCTTGATCGGCACTGGACAACAGATGTCTAGGGGTGTGCAGGGCGTTGAGAATCATGTTGAGAAGGAGAGGATGAAGATGGAGAGGAAGCCCAGATTCCGATATGGACACGGATAGGATCCGATGAAATGAGAAAACAAAAACCAAAAAAACTCTCCAGTCTTATGCTTTTAGCTCTCTTTCTTGCCATGGTTAGACTTTGGTTTGCCTTTGACCAGTGATCGCAGCACGAGCCAAATCCACCATATCGTATTTCCGGCCTTGCCTGACTCGTAGTCCTGTGACCGGTCACCGATATCTGCCATGGCGCAGACCAGGTCCGCCAACTCCTTCTGGACTTTGTGATGTAGGTATGCAGCCGTCAAGTCGAGACCATTCGTTATACCACCTGGATGCACACCAAAAAATGTGTCAGCACCGGGTAACGGAGAAAAGAACTGTGAGAGTCATGCGTTTTTGTAGTAAACGCCCGAAGGGTTAGGTAGATGGATGATCGAAAAGGAGACAAAGAGTGTTGTTAAACCCACCAGAAGTCCAAAGTCGTCCGTCTCTTTCCCACCTCCGATCGACAAAGTTGGCGGCCGGGAATTTTTCCTTCAGCTTGGGCTCTAGGCCCCTCGGACCCGTCGCCCTCTTGTGGTCCAACAATCCTGCGTAACCCGCGGTCAAACTCCCCGTGCAAATGACTAGGAAATCGGTCTCTCCCTTCTTCTTGTGTGCGTGGATGAAATCGACGACGGCCGCGTCCGGGACGACGCTGGGATCCGGGCCCGGGATGAGCAAGACGTCCAGTCGCCCCGGCTGTACCTCGGGCGAGGTGAGGGAGTCCGTGATGGGCAAAGTGGCGTCCGCCGTCATTGGCGCGTGCGTGCCTGGCCCGGATTGACCGATGTAGTGGAGAGAGACGGGGATGGCCAGGTCCAGCAACGGTTGAGGCAGTCCGCATGCCTTGAGGTATTCAGGCGTCAACATGCCGAAGACGTCTATGGCAGAGGCATCGAGCAGCTGTACGGGCGGGACAAGAAGCATCCCGACGCGCAAGGACGTTGCTTTCCGTTGTGTAGAAGTCATGGTGGCTTTGGAGGTATGATGGCTGATGTCAGGACGGTCGACGAGTCAATTGTTGCCGTAGTTGGGCATTCGATTGGGAAAAAGGCATCTTGTTCGTGGGATGCCGACGTTGTTTTTATACATGCCATTGCAGTACCATGAAGCTCAACGACAGGTTTCCTCGTGGTCGGCGTAGTGGAATGATTATTCGTCGTCGCTGATATTCCCAACCTAGTGGTCGGAGAACCTCCAGCAGGCTGCCATAATTCTCTCGGGCCAAGGCTGAGCCGTGTGCTCGATGACTGGACAGTGGTGGAGCGTTTTCCCGTTTTTTAGTGAGAATCTCAGGAAGAAGGTGAGGTCTGGGCTTTTTGAGGCAGCCTAGTCGGAGACACCAATAATGATCCACGGCCAAAACGTGCGGTCGAATGTCAGTCCGACTGTCCTTGATCGGGAAAGTCGTCTGAAAGAGGAATAAGAAGAACGACCACCAAACTTGAAATCATATATTCTGTTTAGTGTCCATGTAAGTCTCTGCTAGGCCCACGATTCATACACTCTGTATGGTTGCTGAAAAATACTTGGTCTGCTTGTCGGTGCCTGGGCTCGAGACGTCGACGTGAAGATCTCCATCAACGATTAGCATGCCTAAAGACACCTTGGATCGGAATCTGATACATCCTTTTGTTCTGCAGTGCCTGTGAGATTGGTGACCAAGTCTTCACGTAAATACTGGACCAAGGAGGAAATTCCAGACAAAGACGTGGCGGTTTTTGCATGTTCTCACAATGTCGGACGATGCATGGTGCGTTGGCCATTTACGACCGGACTCCGTAGGTGGTAGTTTGGCATGATGTTCGATTGACCTATATAGAGACACATCTTACCAGTTGGGGCGCTGTACGGTACGAGTACAATGCAGAGATTGCCTGGGGTTGTCACTGGACATGAGAGTCGATTTGTGTGATACGGCTTTCCTATGGCAGTGACAGAGTCTGGAGAATATCTGCCCTGGTGCCTCTACTTGACCGTACTCCCTAGTCCGCAGCGTAGCCACTGTCTTTGGCTCCCCTGGTGGCATTAGGCATCGCCATGTCCTTTTGGGCATCTCTAGCGACGGACTTTGGGCGGGAACCAGGCGGCACTAACCTTCCCCGAGCCTAAGATTACCTACTGTAGATACGGATACAAGTGGGCAAATTAGATGGTGACGCCAGCCCGGAGTCCGTAAGCTATACCCGATTGACCTTGTCGACAACCTCGAATCCGGGCAAGGAACTTCAACTTTCACCTTCATTCGACCTGCCACCATCTTTTTTTTATTTGGTGCCAACTCCGTTCGTTTCATCTCGCCGCCAGCTTTCTTCTTCGTTGAGGGCTAACCTAGTCTTCACGCGCTCTCCTCGCTTCCCCTTCTTTCTTTTTTCACAGACCATGCCACCTTTCTTCAACATGCGTCGTTTCTCCCGCAGCAACTCCATCCATAATCGTGAATCTCCTCAGTCGCCGCCAACGTCCTTCACCCCTCCACTCACTCACGCTCCGATGATGCCGAACGGAACAGCTGGTTCTCAACAAGGCTCTCATCAGTCGCGACCCGTGTCAGCCAACACTAGCTCAAGCTTTGACTTTGCCAATCGACCTCCGGCTCAGTATCAAATGTCGACTCTCCCATCCAACACCATCGGTAACCTTTCACGGACCGACCAGGTTGTCTTGCGACACTTTTGGGAAGTGAAGAATGAAGAAAACAAAGGTAGAGACCTTCATTTTGTAAGTTGCAAGCCCAGGTGTGTCTTCATATTTGCAAGTGATAAAGTCATGACTGACCTGACCGGCCCCCCATCCAGCTCAAGTTCCCATTCTTTTCTCAATATCCGAACCACCAGGATCTGATCCCTTATTGTGAGATCTACCACCTGGTCAAGACTTCACCTGGTGCCAAAATCATCAGTTTGGGCAGCACCAGCAATGGTGTATACATTGGGTAAGTTTGGCGAACGTGAACTCAGACCTCACTACTACTGTGACAATATGCACACACACACACACGCGCGTGCCCTGGACCTGGATTTTCCCCAAGCACCGGAGGCAATCTATTGTCTGCGTTTGTATCACACAAACAGACCTACCCCGGTTTATTTGTGTGTATGGGGCAATGCAACAAGCCATTTTACGTACCCGGGCTGACCGCATCCGACCTCTAGATTCGAATTGTTCTCCGGATCTCAGCTCCACATCGACATGGACGATTCCTGGCACAACATCTCCCACCACCGTGTGTCTTTCAAGTCCTACGACAACATGCTCAAGGACCCCACGTCGGAATCGACGTTCAAGTCGTGGCCCAAGCCTCTTACGATTGAGTATCTGGAGGAACAGTTTCAACGTTGGATGCTCGACCTGACCAGTTTCTGCTGGGACACTGCCGAGGTGCGCGAACTAGGTGGGGAAGGTGACGCGCAGAGCGTCGAGCTCAAGGACGACATGTTGTAGAACAAAACCAATAGCACCCACTAGTCCCACCGAATCAGGTTGTACAAAACATTTGCGGGACAAACAAAAAGCAAGGCTGCCTTTTGTCCGCGGATTGAATTGTTTTCCAATCAGCCTGTTTCAGACCTACATGGGCCATGTCACCACCCATCGTGGAGAGACGGCAGGGATCGAATTGGAAAAGGAAAATGATCCAGCCTCACTTGGGGACCGCACCCAAGACATGCCCCGAGAAACAAAAACTGTGTTACCCCCTTAACAGTACGGTACAAGTACGTACACCGAGCCATTCAAATCGGGGATGGTCTATCTGGCTCAGCTTTTGACGAATCACGAGATATGAAAATCGGAATTAAACAAACAAAAAGAATAAAACACCTGGGCGCACACTGTGTACGGCTTTGGATTTGGGTGGGTTTCGAAGGAAATGAAAGCACATTAGAAACAAGGGCAGAACTTGGGGACATAATTTGTAATACGAAAACACTATCACACAGCTGGATAAGGAATGAAAATACTCCGTACAATTTGACATGAAACCTTGGAAGAGTACACGCACGTTGAAATTTACCCTTGTTGCTCGTACGGAGTACCGATAACACACGTGGTAGGTACCTTGTTGTAGTTCCGTTCTGTCTTTGACGACAAAGTACGGATAGAGGACAGTCTGAAACAACGTGGCGTCAATTACTCGGTACATTCACCTTCGGACCCCTTCCTGTGACGGGCGCGGGATCGTGTGATAAAGATGCGGTGTATTGACGGAGTGGAATACAGGTACGTAAGAAGAAGGCAAATAAAAAAAAAGGTACGGGTAGGAATTGACAGGTCAACAGGGACATGCATGGGGGAATGCGAAGTAGGAGTCGAATCAAAAGGGACCCTCGCCTATCCGTACTCCGTACTCCGTGCGGATACCTAATGTTTGATCCCTCCTGGACGGTCATTTTCCCTCGTCACAATTTCCCTGGCACGAGTACTCCGTACAATCCCTGCTTTTTCAGCCTCACCTACGGAGGAGTCCCGGCCACCTCGCAGCGTGACGACCGCCTCGATCCATTGGTAAGAAGGAGAGAAGGAGGAGCCAGGGGGGAAAAGACGGTGAGAGTGTCAATGGTTCGGATAACTCGAAAATCTCGGATGGTGGAAAAATAAGGCAAGTCGTAGTTCTCATTCTTACATCGTATTTTCAAATTGAAAAGACAAGGAATGAAAGTAAAAAAGGCCGTCAAGTCATGATCCCTCGCGACCTGAATTTCCCCTGTCGTGCCACGATACCGCGATACATCAAGCGTCGGGGAAATTGTCAATAAAATCCCGGCAAGCGATTTCATACCCAAGGTACAAGTCCAAATCCCGCCCACAAACGACCTGCTTCATCGCGTCCTCGAGGCCCGGCGCCTAGAAGCCAAGCAAGGAAAGATTTACAAAAGTTCAATTTTGTCGAAAAGAAAAAAAGCAGGAAAGGCTGCGTTGAATGTCGGATTACACGTACAGCGCCAGGCTGCATGTTTGGAGCCAACGACTGCGATCCACCGAAAAGGTCGGAGAATCCCATACGCGAGCCTGTCTGCAGCTATTGTGTGCGCCTGTCTGCCTACCCATGGCTTCCAGTAAGTAGTCAATTTGTAAGAATAGACCCTGTCCATAACAATAAATTTACCGATACCGACCAAAGTCGGGCAACGATCATCCTGTAGAAACCCAGCCAGGCCGAAGCCGAAGCCAGGCAAACGTGAAGAGGTCATACTGACCTCGGGCAAGTCGGATTAGAATTAATTTTGTGACCGACACGTATGGTTACAGTGCTGTCGCCGATTCATCATCCCCTGAGGAGCTCCTGCCTGCAGTACGCCTCGAAGGCAGGCATCGACTCTTCGGTCACACGGCCAACTTCCATAACTTTGACGTTGTGCTCGACCGTGTGGTATTTTCCGAAATGAATACGACTGGAGGGGTCCAAGGTCTGATCGTGTCGGAGCCGAACAGCGATCGGTTGTTTCGAAAAGCGAGGCTCGCCGGCCAAGGGGTCGGGGATTCCTGAGCCTTCGTCATAGACAATGGCGTGGGCTTGCTGTTCCTGGTGGTTGAGATTCTTGGAACCGATCCCCTTCCGCCCATGGGTGCTGATAGGGACGCACACAGAGTATCCTTGACGTCGTAGGGCTATGATCATACGGCGTGGTCCGCTGTAGATGGGGTCGCCGTACCGATCGAGCAAGGTTCTTGCGTTTGTCGCTTTCGACTCGGCTCCCATGCTGGAATGTTGAATGATCGAGATCACTCTCCCATGAACAAAGAATGCCGCACATTCGGGGCCAACGCGCACTCTATAACTGGGACGTAGGGTCTTTGCGTCCCGTTCTGTAGGGCCTGTGTTGTCTGGACGAAATTCGGCGTTTCTCCCTTGATTTGCCGTCGGAGGGTACTGAGTTTGGAACGTCTGTAGAGACATCCTTCTTCTTTCTACTATGGAACTGTTTTCGGTCGGCATAGGATAGGATGTTTTTGTTGTCCGGGCCACCGTTCCTGGACCGGGACCATCGAGGATGTCTTGCAGTGGTTTGAAGGCCGGTGCCGACCTGCGCGAATCAGTTCTCTCCAGGGATGGCCGTGCTGAAGCGGACGTGGGAAATGATGTCGGGGGCATTGTACCGGAGTAAGAGCGTGTGGCTGGAGAAGCATGACCGGCTTGCGCGCGAGAAGGTTCCCGTGGAGGTCGAGCTTCAGCATCAAGTCTCCTCTCAAGGACGTCGCAGTTATAGCGGAATTTTTCGAGCTCGTTTGAATCATTCCTAATCAGATTCTCGAAGTAACGATCTCGCTCTTCTCTGTTGTTGTATCTGCAGTCGTCTCTGCAGGCCTCGATAAGTACAAATCGCTGAACACAGCGCTTTGTAAGAGCGATGTTGCCATGCTGTTTTGCCTGCGACGCCGCTGTACGAAGCTTTTCGAGGTCCGTTTTCAGAACATCCTTGTGATTGTCGATGAATTTTTTACAAAGATCAAAATTTGCGAGCGGAATTTCGACAAATCCCAAGATATCTCCTTTTAATCCAAGTGGAATGCCGACACGTCCCAAGACGTCTCCTGTTAATCCAAATGCCCTTGCTCCAGAATCAGTCGCCGACTGGACGCCTCTTGGTTGTCGAGGAGCGTTGTTTTGTTCCTCAACTCTGCGCTGGTTGGCGTCATCAGAGTGCTCGTCACTCGCGCTAGTAGGTCTGGTGTATTGCTGGCGAGGTTGACGGTGCGTGCTCCTACGGCTTTCACTGACGGGGTCTGGATGCTGCTGTGGGTTCATACCGAACGAGTAGCTTCTCGACCTGATTGGCGCCGCATAAGACTGGACATCTACTTGGGCCCCAGCTTCTCTTACTTCTCTTTGGCGGTATTCGGGCTGATATCGGCTATACGCACGAGAACTGTCGTTGCCTCTTGCTATGGTATAAGACTGATCCTGCGGAGGAGCGCGATAATAAGACTCTTGTTGGCCTCGATTGTCCGGACTATACAAAGAATAAGTCTTGAGCCACTTCAAGTACAAGTGCTGTATGCATACCGCGCTGTGTTGGGTTCTGATGGCAACGGCCTTTGTCCAGGGTTAGTAGTCCGATTGTAACTAACCTGCTCTGCAGTCACATGCTGTCGGTTCCTTGGGGTGTGCCTTGGATAGTCAGAATTCAATGGTTGAAAAGGTTTAGAGATGAGGTGGACTGTACCCATGCGCATCTATATCCCCAGTGCCGTCAGTCTCGCCACGGCGTCGGCCTTCTCTCTCTTAGTAATGTAGGCTGGTATTGAAATGCGCAACGGATCTTACCATGATGCTCAAGGGCTGGCCGGGAGGTCCCGTCAGCAGCTCTTCTGCGGTCACCCCGTTTAGACTCCATTAGACATATGTCCAAGACATACTCACATCCGAACCAAGGAATGGATCATGGGTAGAGGAGATTTACATATTTAGAGGCTTCCATAATTTGAGCCTCAAGGTTGCATATGCTCTGGATGTAGTGGCATCACTCGTCTCCTCAAAATCACAAGGGGCAACATTAGGAACCGAATGCCGTTACTCATTGCTTGGTCTTGACCCCGGGCCATCAAGATAGCAGGTTTGGTGCAATGGCACTTGCAGTAGTGATAGTCATCGGCGGCTTGTGGACGATTCCTGGAACTTCGTGTCGTCCTGACGTTGCCTTAGCGTGGGGACCACCAAGACGTCTTACTCGTCCCCGGCCTCTACTCATGCCTTCATCGCTGCAGGTCTAAGTGCTGCACGAAAAAGGAGCAGTGTGTCGGGGTTTTGAGGCGAGCATTTCCCTGCCTCTTTGGTCTTGGTCAGGTGCAGTTGATCGTAAAAATCGAGTGTGTCAGACGGTCCATTACGAAAAGCAAATCAGCGCAGATGACAGAATCAGGAGGCAGGGATGTGTGAAATGGAGGAAGGTTGTGGGAGAGAGAGAAGAGAGATTGGGCGAGAAAGATCCCTCTCTACTGTACAGGCGTCGTGGCCTCTATTCATTTGTTTAGCGTGCGCCAAGTAGCCTCTACCGCTACGTACCAGACTTTGGGGCGCTCTAGCCTGCTTTATAGCCTATTGCCCTCCTTAAGACGCAGCATCCACTGCGCCCAGGTTGCTAACTACCCCCTCCCCCCCTGCAGGTCCCTCGTATGCTTGGATCCGGGCACTGTAGGAAGTGAAGCTAAGCGACTCACCCAGAACGAGCCGTTCACTTTCATCTTTCTCCGGTGTCAGTTTATTCTTCAATTGTCCTATCAATAACAGACCCCAATGGTGTTGAATTTTTGACAGCTGTTACAACTGACCCCTTGGACAATATTTGTCTGAACGTGACTGCCCTTATTGTAGGTGTCTGGGTGTCATTATCTCCCTCTCCCATCAGCAGCAATTCTTCTCTCATGGACATTGTTTACTCTCCTCGCGTTCGCGTCTTACCACCCCCCCTTTTCGCACTCTATCCCTGCTATAGCGTCGCAAAGCGCCACTGTTATTTCATTCTCGTCTTCTACTTTTCCTCCCGGTAAAGTGACACGTGCGGAGGAGTGAGTCTTGAACTGCTGATGGGACGGACGAGTGGCTGTTCTCCATGGCCCAATGGCTAATTTACAACGCTGCACTTCGGATCCTTCCCTCCTCTCGTGAGACAGCACACGACTCACTCGTCGTCCTACCAGAAGACTGACACGTCGTGTAGAAATGATCCCTCCTCTCATCATCCTTCGGCCAGCCTAGAAATATTGTCTCGTCACGACCCCGATGTCAGTCTTGAGAAATTTCATGGGCAATTTGCAGATACTCCTTCGAGACCGTCTGTGGCATACTTAGGAGACATGCAAGGCAATTCGTCAGTTGGAGATGGAGCAGATTGGCTCGGCCTACCTCGATCCCACGGAAGCAGCAGTTTCGGTTATCATGGCCGAGGTGAAGAGTCCATATCAACCCGCGGCGATGAAGTCCTAGCTGGGCATACACCAAACCCACACG